TCCCTAAAATCTTGTTTGCTGGCCCCAAGTCCTTCATATCAAACTCCCTAGCTAATTGTGCCTTCAATTCTTGGATTCGATCTTTGCTGGGGCCTATACTAGCATGTCATCCACATACAACAACAAAATGATGAAATCATTATCACCAAACCTCTTGTAATACGTACAATGGTCTGAACTCAGTCTGTTGTATCTGAGGCTAATAATGAAGGAATCAAATCTCTTGTACCAACACCTTGGCGCCTGTTTTAAACCGTACAGAGATTTGGTCAACCTGCAAACCAAGTCTTCCTTTCCTTGTTCTTCAAAACCTTCTGGTTGGAGCATATATATCTCCTCTTCAAGATCTCCATGTAGAAAAGCAGTCTTTACATCAAGTTGCTCAAGATGTAAATCAAATTCAGCACACATTGCTAGAACAATTCTGATTGTGGTAAGTCTAACCACTGGAGAAAATATTTCATTGAAATCAATGCCTTCTTTCTGAGCAAATCCTTTAATCACTAGTCTTGCACGATATCGCTCCACTTAATCATTGCCATCACGTTTGATCTTGTAAACCCATTTGTTTCCAATGGCTTTTCGACCTTCTGGAAGTGTTACAAGTTTCCATGTCTTATTTCTATGTAAGGCTTCCATTTCTTCCTGCATTGCTGCCATCCACAGAGAAGCATCTGAACTGCTCACAGCCTCTTGAAAGGTTGATGGTTCTCCTTCATCTGTTAGAAGACAATATGCATCGTGGCTTGCCATCACATAGTCTGAGTGTCAGGATGGTCTCCTTATCTCACGTCTTGTTTGTTGAGTTTCTCCATCATTGGCATCATTTGGTTCTTGTTCTCCGTGCTCTTCTTCTGCTTCAGAGTTGTCATTTTCTTTAGCCTTCCTTTCTATCACTACTGAAGTAGTGTCTTTGGTAGTATTGTCATCTTTCTGCTCCTTTTGCAGTTTATTTTCTACAAAGACTACATCTCTGCTAACAACAACCTTGCGGGCAGTGGGATCCCACAAGCGATACCCCTTAACATTGTCAGCATAACCCAAGAATATACATTTCCTGGATTTTGGATCCAGTTTTGTTCTTTCTTGGGAATTGTACATCACGTACACAGGACATCCAAACACATGTAATGAAGAATAATTAGGTGGCTTTCTACTCCATATCTCCATTGGTGTCTTCAAACCAATTGTTGTTGATGGTGATCGGTTTATTACATAATAGGCAGTTTTCACTGCTTCTGCCCAGAAAGATTTAGCCACTCCTGTTGTTCTTAGTATAGCTCTTGTTCTTTCTAGAAGAGTTCTGTTCATCCGCTCTGCTACACCATTCTGCTGAGGTGTATAAGGCACTGTGAATTGCCTTGAAATACCCTCTTGCTTGCAAAATGCCAGAAAATCATCATCTACATATTCTCCTCCATTGTCTGTCCTTAAGCACTTAATTCTTTTCCCAGTTTCAAGTTCTACTAGTGCTTTGAATTCTTTGAACACTGGAAACACATCTGACTTCTTCTTGATTGGGTACACTCATAATCTCCTTGAATGATCATCAATGAATGATACAAAATATTTTGCTCTTCCAATAGATACTTCCGGTGATTCCCCTACATCAGAATGAATCAAGTCCAGTATGTGTCTACTTCTTGTAGTCACGTTGCCAAACTTCAATCTATGCTGCTTACTTGTCACACAGTGCTCACAAAATGGTAAGGTTACCATTTTGAGCTCGGGCAAGAGATTACGTTCTGCTAGAATTTTTAAGCCTTGTTCTGACATATGACCAAGTTTACGATGCCACATCATTGTTTCTTCTTCTTGACTAATTGCAACTGATGCATCTGCTTCTTTCAACGTATCTCCCAAAAGCATGTATAAATTGGTTGTGATCTTTTATGCTTTCATCACCACCAAGTTGCCTTTAACCACTTTCAAAATTCCACCTTCAATGTGGATCTTGCAATTGACGTCATCCAATTGCCTAACGGACAATAAATTCTTTTTCAAGCCCTTCACATGTCGTACCCCTTGAATTATTCGAACAGTACTATCATGCATTTTCAATTTGACAGTACCAATTCCAGCAATTTCTAGTGCATGATCATTTCGCATGAACACGGATCCTCCCGAGATAGGTTCATAATTGTAAAACCAGTCTCGACATGGAGTCATGTGCCAGGTTGCACCTGAATCTACTATCCAACATTCATGAAGTTGTCTTCCACCTCTAGATTTTACTGCTTCACTATATAAGATTTCACCATCATCTGAGGTACTTGCAACACAACCTTGAGAGGTTGATGCTTCAATATTCTTCCCTCCTCCACTCTTCTTGTTCCAACAATCTTTCTTTACGTGCCCTCTCTTGCCACAGTTGTAGCATTTGAGGTTCTTCCTTCTCTGAGATTTTGATCTACCATGATTCTGGCTCCCACTGGAACCACGTTCCATTGATCTTCCTCTCATCATCGTCAATGCTTCTGCCTGTTTAGAATTTTCCAGTCTATCTTTCTTATTCTTTCTCTTGGATTCTTCTTCAAGAACTGCTCCAACAACATCATCAAAGGATAGACGACCGATAATGTTGTTATTTGTTATATTGATGATGAGTTGATCATATGAATCTGGTAAACTCTGGAGTAGAAGCTCTGCACGTTCATTTTCTACTATGTTGAAATCTGCGGCTGTAAGCTGAGCAAACAACGTATTCAAATTATTGATGTGGTCCGTTACTGATGTGGACTCACTCATTCAAAGAGTGTAGAGTTTTCTCTTCAAGAATATTCTGGTGTGAAGTGAGTTGACCTCGTACAACTTGATCAGTGTGTTCCAAATCTCCTTTGCAGTTTTCTTCTTTGCAACACTGGATAACACTGAATCAGCCAATGCTAAGTGCAAATTGGCAACAACATTGTTATCCATTTCTCTCCATTTTTCTTCTGAAATATCTGTAGGTTTGCCTTCAATTGCATCAAGACAATTGTCTTTTCTCAAAATTGCTTTTATCTTCAATTTTCACAAGGAGAAATTACTCTCATGAAATTTCTCTATCTCATATTTTGCTGCCATAATTTCTCTCTTAATTATACCGACTTATGTAACTTTCACTGTGAATAGTATTACCTACTGGAACAATAATAATGGTAGATTATGAATAAGTACACACTATATATGCACTTTTACACTACCAAAAAATTGTATACCTAGTAACAGGAATAATTCTTTTCTGATGTGGCAAATCAGACAATACTGCAACCACAGAGCATACTAAGAATTTTCTAGCACTATACCAATGTACACTATAGCGGAATAATATAAACAACCTAGTTGCTCCGATACCACTGTTAGGACCAGAGTATCAGTATAATAACACACAACTAAAATAAGAGATGAAAAATAAGATCCAATAAAGACAATATAAAATTATCACAGAAGAAAAATTACATTACTCCTCACTCTAAAATTTACTCCTCAAAATAGAAGACTATTACTACCGAATACAAGATTTCAGTGCAATACAAACATAAGAGGGAGAGAAGATTTTGGAATGATTAGATTAGTAAGACCCCTTGCCTTTTTATAAGCAAAGGAGAGGTCCTAACCCTTTTACTTCCACCGATGTGGGACTTACACGCTTCAATAAAAGCTTTTAACGATCCCAGTAGCAAAGTAAGGGTAATGCTAGAATCAATTAAGACTTGTTACGAAAAGTATCAATTTGGTTGGTGCCTCAAGGGATGTTTTACTTGATGTTGTGTGGAAATCTTTTAGTGAAGTGGCAAGCAATATGTCACGCCTCTTATTTCTCCATCTGCACTACCCCCTCTTCCTTCAACACCCACACCCTACTCATCTCCCATCCCTCTCCATTCCTCTCACCCACACCACCCCTTCCCCCACTCATTTCTATTCCTCTTACCTGCATCACCCCGTCCCTCATCCCTTCTCATTCTCACATTCGCATCACTCATTCGCTTTTCCCACCCCCAAACCCTTTTCCCCTCATCTTAAGGAGTGTTGAGTTTCAAACTTCACCAGCAGGTTGTCTTTACCATTGCAAAGCAAGCAAGTTTAAATAATAATATGAGTATCTTAACTTACTTCACTTAATGTCTAAAAAACTCTTTTAATAAATATTAATATGGTCACGCCATACATAGAGGAAGGGGTGAGAGTTGGGAGAAGGGATGGCCAGAGGGTGGGTTGGGTAGTAAAACAGGAAGCTCTTTGATATCATAGTGAGTGGGGTGAGGGTAGAAGTTAGGGGTGAGAGAGGTGGAACTGCCAGAGAAGAGTTGATGGAGGAAAAAGAAACTTTATTTGCAAATATGTAAAATTTTTTAAGGACTTTTTTGTAAATATTTACTTTAAATAATAAAATATTATAAAATAAATGATATGACATAACACGTGATCGTGATAAGCTAACTTTTAATTAACACTTAACAAAGAGGAGTTGACAGCAGGGATTAAATCTAAAATTTCTAATTTTTTTAAAATTTATCACAAAATGACCTATATTTATAGGAACAAAAAACATAATTAAGCTTTTATTTAATTTTAAAATCAAATATGTTAGTAATATGGGAGTATGAGACATGATGAATAGTAAGTACTTAAATCAACATGCACTTTATAAGAAGACCCGAATCTTGACGTATTTAGTAGGTAGTTCCCTCCTCCTTGTTGTTTATATTTTGTAGGTATCCTTTGGGTCCAATCCAATTACTACCCTAGCCAAATATATACATTTTGTAAAGAACATTGATGAAAAATATGTGTTCTATGACTACTATGCAAGATAACATTTTTTTTATGGTCTCTAAATTGTAGATTTTAATTAGGTAATTTTGTATTTTGCATTGAAAGTACTGATTACTTTTGCATTGAAAGTACTGATTACTTTTGCATCTACAAGTATTGTGTGGTTTACAACCTATTGCTGCATTCTTTTCAACTTAACATTGTGTGTGGTACAAGGTTTGATTGTATTGCTCTTACAGGAAGTGGAACTGACGGAAGAAAACCAAAAGTTAAAACAGGTGAGATAGGCTTTTCAAACTGGTGCTCATATAGTATTTGTGTACAAACATGGTACAAGGTTTGATTATATAATATTTGTTACAAACACTCAAGAGGAAAATATATATTCTCATTATAAAAATGGAATACATGAAAATTTTAGGTACCGAGCCTTACACATGTACAAAGGCAATCATCGGAATCCATTATCAGCACTTCATCTTATCTTCCTGAAGATGGTGGTGGTGACACATGTCTCAAGTTGGGGTTAGTTTATCTTAATTAACTATGATTTAAAGCTAATGTGAGAGTTCTTTAAACGAGGCTGTCCAAAATCATTCTTTAATTTATTAATTTTTATGACCTTTCTAAACTTCTTCTAAGCACCTGAATATTTTTAACACCTTTTTGGTCTCAATTTTTCTTCAATCTTCTTTCAACTCCCAAATACACCTCAGCAGCCAGAAGATTTTTAGCATGTCTACCTAAGATTTTGAAAGGTCCAAAACCATGGTCAATAGTAGCTAGATATACTGGATTTAGAAAAAAAATATTCTTATTATATATACTTGTAAAGTATGAAAATGGATTCTACAAGAGGGCCGGCGACTGGAATTGATCATTTAGAAGTGAAAGTAAAGATGTTTCTCAATTAACGATATATCAATATTGTACAATTAATTCTAATGAGTAAAATCTAACAATTTTGTTAAATAAATATGTAACTATATCAAGTAAAACTTAATAGAACTAATTACTTTACAATATATACTTTTAATCTTGTATATACTCATTTGAGTTCGTCTCTTTTTGTTGCCTGCAGGTTACCTTTGCTTAAATAAGCAATATAAATGTAGATTGTTACAAGTAAACAAATTCTCTTCCTCTCTGTGTTACGCAAAATTAATTAAATGAGTGTTCTTTGTTGTTTTAAAACAACTCCTGTAAAGTAATTTAATTTAAGGGATGAGAAGCCTTCCTAAAATTGTATTTGAATTCATATTATATTTTCGTCTGGAAAATTGATTTATAGGAAGTGCTATGATAATGTCTATATTTATGATCACAGAAGTTTTATCCTTATTTAGCTTTTGTTTTTCTTTTGTTATTTTAATTAAAAAGAAAGGATGCAAGAGAATTTTTACTGCAAAAATAGAGGGGAAAAAAGGAAAAAAAAAAAATTAGGAAAGAGGTTTTTATTCTTTATTTTTTAAAAGATTTTTTAATCAAGAATTTTTTTTCTTTTCCTTTATCTTTCTTAATGACTAAATATTATGTTAAAGATTATTAGCTGTAAAAAAATTACCTTGAGAATTTGATGTTAAAATAGCAATTTTTTTAGTATAATATATATAATGAGCTTAATTGCAATGAAGTCAATAGATTGAGAAAAAACGAAAAAGTGACATTAGAAAAAATATATACATTTAAATACTAAATATATAAATTTTAATATATATTTATTTTTATAATTATAATTTAAACTTAATTATATTTTGGATCTATATAAAGTAGTGCATTTTAAAATAACTTAAAAAATTGTTAGAATTTAATTCCTTACATTTTTAAAATAATAAAAATTGGTCTTTATCATTAACTAATTTCTATTAAATATCATCACATAATATGTATAATATATTATTATTTAAAAATTAATATTGACAATATATTCTCTTTGCCTAGAATAAAATTGTGCAATGTACCTATTTATAGTAAAAATTTACAAAAATAAATAAATAAATTCAAGAACAATCTAGAACTGAATTTTAGGTCTTTTTAAGTGTGTTTTTAATGCAATAGTAAAATTGGTGTCGTAAAATAAATAATTGAGAAGGAATAGTTACAAGATAATGAAGAAATATTGAATTAAATGTGGCTTGTAGAATTAAATTACAGTAACATAATTGAACAAATGAATTTGAAACAAATTGCAAAAAAGTAATGTACGATTTTTGCAATGAACAATAACAATTGTGAGTCTCTTGGTAGTTGGTGCTTGACTCAATGCAAGATTTTAGTGTGTAGAGAATCTTAGGTGCAATGTCTAGTGCAAATAGTCATCTATCATAATGTAAAGTTTAGTATTATTTATAGACAGATTTATCTCAACTGCTCTCCTCCTTTCGTGGATCTTTTGATAACTGTCATTTGTATGTACTTATCTTCAACCACTATCGTCCATTATCCATAACCGCTCATAGTCGTGCCTTCTCTATAACTGTTGTCGCCCACGATCAATTCTTCATGTCTCTAACCTTCAACTAAGAGTAACCATTGGTAACTGCTGCCTTGGTAATCGCTTCAAACTTTGTAATTCTTTTGATATGTTTTTTCACTTTTCTAGCTTTACCCTGTCTCTTGGACTTAAAATAATATTTTTTGTGATTTTCTATTTCAACAGGTTTTAAAGGAATTATCATGTGTGTGCTTATAAGGGTGTAAAAACGTTTGGTTCTCTTTCTTTTTAGTCGAAAGATTTGTCCATGCCACCAATCTTCCAGGTGTGTTTCTCCTCAAAAATACATAATTTATTTCTTACCACAAAATTTTAGTAAAAACCTTTACATAAACAAGGAAATAAGAGAGGAGTGAACGTGAAAGTTGATATCAAAGAAGATGAGAACCACCATTATTATCCAAGATGTGAGGAGAGATGTTGAAATCATGAGGAAATATATGAATTTAATTATAGGTTGTCACTTATACCTATTTGTATTAAATTTGAATAATTAAGAGAAATTAGGAAGGTTTGTAACTTATTTAGTACCCTAATGTCATACTATTATATGGTATCAGTACTTTTATTCACCGCAAATTAGACTTATAGCTTTATAGGTAACTAATTCTAATATACATCACAAAATTTTAGACATGGAAATTTCTATAAGGAAATAAAGAAATTGAGATAGAACTATAATTGTTATTATTAATAGAAATGTCTCATTGTTCTTTTGTCTTATCATTTTTGGAGTGATTTGGGTAATTGAAATTGAGTGCCGTGGTGTTTCTAGCCAGTTGGCTAATTTAGATTTTTAGTTTGGTTGAGTTTTTGAAGTTTTGTCTAATTGAATGTCTTATTGTTGAAGATAGGCAATAGAGTATTTAGAAGTGAAAGGGAAGAGCATAATATTAATAGAGCATTGTAGGAACTAAACAAATTTGTAGAGTGTTATATGTTCCAAGCATTTATCAAAATTTGTTAAGTGTTAATCAACTAGTAGAGAAGGGATTCAAAGTATTACTTGAGGAATGAATTTTTTTTTTTTTATTGCAATAGGAATGAGTTGTTCAAGATGAAAATGCAACACAAAAGTTTCTCATTTGATCCACTCAAGAAGGAGTAGATAACTTTCAAGTGTCAAGTGAATGACACTGAGTTATGGCATAAGAGGTTGGGATACTTTCATAAAAAAGAATAACAATATTTGTAAAAGACTAAAATGGCAGAAGATTACTAATCTTGGAGGAGCAGAAAGCAAAATGCAAGTCGTGTTTTCATGAAGTCAACCTGGAGAGCGAATAAGAAGCTGCAACTTATTCACACTGAACTTGTGTGAAACTCAACCAACTATCTCACTAAATGGTAACAGGTATTTCATTATTTTTATTGATAATTACACTAGAATGGCTAGATTTATTTTATGAAGTTGAAGTTTGAGGTAGTTAAGATTTTTCTAAAGTTTAAGAGCTAGGTTAAAAATTGAAGTGGTAATAAAATTCAGGTGATTAAATTTGACAATGGAATAGAATATACATCACAATTCTGTGAGGACGCAAGGAACGAGCAACTCACTATTCCATACACTCCACAGCAAAATAGAGTGAGTGAAAGGATGAATATAAGTATTATGAAAATGACAAAATGCATGTTGCATGAGAAAAACTTATCAACGGGTTGAAGCAATAAACATAACAATCTTTCTATTGAACAAATTACTTAAGACAAACAGTATATATATTTTTTTAATTTTTGAGTGTGTTGCATATGTCCACGTTCCAAATTAAAAGAGGACAAAGCTGGACGAGAAAGAAGAAAATGTATCTTTTTTTAGTATTAGGGAGCAATCAAAAGCTTACAAATTGTACAATCCAATTATCAAGAAAATTGTCATTAGCTGTGATGTGATTTTTAATGAAAAGCATTTCTGGATTTGGAGTAAAAATACAGTTCAGCAACATATACAAGTTGATTTTGATGGAGACAATAAAGAAGAAAGGGTGAATGCACAACCTCCAACGAATGAGCAACAACCTGTGGAGAACGCATACATTTCAACTATTGATATAGAAAATGAGAAACCTCAACAAATAAAAAGGAGATCCACATGGACGGCAAATTATGAAGTAATAGGAAGTAAACAAGGTGAGAACTCACTTACTCACTTTGCTCTATTTTCATATTATGATCCTATAACCTTTGAAACTAATAAAGAATTAAAATGGAGAGATGTTATGGCTGCCAAGATTGCTTCTATAGAGAGAAATAACACTTATTATATAGGAGTTAATCAAACTTCCAATTGCGCAAAAGAATTGCATATGAAGTGGGTCTAAAGGCTAAGCTAAATGAGCAAGGTGAAATCAAAACATTCAAAGCATGGTGATAGCGAAAGGCTACAAACAAGAGTTCAAAATTACTTTTAAGGGGAGGAATGCTCATCCTTTCTTGTACCATGTTGTATTGCCTATAAATTAGGCTTGCGATTAATAAAATAAACATACTTTCAATATATATATATATATATATATATATATATATATTTATTTATTTATTTATTTATTTTTATTTTATTTTATTTTATTTTTTCACTTTTTTTTATGTTGCAGCAGTCTTATATTAACAATTTCATGTCCATAAAATTTTGTCTATGGCAAGATTTGAAGTATCATATATACATAATTTATCAAAAAGTTCATATTTCAGTAATTTCTTTCCTTAAATCTCATATTAAAATTAATTACTCTCTTGTTATGTATATACATCCATGTATACTACTGTGATGTTAAATTGTATAAGGGAATAATTAATATGGAATTCTTTTGATTTCCCTTCGACAACACAACGATGTGTTTGGTTTTCATTCTCCCCCACGAAGTGTCTTTTGACGTTGAATTAAAAGTGAAACAATCAAACCCAAGGAATAATTTAACGATTTTTTCTTCAATTATTTGTTATATTTTTTATTATTTTATATTAATAATGTCATCTTTGAGAATTATTTTTAAAATCATTTTCATTGACCAAAAAATTGAAAAAGTAAATTCCCCTTTTTCGGTTATCAATAAAAATGTTTAAATTAGAAATCAATTGAATATTAAAGTGCAAATAACACTTAAAAGTAAAACACACGTAATTTTTAAAATTTTGAATAAATATTAACTAATAATAAAAAATTTGTTGGAAGAAAAAGTTTTGTTGTATGATTATTTTATTCATAATATTATTATATTTTAAAATTAAAAAAAAATAATATCAAGTGTGGATCCTTCCAAAGATGCAATTCAATAACAGAAAACACGTGTATGCATTATGAAAGCGGTTATTTTGAAGGGAAGCGTTAGTCTCGTTACATACCGCTAAAGACGTGTTCTGCTTCAAATCTCTCTCACACGTGAAGTTAAACAGAAGCCTCCCTTGTTCCTCTCCTCACTCATCAATTCAAAAGCTCATTTTGTTTTCTCTCTTTTCCTTTTCTATCTGCGTTTGCTTCAATCTCTTTCCATTTTCACAGACTCAAAAAACAATGGATGAAGAGTACGATGTAATTGTCTTGGGCACAGGTCTCAAGGAATGCATCCTCAGTGGCCTTCTCTCTGTTGATGGCCTCAAGGTCATTTTTCTTCTCTTTCTCATCTTTTCATTCATTTATTTCATCATGTTAGATTGCAAACGAGGCCGTATATTCTTTAATCTTTTGAAGTTTGTCCCATCTATGATTTAGATATCGTCTTGGAATTCATTTACTTTTTCTTTTCAATTTTTGGAAAAAAAATTTAAAGTAATCATGTCTTAATTATTGCTTATAAAAAATGCTTATGAATTAAAAAAGTAAATATTATTTTCTAAAAGCTCTTTCAATCAACTACAAAAAAACTAAAATTTAGCTAATCCAATAAGTAATAAATGCAATTCAAAGAAAGTTGCAGTAGTAGCTATTACACGGTGAAATAAACTATTAATTTCATGTAAGTTCTAGTAAACAAAAAATAGAGAGATTAAAAAAAAACTCTTAAGAAATATCTTAAAGGAAAAAAATCACTCAATAAAAATTTAATTTTGACAGAATTTGGTGAGATAATTGATCCATGTAACTAATAGCATAGTGATATCTGGCCAAGTTGTTTAGGTAATTAATTATTAAAATTAATTGTGTAATATTTATATAATATTTTGAGTCAACTATATTTTCAAATTTTATAATATAACATTTATTTTAATTTTATTTTTTTTTGACCTTTAAATAATTTTAATGTTTTTTAGAACAGTGAATGTTTTAGTAATGTTATTTGTTTCTAAAATTTTATATTTTCTTAGTACTACGAATAAATAAAATTTAAATAAGATTAATTAAAAAAATAATGTTAGAAATTAAAAATAATTCGGATGCTAATCTTTTTTCAGAACTGTGAATGTTCACCTAAAATCAGTATGGATGTTTGGTCAAATATGCCAATTGCTTCATCGCAGTGGCAATATATTTTACTCTTTAGTTGTGATTCCAAACCTAGCATAGTGCACACTATAAAAGCCACTTCTCCAGTTCCAAAGAGTAATTGGGGGCATAATGAAAGATGAAATCATGAAAAAAAAAAAAAGAAGGGTTGTTCATGAATTAACTTTTAACTCCAGAGAATTTTGCTACAGCATATCAATCCTTTTCTGAAGTATATGAAGCAAATATAATCAGTATGGAATTAGACTAAGATTTACAAGACTTAAATTTTATTTATTTTTAAAAATAATTTAATCTCTTTTTTAAGTAATTTAATCTGACCCCAAAAAATTATTTAAATGCTTACTTTATGGTGAAACCTTTTAAATATGTTAACAAAACTTGATTTAAAATGAGTTAATAAACTTAAACTTATATATAAGTAAATAGGTTTAAGTCTTTAAATATATTTACAAGTATATAATTTTCAAATATTATAATAAAATTTTAATCATATTGTGGTCTTATTTGTATTTATTAAATAGTTCTATCTGGTATGTTTAAAAATATTTTCAAGAGACAATTCATAACTTTTAGGCAAATATTTAGTACTTATTAAAAATTAAATGTAATTTTCTTTTGTCAAAAGTATAATAAATACATTTTCTTCGTGATTTTCAATACAGTTCAGTATAATTTTTAATAAAAAAAAATCACTTTTAATACTTTAACTAATGTCATAAGGGTACTAGTTTATATGATTCTAACTTTTAACTAGAGGTGTTAACTTCGGTCATAAAGACGAAAGATAAGTAACTAAAAAGAATAAACCGTTAATTGAGAACGAAAATATTTATTATTTTTAAAATATAAAACTATAATAATTTTTTTAATAATTTTTTTTAAATACTTAAATTTAATTTTAAGAGTTAAGGTTAACAAAATTTATAACTAAGTAACTTTTATGATATCTCATTCTGACTTGCTCTCAGCCTTTAGTGAGTTAAGCCAAAGGCTATACGAGTGATTAGATAAGCTTGTTTTGCATGATTTTCCAATTGCAAACTTGTGACAGATTTAGGAAACATGATAAAAAGTTCAGTTAGGAAAATATATGTCGGTATTTTAAAATAATTATCTGAAAAGACTTTTAACAAACATTAAGAAAGTTAATAAATATTTCTCACTTCTGAAAAAATTCAAGTCATATGACTATATTAAGCCACTTGATCAGGTGTTGCACATGGATAGAAATGACTACTATGGAGGAGCTTCTACATCTCTTAATCTTACACAGGTCACTCTCTTCTTAAGCACATTTGTAATAGAAGCATGGGAAATATCTCCTCTTCTTTTTCATGTTAGTATTCTTTTCATGCTAAAACTCGTTTTCTACTATATAGCTATGGAAGCGATTTAGGGGAGAGGACACGCCACCAGAGAACTTGGGCTCGAGCAGAGAATACAATGTTGATATGATACCTAAGGTATGTACCTGTGGATCAACAACGGAAAACTAGAAAGAGTGTGTATCATATTCAGTTTTTCTAAAGTGTGTAAGGCACATGTTAAAAAGTCGAGAAATAGTAAGTTTTTATTGAAAACTATAATATTAAATGTTATTAATGCATTGAATTTTGTTATATCTTGTTATTTTCAATAAAGTTTTATTAAGCATAACCTCTTTTTGTGTGCCTTGGACATACATTAGAAAACCAAAACACATTTTATATTGTTTTCTTCGTTTGCTGTTGAATTTTGACAGTTATGCATGTTGCATACATTGTGGATTCCTTACGTCTATTTGTTCTTTCTTAAACTTACCTCTAACATTTTAGTAGGACAACAAACCTGTGCTTATATGCTAATATTTCTTGAGTCTTGCTTTAAGTGGTAGGTTATGTAGACCAAAATCTTCTGTTGGTTTCTATTTGAGCATAAAACTCAAGTAAAACAATCTTCAACGTGGAAAAAAATTGCAATTAGCGAAAAAAACTCAAGTAATTGCTTTGTGTCCTCTTTCATGCACTAAATGGCTTTTATTTTTGCCTTTTCATGGAATTTTCCATTATTTTTTCCTTGTCTATATCTCTAATTGCTTATATAGTTTCCATTTCTTTATATTTGTGACAAAAACCAACTTTCATCTGTTTTTTCATAGTTTATGATGGCCAATGGAGCTTTAGTCCGTGTTCTCATTCACACAGATGTTACAAAGTATTTAAACTTCAAAGCTGTTGATGGAAGCTTTGTGTATAATAAGGGAAAGGTAGGCAGCATATTCACCATATTCTTTTTTTATTTTTTCTGTTTTTCACAATTGCTACTTTTTTATATTGCAAACAGGACATTTCACAAAACCTCTCATCTTAGAAAAGTCTTGTGACAGAATATCTTTATTTATTTTAATTAGATTTACAAAGTCCCAGCAACAGATGTTGAAGCATTGAAGTCACCTTTAATGGGACTGTTTGAGAAGCGCCGTGCTCGAAAGTTCTTCATTTATGTCCAAGATTATGAAGCAAATGATCCCAAATCTCATGAAGGACTAGATTTGAGCGAAGTTACAGCTAGGCAGCTGATATCGTATGTATCTACGTACTTTCCTTCCTCACTATTGGTTATTGCATCCTCTTATACAAAATGAAGTTTTACCATCAAGATGAAAATTTGAGCTCCAGATCTAAACGTTTGGTTTCTTCATAACCTAGAGCATTTTGAAAGTTTAATTTGGCTTGCCATCACCAAAGCATCAAAATAGGATGACAGACTAAAGATGAAATAGTGTTAAGATAACTTTTGTTATATCTATCCTGGATCCATTTCAGTGAATATATGGCATTAATTTAGAATTTACAGAAGTTGGCTACTCTATGAACTATCATTCCTGTAGTAAGCTGCTAATAAATGATATGATATGCAGGAATTCGAAATTATTTTAACCCAGTTTAATACCTTGATTGAATATACTTCTCTACATTTTTAACGGTTTCTCCACATATAGGAAATATGGGTTGGAAGATGATACTGTTGACTTTATTGGTCATGCCTTGGCCCTTCATCTTGATGACAGTTACTTGGATAAGCCAGCCAAGGATTTCGTGGAGAGAGTTAAGGTACTAATTTACTTATTATCCTTTAAGCTTTAGATATGAGTGTATATGTGCCATTGGCCTGTTTCTGGACCATATACTCATTTGGTATATATTTTTTTCTCTGTTAATTTGAAGAATCATAACAAGTACTAATTAGATTTTCTTTTTTGGTCTTTAAATCATTAATCTAAGAAAAGCTTGTTTCTTTGGTTCATTTTGTTTAATGGCTATTGAAATTACTAATTGATATCATTCCTTAGGCTTCCTCTTTTTCTCCTTTATGGAATTTTCTGTCTTGATACGTTTCAGTATATTACATTAATATTTGCATCGCAGAATCACTTCATAAACTGTGTAAGCATGTAAATCTGTTGTCTGTTGTGTACAGATTTATGCAGAGTCCCTAGCACGCTTTCAAGGAGGGTCACCTTACATATATCCACTATATGGACTGGGAGAGTTGCCACAGGTTCTCCATACTTGTTTCCCCTTTTTAAATTTAAGCCCAGTTTGAGTAAACTTCTAGTGAAGTTCTTGTAAGAGAGGAAAATCATAAAAAACAATGAATAAAACTTTTTTTATAGGTTAAAAACAACTTATCTTCTCAAATCTTATAGAAGTTGAATGAAAAACCCTAAACTCTCAAAAAATAAAGAAAAATAAGTCGATTTTAATTATAAGAAGTTTGATTCATTTTACCATTTAATTTTTTACTTCTATAAATACTTATTAAGAAGTTTATCCAAACTAAGCCTTAGTGAACTTTAGGAACTAACTTCCCTTTTTATTTTTTTTATTTCGGTAAGGCATTTGCACGTCTGAGTGCTGTGTATGGTGGAACTTACATGCTAAACAAGCCAGAATGCAAGGTAAGTTTGCGACAATACTTCTATATTCATGAAAATCAATTGTACTACAATAACTTGTAGTGCAAGGTAAGTTTGCACTACAATACTTCTATTTCTGTTTGCACTACAATACTTCTATTTCTGTTTGCACTACAATACTTCTATTTCTGTAACTTAATTATTCCTCTATTTTGTGGTTCACCAACTCCTAATAAAAGAATCCACAATATACAAATGAAAATGCAAATTACAGTAATTAGCACTCCTAAAATACAGGTTAAGTAAACAAAAGTAGAAAGTATTTAGACACATTGATTTGACCATAGTTCAATCATAGTTGAACAATTAATCAGTGTCGCTTTCGGTTTGGTAAAAGGTTAGGCTTTAGAAACGTTAATGTTTATATTATATCTATATATATATATAAAGGTACTCTCAAGTCCTTGCTGTATATCTGTCCTCACATTTAATCTTCTGGTACACAGGTAGAGTTTGATGACGATGGGAAAGCCATCGGTGTGACTTCAGAAGGAGAAACAGCCAAATGCAAGAAAGTTGTGTGTGATCCATCATACCTCTCTGATAAGGTAGTATCCTGGGTTGGATTTCTAAGGTTAAAACTACAAGGACTATGAGTTACATTTTCTTTAAGTGTTTTGTTTAGTTATTGGACATGTTAATTTATATGAATGTCTAAACATAAGTTGTAGCTAAGTGTGCTTTTACCTCATCTGACTCTATTTATTTCATCCAACAGGTTCAATTGGTTGGAAAAGTTGCACGTGCAATATGTATTATGAGCCATCCTATTCCAGACACCAATGACTCTCACTCAGCCCAAGTCATTCTGCCGCAGAAGCAGCTTGGTCGTAAATCAGACATGTAAGTTTGCTTTCATCTGCAAGGAGGAGAGATAAAGATGCATGAGATTATGGGACCCATTTATCATGTGGGACCTACTTATCCCATATCTCTTTTTGTCTCCCACAACCGGAGAAGAGTCTTACAAGAGTTTCTTGGGAGGATCCGAATCCTCTTCCATGTAATGAGAAAAGTGAAAGACACTGGATTGAAGTGGGTCCCATTTGACATGTGGGTCTCAATTGAATCTTGTGTCTCTCTCTTTTTTGGTTATAGGCGTAAGAGGTTCTTGAGAGGAGTTCACAATTCCTGCAGAAAATTGTTTTCCTCTCTTCCCAAAAAAAAAATAAAGAAAGAAAAATAATGCTAGGTTCTTGAGTAAAAGAAGTGTATTGAAATTTTGGCTGAATCATACCATACTCTATATACATGGCAGTTGATCTTTATAATCATACAAAGTATTTGTAACTGACATGTATTGTTGTTTAATACACCAAAATAGATTATAAAATGTAAAATACAATTCGAATTTCCAAGCTGAAAATCCCAAAAGCAAAGGGGAAAAAAATATATTTCTGTCCATACCACCTATAATTGCCATACATTACATAATTCCAAAAATAAAAGAATGGACTTTTACTTGGGAATACTCTCACTTCCAGCTTTTTGGTTCGGTTTGCTGATTTCGCTTGTTATTGCAGGTATCTCTTTTGCTGCTCTTATGCTCACAATGTAGCGCCAAAAGGAAAATATATTGCTTTCGTTACAACAGAAGCTGAGACTGATCAACCTGAGGTGGAATTGAAGCCTGGTATTGACCTTCTTGGACCTGTAGACGAGATATTTTATGACATTTATGACAGATTTGAACCCTGCAATGATCATGAAGCTGATGGTTGTTTCATCTCTACAGTAAGTATTGAGTAGAATCTCTCATAAGCATATTTTCTATTTCTTTTGTTGTTTTTTACTTCCTAACAATTGTTAGTTGGCACTTGAGGGGATGATACAGAGCACTGCGATACCAATACATCACAAAGTTGCCTGTCTTATTTGACTCATGGAAAATATCTAAAGTTTATCACTAATGAATAGGGCCAGGATATGTGGGAAAAAAGAAGAATCAAATATTAGTTTGGTTTAAATAAAGTAATTACATCTCATGTTATGTAAGTTTCACAATTTAGAAACCTAAGGTTTGTTATGTTTCAAAATATTTAGGGAAAGATTTTGTCTTTAGCTTCTTTCATGATAGATATGAAATCTTATCACACTTCTTGTTCACCCTATGTAATGGAATTTCTTTCCTTATTCTTTGTATCTTCGAAAATCAATTGTACTAACATGAAATTAAATCCTTGCAGAGCTATGATGCTACCACACACTTTGAAACAACGGTTAAAGATGTGGTTGGGATGTACAGTAAGATCACTGGAAAGGTTCGTATTTTTTTAGTTAATATTCAATTGAAATTACATGTTTGATCACAAGTACAATAATAAATGTACACAGTTTAGAAACATCGAGAAATCTGAAAGAATTGGTATTGTAAAAAAGCAAAAGGAGTGGGCCAAAATATTGACAGATCTATATCTCTTATTGTCTACACTTTCAAATTTTACGTAAATGCTATCTTTCTTTCAGTAAAAAAAAAAAAAAAAAAAAAACAAAAACATATGCTTGCAATTTAACTCTGGTTTCCTTGTTTACACTCCTTATTGAAGCTAGCACAAATTTTCAAAAAGTTAAGCACCTCTTTTTTTCAAAATAGATTGGTGCCTGTAGTTGTACATATGGCCAAGAAATATGCATATCTCTGTTTGTTCCCGCGTCCAAGCAAAATTTAGACCTAATTTGTTTCCTCACAAAATATAGAATTTCTATATCTTCTTTACTGAATCTGATATGGACGATTTACATATAATCTTGGAACTGAGCATTTGCATGCAAGAAATCATTTATGCTCCACATATAATGTTGCATGAGCAAAATGTCATATCAAAGGGAGAGAAAAGCTAATGTTGCATTAGAAGTCTGGTATCCTTTTTTCTTGATATTAAGAACTTTCTTGTCCATTTTTTCAGGTTCTTGATCTTTCTGTGGACCTGAGTGCCGCAAGTGCTGCAGCTGAAGAATGAGATTGGTTGAAAACATAAAAACATGCTCAAGTATTAAAAGAAAGATTCAGTTTTTGTTTTCTATTTCATATTCTTTTTTTTTTTTATCAAATATATTTTTGTGTTTAGATTATTGAATGAGAAGAGAAAAAACACATCCTTGTTCTTTTGCTCGATGGGCTTTTTATGCCCCATATATGACTGCTTTCTTTAACTCAAGACAAGCTGTTTATTAGTCAATATATTTGTTGTGATCATTTTCCTTTTGAACTTCTATCGTTAAATCCATTTTCCAGCATATTAGTTAAAAAGATGTGATTGTGACATACAGTTAGATCATAGTAAAATATGATTGAGGTACATTATAATTTGTCTTTCAAAAAAACTAGGGGTATATTAGACATTTTAATCCATATAGGTATAGTTTATACATCAAGCTTATTTTTTAAATTTTGGTTTTGCCTACTTATTTATTGAAAATTTTAGCAAGAGCTTTATTAACATAATAACTTTGCACTAAAGATTGTATAGTTATATAATTTGATGATTGTTATATTAGCAAACTCATCAAGCAACTTTCTCCAAAATTCCATACAAACACGAAAAATTTTCACTCTTCATCGTTTCTAGTTTCCAATCACGTCACCAAGAATTGAATCCTAAATTTCATACTGTTGCTTCGCACTGCAAACAACTTGCCAGCACTTAAATGGATCAACAGCATCTGCTGACATATATTAAAAAAGAACAAATGAGGCGATACCATTTATATTTCTTTGTGTTTGCAGCCGTGGATTACTATAAGTAGCTCCACATTAAGTTCAGAACTTCAGGTAGCTCAGTACCTCTCACTAAATCTTTTTCCTCTTAAACGGTGAAACTCAGAGTCACCAGTACAGATGTACAAGCGAATGAAGTCGGGTAAGAAATTAACAGGTTTTATTTACCAAAGCACATGCAAAATGGTCCACTGTTCACTGATCCACAGAGTTTTCAAGCATTTGTCATATATTCTATTCACATACTACAATTACATGTACAACATTAGTAAAGAGCTGAGGTATCAATAGAAGAAAACTACGTCAAATTTATTGCTTACCAGAGTTTTGTGAAGTACAACGCCAAATTGAAAATAGAAAGCAAGAGGACAGGATTTGTGTGTTCTTAGCTGCCTAACTTGAAAGCATCTACGAAGAGTCCCAAACATATGCCGGCTTTCCAGTAGTTCACCATCACTAGAAAAGACTGCAACCTCCCAGTTTTCACAGTAGGCGGCTTTCTATATATTAGCATGCCAATTCCCTCAATTGCAGCTACCACAACACCAGCAACCAGGACATCCCAATCACCAGTTTGCCCAAGGATTGTAGCCAGTGCATTTGCTGTGTAGAAACCCAAAAGTAGCAGGAATATCTTCATAGGGAAGTTCTTTCTGGCTGAGTTCAGTTTTTCTAGAAGTTGTCTGCCACCTGCAGTCAGTATCCTACCCAATCGAGTACCCCCAAAATTGGAATTGGCATCGTTGAGGCTTTGTTGCTCACCATTATTAGACACTCCACCTGTGTTCAAGGCAAAAGCTATTTTCCACCCAGCTCTTCTTCCCAGGAAACTGAACCAAGGTATTGACAAACAATTGATATTGCATGGATATAGAAATAACCATTTGTTCCCTAAGTAGTAAGATTAGAAAACACCCAGAAAGTCCAGTCAATTAACAATGCTATCAATTAGACTGGCATAGTCATGCTTATTTCTAGCAACCTATATCATGTAAAAGAAAAGTATTTAATTGGAAGGAAAGGAATGGCAAAATAAATGCATCAGGTAAGGCAAGAAAAAAGAAATTAAACTCTAGTGGGAAGGATGAGTGATATCCATTTTTGAGATTTTAAGATGAGAGAGTTGCTAATAACTAACGTTAAAGAATTATATACAACAGAAGTAACCAAGGCCTTTTTCCTACTAGGTGAGGTCAGGTAGACATGAATATAATGCCATTGTATTTCGTTAAAAACCAATTCTTCATAGAGAAAAATTAAAACGAAATCTCTTTTGATGGTTTTACCCAGACTTTTACTTGGTCTTCCTCTACCTGTAATTTGTAGCTATCCTTCATTTAATCAACACTTCTAATTGAGGCTTCTATTCTCTTCTTCTCACATGTTCAAAGGATTATTTCATATGAAGCCAATAAATAAAATAATGAAAAGTCACCATGATTTTGGACCAAGGGAAAATAGAAATGTTAAAATAAGTTCAATTACCAGCTCTGAGCAAAAGGTGAAGACTTCATGCCAACTTTTAGAGTTAACCCATAAAATCTTGGCTCACAGCAACAGCTATAGATTCTGGAACTTGTTTGGGCTACGTGTGAATTATCAGAGCTTTCATTCTCTGCAGTTGATAATCTCCACCTCAGAATCATAGATCCCATTTTACAAGCCATGTATTATAAACAGAAATTTTAGACAGGTTGTACAATTCTTCAGATTTATGTAGTGTTCTCAGACTCCTAATCTGCACAAGTTTGAAGTTTATGTTATTAAGTTATAAGTAGAGCTTCACATAATAAAATTATTTGCAATTTTTTTTCATTACTATATATGTAACACCATGCTCATTGGACTATTTGATGCAGAGATATCTTTTCGTAATAGTATCATTAGTTTCACTAGCAACGGACACCCAAAAGATCTAAAGATTTGAGCAGCCCAATGAAGTGTAAACAAAATATTCTAACACAAACAATCCATTTCTTTGTCAGAGAGTTAGAGCCAAAACGCCATAATATTCCCTTTTCTGGCACGCTTAGCATTATACAATTCAACCATGATTCTTCTTCGAAACTTTTCAATATGCATCTTCAAAGTGATTGCATATTACACGAGAACATGATACAAACTATTAATTAATGCAAACACAGGGATGTAAATACATTGGGATTAAGTGTGACCTAGTCAAGAATTTGAAAATTCAAAGCAGTAATCACATGCAAAGAAGCAAATAACTATATTTAAAAATAAAAGAAAAAGAAAAAAAAAACCTCCTATGAAGTGAGTTTGCTTCTAAAGTGTACAAACGGTAATCCTAACCCAGAAGAATTGAAGAGTAAGTACACAGTACTAACACCGTTACTCACTTCATCAAAATTTACTCAGCAAACTGTTGGTCACTAAATTTGCAGAAGCCATAACTGTGGAGAAATAAACAACAGCAGTCAGTCCCTATCTGTTTGACACTAAAATATTGAAGCAATTGAAGACAATTTTCGGAATCGGAAAAGCTAGCAAATGCAGAAATGAAGCAAACTTACTTCTCCAAGAAAATGCTCCCTTATGATGGTTGATTCTCTGTTACGCTCCAAGTAATGTAACAAAGATCATCGAAGAGAATGCAGAGAGGTTGAGTTGCGGTGGTTAGCACGAGAAGAAATTGATTAGAGTGTTACCTCGATCAAGAGACGAAGATGAGAACCCGGTAGCACATGGTCGGGTCGCACGTGACTTGCGACCCCAAGCACCAAGCACACGTGTCTCTTTCGAGCAAGCCACTCCGAATTCGGGTCAACCCGAGAATCCGAACCAGTGAGATCGGGTGGGGAAATTTTTAATTTATATAATACGAAAAAATATACTGTGGATATATTTGATTGCATGAAAGTTTAAGGACCATTTATTCATCATCCAATTGGAGAGAGAGAGAGAGAGAGAGATGGAGGAGGTGGAGAGAGTGAAGGCAGAAGCAGTGCAAATAATGGGAGTATTTCAAGTGTTGCCAAGGCTCGTGGTTTTCGATCTCGATTACACTCTTTGGCCTTTCTACTGGTACCACTGCTTTACTTCACCATTCTCAAGTGTTGCCATTGTTTTTTACTGCTTTACTTAACCATTCTCAAGTCAACTAAACTAAACTAGCATTTTGATCATTTGAGTGAGTGCCGATCCAAGCGCGACACGCCTTCTTTGTATCCTCATGCCAAAGGTATATTGTGTGCACTCAAACGCGAGGGGGTTGATGTTGCCATTGCTTCTAAATCGCCCACTCCGGACATCGCAACAACGTTTCTTCATAAACTCAGCATCAGCTCAATGTTTGTTGCCCAGGTCTTTCTGTTGCTCAATCACGCTTCTTTAATTTTTTTATCTTTTATAATCAAATTGCCGCTGTTCTAGTGCCATATTTTCATCCTCTTGTTGCATTGCCAAAAATGAGATTGAGTTTTGAAAATTGCAAATCAATATCACAATCTTGTTGTTGTTGTTTTGATAGTTCTCCAAAGTTTTTGTTTAAACAAATAATTCAATTGAAATACTCATGCACTATACGTTCTTCAAAATTATTGACTTTATAAAAAAATAATTAAAAATTATATCTAAATAATTTTAATTAATTAAGAATATCAAATCTTTATATTAAACAAATTTAGAACCTAATAATAAATAAAATAAAAAGACATTAAATTTATTTTATTTTTAAATAAAATCACCTTATATATTTCAACTTTTTAATAATTTAAATGAAAGAGTTTCTAAAGTTGAAGTGCATAAATTAATTTTTACTAATGAAAAGGTGTAACTTTTTTATATTTTTTTTTATCTCTGGGAGACGATTGTAAAAATTGTTGTTGAAATTTATATTTTCAGAAAATATTTTAATTGAGCACTTAAGCTTTTACTATATGAAGATTTATATAATAAATTTCATCATTAAATTTATTAAAATAAACTTTACAAAATATAAAATAGAACTTAATTAAAATAATTATTTTAATAGTTTACCTAAAAAACCTAGTAAAATAAATTTAAAAAATTATAAATTCTTCTAAATATACTTTCTGATAAAAAAAAAAAAAGACTCAACTTGTAAGAGAAGTTGGGTCTATTCAGAAGAGGCATAGTCCTCACAGCACAAAATGGTGAATTTGAGTCTCAATTCTAATTGGAAGAAACACCTTGTATTGGTGATTTCCTCAAAAAAAAAACAAGCGATCCCTGGTTTCCTCAAAAAGAACGACAGAAACAGAATGGATCTTGTAATAAAGCCCCGTCTATTTTAAAAGATAAGCCTACCTGAAAAGGAAACTGAAGGGATCTTTAACTTGTGCCAAACTAGAACAGCCCAATTAATTATAAGAGAGATATCATGAAAAGCAGAGTATATTGCAGAAAGTAGGCACAACCTGTAGTTATCTTTTAATATCAAGTTGCTCTCGCATAAGCGAATTTTACGTGATTTCTCGTTATTTTCATATGAATCGCTTTCTACTCTTGACTGAATTTGCGTCACTCCAAGCACCCTCTTTGACGGTCAATAACTGTAATCAGATTAAAGTGTTGACCAAATTTAATTCTTTTTTTCTGATTGTTCAGGAAATATTCTACAGCTGGACACACAAAACAGATCATTTTCAGAGAATTCATTCAAGGACTGGGGTCCCCTTTAACTCTATGCTCTTCTTTGACGATGATAATAATAACATCCAAGGGGTAATAAAGCGTGCATCTGTTTTTTTTATTTTAATGAATTTTCTTAAATTTTCTTGCCAACGGTTGCTTCCACATTTTCAACTGAGTCCTTAATTGGATGATTGGATCATATAGAATTATGTGTGTGTGAATTTGCTCTTCTTCGTTTCGTGGAAGAAGGATTATCAATTTTTCACATGTAACATGATTTGTGGTGCCGATCATAGGTCTCGAAAATGGGAGTGACAAGCATTTTGGTTCGAAATGGGGTAAATCTTGGAGCATTCAGAGAAGGCCTGGCAAAATTTTCTCAAAACTGGAATGCATCAATGAACAAGCAGAAGAGGCGCAAGTAATACTCGCAGAAGGCAGATACTTCCAACGACGATGCTGAAATGGAATGTCCTAATGAAGTTTCTATATGTGAACTTAATTCAGAACCACATCAATTGACGATATCAAAATATGTTGCCACTGTTACTCCCAAAAACCAAAAGGAAAATGAAAGCGTACCTTGTCCATTTTTAACATGAAATAATTTTATCTAGTTGAATAAAAATCTCAAATTGCTGAAAAAGCAAGCAGAAATGCCTCGCATAGTACTACGAGAAGCCAGACATGATGCATAAGTTTGTAAAAAATGTAATTTTGTTAAATTGATTTAATCTAAGTGAGTTTAAAGTGACATAATTTAATGATTTATGTTAAAAAAAATTCAATTAAAAATAAATTTGTAATAAAACTTAGTATAGAATTTTAGATTTTGTTAAGGATTGATGATATGCAACTAAAAACAGTAAAATTTTATCAAAAAGAAAAATATTTATTATACTTGTATAATTTTAATACAATAAATATGTATATTTTTTATAAAAAAAATCTATTTATAGATACCTAAACTCTGTGTTAAAAGTTATCAAAATCCTAATTTTTTAACTCAATGCAAAGTTATAATTATTATGTTGACTTAAACAGAAATAAAATCAACTATATTATCAAATTATCAAACATGTTATCATGAATTTTAAGTCACATTTACGTTTTCAAATTTGAGTTTAAGAGCTTTAAATTCAAATCCAAAACAAGCACTTATTGTTTGATAAAAGTTCGATAAAAGTTCTGAGTATTTAAATTTCAACCGAGTAAACCAGTTCATGCTAAATTTCCAATGCTAGCAAGAAAAGAAAGGGAAACGGATACTAAATTTCAAGTGAGTAAACAGAATTTCATACTCGATATCATAGATACATATAGAATTCTGTAGAAAGCCGTATTCAATAAAAGTCATATATACAGCTTGGAGGGAGATCTTTTATATTCAAGATCCACTCGACAATATAGAACCAAAAAGTCAAAATAAATAATTTTAGTCCTTATAAGTTATAAAAAAAACAGATTCTCCCTTTCACGCTCATGTCACGACAAGATACTGCAGAAGAAAAAATCGCAAAATTTGATCCAATTTATCATAATCAATTAGTTAACATGTTGGTTAGCTTTATTCTGAAACACAAAAAAAAAAATTATTGGCTTATCAAATTATTTATCGAGCTATGAAAAAGATTCAACAAAAGACAGAAACAAATTCACTATCTGTTTTAGGTCAAGCAATATGTGGAGTAACTATCGATATAGCAGTAAAAGCAAGATGCGTAGGCGGATCGACTCATCAAGTTTCCATTAAAATAGGATCCACACAAGGAAAAACACTTGTCATTCGTTGATTATTAGGGGCATCCCGAAAACATCCGGAGTCGAAATATGGCTTTCAGTAATCCAGTTCCCGTAGTTTGGTTTATTGTGAACTGCACAAATAGAGATGTTTCCTTAATCCATCGATGCTTATCTATATGGCATTTACAAGATTTTCCTGAAAGTAGAACAACACTTTTACTTTCTCCTATTTACCCATTTCACTTTTTCCTTCACTTCTATAATGGCTAAAGATAAATTTTCTTTTTTTTACACACACAAAAAAAAGCAAGATCATTTGTTCTAGAATTGAATTTAAGATATTATTTTACGAGATTTCCCCTCTTGGTACAATTTCGATATCATATTTAGAAAAAAAAAATTTATTGGGAAGAATCTTCGCTTTAGTGCTAAGAGATTACTTTCTTACTTGTCGAGGGAATGGAAACCGCAGGTCACTTAAAAAACAAAAATAAAAACTGGATGAGACAAAGTTCAAAACTAAATCCTAAATCGCAAATTCTGATAGTGATCCCTAGCTATAACATTAGTTAATGAATATGATAAATGTTAAAAATACCTCAATCAATCACAACATAGCTGCTCCCCAAAAGTAATGAGTTTATTATATATCTATTCAAAACTCTAGAAAAGTTGAGACAGTTTTAAATTTACTTTATATATTTACAAAGAATAGGCCAATGGCCTATCTTTAATGGCCTACATCTAAGAACATAATTCAATAGTTACAAAAGAATGAACAAGCAAATCTGCAAGCAATACTAACATATACAGAGATTCATAGGTTTGTTGTGGACTTATCTCCAATATGCAAGCACTACTTTCAAGTGTTTTAAACTCTTTCTGCAAGGAGCAGTTGTTCAAGTTCCTCTTTGCGCCGTTCCAACTCCTGGAAGTGTCCATAAAAGCAAGTAAATACAGCAGCAGGTTAAGATAAAGAGAGTAAATTTTGATTAGACGGAGATAACAGTTACTGGAGAGAAACAAAATAGTCTCAATCCTCTCAGTTAAGATCGAAAACAAGCCTCTGCAATTCATCTCTGTACCCAATCCACCAATGATGATGGGCATGAAAAGAAGCACTATTGCAATATGAATATAACAATCTAACATCCAAAGATGCAAGCTTCCCATACAAATTTATTTGAAGTTTTGAACTAATAGGTGTAGTCCTTTACGCGATATTTTCAAATCATATAGTCACTGTTCACGGCCTTAAGCCAATAGCTGATTCAGACTGTGATCATATGCGTTCATCTAGCACGTTGTAATGTGTTCTCCCTTCCCCCCCCCCCCTCTCCCCACACCACATCATGTAAAGTATGTTATCATGATCAAGCATCACGTTGAACTTCATTATGTCCTTGCAGTTAAGGAACCACAAAAAATAGACCTAAATCATAACATCTGAACACAGCAGCATACCTCCAGATCCTTAGTTGCTTGTTCTCTTGTAATCTCCTGCTTTTGGCGGGCACGCTTAAGAAAACCAATGCATAGGATACCCTTCATTGAGGAAAGAAGAAATTAATAAAAAAAAAAAGAATGTCAGCTTTATCTTTCAATTTCCCTTTCCAAGTAGAAAAGAATTATTAGAAGATTCATTGAAGAAAATCACTGGGAAAAAAAAAAGCGTAAAGAGTGAGAATAATCTATTAGAAAAAAATTTAAACTGTCTGACAAAATGTATATCAGACATGGACAGTGGGAACTGAAATAAATTTCAAGTATGTTCGGCAATAGAACACTATATGCAAGACATCCTAGAATGAAAAGAATTTAAAGAATAAAAGTAGAAAGAAAAAGAATTATTTAAGTCATACAGTTTACAGCATTTGATCTCACTCTGATAATACTGTATTTAATACCCAGTATTTTGCCAAGTCGACAGAAAAAGTATAAATTATAAAATTAATATACTTGCACAAAGAATGAAATATTAAATCATCTTGTATTGACTATAACTATAAACAAACTTCATCTTTGTGAACTTGCTATGAAGCAGTTTCAACCCACATAACATAACATAACATCTAAATTTAAGTGATAAAGACATTATTGACTAAATAGTTTGCTTTCTTCAATGATCTTACTGAAACAACATAAACTACGCCACAGGCAAGCAGTATATAACTCGCTATGCTCTGAAGAAGAAAAAGGTCCTTTCGGTCCCCAATATATTCAGGAAAAGCCCTCGTCATGACTGCAACACTGCACAAATTAAACCACCACTCAGAAACCAAACCACAGAGTTTAAGCATCATGAAGAAAACAAAAATCACAGTATATACTAGTTACTTTCACAACTTTTTGTGCTATTCCGAATACTAGATCCCAATTAAGAATTCAATCAACGGAGCTCAATAAATCCAATACCTACTATACAATATAACATTGGTCACTGTACATCTAATCTTAATAACCATTTTACTAAGCATTATCCAGGGAAACTTGTTAAGGATACAAAAATAGAAAACAATTATTAGAAAAATATTAACTATATTAGAAATATAAAATAATGTAATACGGTGTATTTCCTATTCTTTAATCGGTACTCTTTTGAAGTTCGTTTTCTAACAAAATCGTATTAAAAATGCTAGGAATACACTATTAAAAAAATCAGTAAGATCATATGATTTAATGGGTATTAGAAGAAATTCCCTCAATTGTCTGTTCCCCAGAGTAATTTATTATGAGTTATCACTGACACTAACTAAGAACTACTACACCGACATAAGGTAATTAAGCTAAATTAGAATGTAGTGAGAGTAAGCGAACACGTACAAGATCTGCAGCATACCCCTGGCAGCCCAATACTCCAAAATCTACAAATGGAATATTCAATTGTGTCCAATTAACCATTCATCAACACTTAACATCATTAAGCAGATAATAAGCAACGAATGAAAATGAAACCTGCGAGAACTTGAGGATGAAACTCCATTCAGTCTCAATGAGGACCACAAAAGCCGCAATTAGAACCGCGTAACACCGAAATATACCATCGAAAATCTGAAACCCAATCAAGATCGAACGTTAACGGAAAGTGAGAAGCGTTAAAGCAAATAATGAAAAGTTAGAGAGAGATTACGTCTGAGGCGTGTTTGAAGGAACGGACGGCAGAGAGGACGTTAACGGCGATGCAAAGAATGGCAGCCAAAGAGGTGACGAAGCTGAAGCACCTACACGCTACCAAGAAGGGGTCTGGTCTATTTCTCACTCTGGTGGTGCTGCTCGTCGTTGGGGCCACGTTCTCTCCCTCTACGTCGTCGTTTCTCGACATTCTCTCTCGAATATGGGACACAGCACGGGGATGAGAATGGGAATAGCTATCTGTTTTGTCGCATTTCTTTGCTTTTCTTCTGCTTCTTCTATATCAGTGTGCGAGTTTGCGGGACTTTGATTCTTCCAGTGGGAAAGGAACGCGTGGCGCGTGAATCATTCGATTCCCCTCGCTTACGCCGTGAGATCGTTATCATCTACGGTAAGACTTGCACGGACAGTTAGGTATTGTTTGGTTCCTTTCAAAATAGCAAAGAAAATGATATATTGTTTTTTAAACATGTTCCCGTTTTAAGTATATTTTGTTAATATTTTAAATTATTATTGTTATCTAAGTGGTCTCAATAAATTAAAAAAGAGGTGAATTAAGTTTAAAAAATTTTCTTAATTTACACACTCTAATTTTTTCTAATGAAATATAAGAATACCAAAAATTTAGAGTTATAATAATATTAATAAATTAAATAATAAAACGTAAACCATGGCAATTAGATCAATATTTAAATTGTGGATCAGAAATTCCATTTTGTGAATCATGAATTGAATTATATTGTGAATTGTAAGATTGATGACTATTATTAAAACTAAAATAAAAAATATTTTATTATAAAAAAAATTAATTACATTCATATATTGACACTTTATAATCAAATACTTTATTGTATAATCAATAAAATAAAACATAGTACAAAGATTCACAACCTGCAGCACTACATGTGAGACTTAAAATTCTCATAGCTACTTTTGTTAACTCTTTGCACTCTTCACCATAACTTTTCCACCAAAGTCCTATTAAAACAAAAATAAGATATATGTCGCAGAAAGAACTTTAAAATATGAAAAAACAAATTTAAAACTACCAGATTACTTCTTATCTCTACTATCTTTTGTCATGTTCATTCTAAAAAGTCCCTTAGCAGTCTTGAATTTTTCAAGTTGTTGATCAATAGAAAATCTTATCTTTCTATCTGGAACCATTCTTTCAATGGTTTCATACATGCCAAATAAAACCTCACTATCTGGATTAAATTTTTTGTCATAATGAAACCTAATTAAAGAAGACATAAGCCATACAACTTAAGTTACTCTATCTTTAAAAAAGTGTAAAAAATTTAGGATATTGATGATGACTTTATTTACCTAGGATTGATATAATAGGCAGCTGCCTGAAGAGGCCTATGTAGCTGTAAATTCCACCTAGTATCAGTAATCTTCCACACCTTGACTCTTGATTTTGAAAGTTTTTAGCAATTTGCTCTTTAGCTCTATCCATTGTTTCATAAATATATGGTATGACTGATTTTGCACCATCTACAAGCCTTAATACTTTTACAAGAGGAATCACACACTTTAAGCAATACTGAATGGATTTCCAAAATCTAGAATCACTCAAAACTAAATTCATGACTTGCTTAGCTTCACTTTTACTAGCATAAGAACTTTTAGCCCATTCTTCTGAAGCAAACATAGATCAAAGAGCATTCTTTTGTTGCATAATACAATTTAGTGTAAAATAAGAAGTTGCAAACCTTGTTACAACTGGTCTTGCTAATTCTCTTCCTTTAGAATGTTGTCTATACAAGTTAAGGACCCATGTATGCCTATATATGTAAGTTGTAATTTTTTTTGCATTTGAAATTGTGTTAAAGAATATTGAAAGTTGTCCAATATCTTCAAGCACCAAATTTAAACAATGAGCTGCACAAAGAGACCAAAACAATTTTGTCCTCTTATCCTTTAGCATTTTTCCAACTGCCACAAGGTTAGAAGCACTATCTGTCACAACTTGCACTACATTATCCTCCCCAATTTCTTCCACCATGCCATCCAATAATTCAAATATTTATTTGGCATCCTTGATAACATTACTAGTATCAACCGATTTTAAGAAAATAGTCTCACTTGGACTGTTAACAAGAAAATTAGTAATAGATCTTCCTTTTCCATCTGTCCATCCATCACACATTAAAGTGCAGCCTCACTTCTCCTATTCACTCTTGTATTTCTCCAAATTTTCATGGATGCTATCAATTGCTTTTTTTCAAAAAAAGTTACTCTCACTTCATGATAAGTAGGAGATTTTAAACCCTTACCAAATTCTTCAACAGCTTTCAACATTTGAATAAAATGAGGACTTCTTACCAAATTAAATGGTAACGCATTAGCATATATACATTTGCAAATTTCTTGAATGACAACATCTCTATCTTTAAACATTGTATTCATTGTTGTTTGCTTTAGAGCCTTAGATGTCCCTTTCTTTTCTTTGCTAACAAAAAATTCATTCTTCCTTTTTGACCACTTGCATCTTGAGTAGCAACTTCTTCAAAACACTCCAAGCTATTTTCACATTTTTTCTTTTCTTTCTCTTCCAATAGTTTGATGAATATCTCCTTTACCTCATCTATAACACTTGGATTGACACTTACATTTTTCCTTGTTCCAGCTAAATGATATTTCATCCTAACAACTCCACCCCAACAAGTATGAGAACAATACTTGTATTTTACTAACAACCTGTGTGGGAGGACACTTTCACAATATTTCCATGTGATATCATTCTCTTTTATTTTTTTTGGTAGGACCCATTAGTCTTCAGCAAATAGCAAGTCTCCAGCAAACAACAAACAAAAATATTTGGAGAATGACAAATATAAAATAGGAAGTAGGAATTGTTAAAGAGGCCAGAGCAGAACGTGGGAATGAGTAATAACTTTGAGAGACCACAACAAATAAATGAAGGGACCACCAGAAATCTAAAGTGAGAAGCACTAAAATAAAAGAAAAGTAAAGAAAAGGAGAGGAGAACTGCGCAGAATAGAGAAACAAAGGTCAGGAGGAACAAAGAAACGAAGATTTTTTTTTCAACGTTATGTAATGGGTCTGGTAGGGATAGTTTCGTAGAGGCTTTATTAGGTGGGAACAACAATTTTAGCAATAAAAAATTTTAAAAAAAGAGTTTTTAGGGTTTTAGTGAACCAAGTCGCGCCAACCTGACCCAACTGCTGCACGACCCGGTTCATAAATGCATCGCATCTCACCCTTTAATATCGCGATTCAGAATCAAATCTTACAATTCGGTCAATTTCGGCAGCGATTCAATCTGAAAACGATACTGACCTGCAATATGTATTGATCAATTGTTGATCCGTGACATTTCGCATTATTCACATCGCAAGTATTGCGATATTAACTACCATGACGTAAACATGTAATAAAAGTAGGATGACAAAGAAAGTTAGAATGTAAATTTAATTAATATTGATTTGGTAATTTTTTGTTATTTATATATGGTCTCTAACGAATTTGTTTGAAAGTTTTATTAACTTTTAATTTTGTAAAGACAAAAAGTATTCGTACACCTTAGAATCTTTTACTCTGTGTTTCAATTTCTAAAAAACCAGAGATGTCGCTCTTATTCTTACAACGGATGCATCATCATTTTCACAATCTAAATAAAAGAATATAAGAAATTATTCTATGTCATTGAATTTTTTAAAAAAAATAAGTATATTTGGTAAGAGTTACACAAATGATTGTCAAAATTATCTTTGTAATATGTTTTTCATACATATTATGTTACTCAAAATTTGTCATTCAATGGATATTTATAAGTCATACAAATGTACAAGTCATTTGGTAATTTTATCTCAAATGACATGATTGTTCAAAACTAGTTGGTAATCAATTATATTGTGTTAGAACATAATTCAAGATAATCATAAGAATAGTGTAATTAATTACAATTTATAGCAATAGATTGCCAATAAAGTAATTTGAAAATTTTGTTACAAAAACCAATTGTAATTAATTATTAATGTTGAAAATGCTTCTAATCGTGATTGAATTCCTTGTTCCTCATTTTCAATCTAATAAAAAACAATTTTATTATAGTTTCCTTGCAAATCAATTTTTTTTAAATTAAAACTTTGATTAACTTAATGATGGCAAGCAAGTATATCTTTCGAAAAGTAACAAAGGATGGAGTGAATACAAATATAGTCCAAACTAAAGATGTTAAGCATAACAAACATTTTGTTCTTTGTTTAAAAAAATAAATTAAATTTTTGCTTTTTTAATTATAATTTTTATTTTTATAATATTGTATTAGGTGTAAAAAGAAGAGATAACATAAAGAGCTTATGAGCTGTTAATTTAATAACAATTAAAAAAAAATTAAGTTTGGTCCACCTAATTTTGTATTTTATTTTATCCTATAAATCCATTAGTTTTACTCGATAGATCCATTAATTATAAGTAGTATGATCGTCTATAATATAATTAATTATGATATGTTTAAGAGTTGTCAATTATAAAAATACAATACAATAAGGTAAACATTAATTAATAAAGGAAACATAAAATTATTATTAATCATAAAGTTATGCATAGAATTTACAATAGCCATAGTTATAGATTTAACTAGACATAATACAAAAGAAAGTCAAAATAATAATAAACCAATTTATAGTTATCTAAAATTAGATGAGAAAAATTTTTAATTTCAAAATGTGTTTATAAAGTTTCAATAGTAGTTAGTGACTAACAAACACTAAGATTGAGGATTTGAAAGAAATGTATAGAAGACCTAAAAATGATGAAATGAAAGGATCATAAAAAAGGCTAAAAAAAATATGCCTAAATCTTTGTCTCAAAGGTTTCTTTAATAGGGTTTGAGAATCTTAAAATTTCCTTATAATTAAACACGGTCATTTATGTAGATTGAAACACTTTGTATTAATTATTAGGATATGAATGTGCTTGCTGCTATAAGACTATTTTTCAACTAATTTGAATCCAAATTACATCTAAAAATTCAACTATATCCTTTAATATTAAATTACACAATTAATATATAAATTAATATAAAATTTAAGTAAAATAATAATTATATATAAATATATAGGTTATAAAAATATGTTAAAATACAAATTTAAAGGCCAAATAAACTTATCAAGTAAAAACATTTTATTAAAGTGATCTTAAGTTCTAATTACTCTAATCATAACTTGATTATTAAACTTGTTTATCTTTAATAAACTCTATTCTTTTGCTTTCATCTTTTTGATATCATCAAAACTTATCTCATAATATTCATAATTATAAAAAATTATTTTTATTATTTAAAATTTTGACTTGAAGTTTTTGGTTTAGACAAAAAAAATAATAAATACTTCTTTAATGTTTAAAACCCAGGTCTTCTATAAAAAAACTCTAAGAAAAAAGAAAAAATAAGTATTTTTTCTTCGGAAATCATAAATTATTAAATTTAAGTACAATTTTTTAATTGCTGAAGAATGAAATTATAACTTTATCTTAATATTATGTAATAACATTAAATATAATATTTTATATAAAAAAATAATTTTAATTGATAAACTGTGCATAAATTTTGTATATAAAAAACGGTTCTCTTTTTAATATAAGTTTATTACTTTTAATTGTTGAAAGACGCGAGATTAACATTTTTCTTTTACTAATTATATCCTTATTTTAATTGTACTAGCAGTATAATTTTGTTTAATTGTGATATAATATTAATTATAATATTAATAACAAAGAAAACGTTAATTAAATACCTCAACTTTCTTGGCCTAGTTACTTAAGTTTAGAGAAAAGTAAATTAGCGGAATACAACTTGCAGATTGACAGTGTCTTGCAATTCCTATAATTTATTTAGGATCATGCGTTGATGACATATAAATCCAGATACGACAATCACTGAGTTGGCTACCCTTTTGTGATTGAAATCGTTCTATTTAAACATGTAAGGATTTGTGTATTCATAAATTAAAATATCGTAGTTAATAGCTCCACTCTGAGTTGACGCTGATTGAGATTGAAGAAGAACGTGTGAGATGGAGAATAACCATAACGGAGAAACGCAGGAGGAACCCGTGGCCTCTGGGCATGCCTCCTTTTGTGGCTATGATTCTCTTCACTGTCTTCTCAAGGATAATCTCAACCCTCATCACTTCCAGGTACCCACTTTCAAGCCTTCGCTTCACTCATCCTATATTCATATCAATAGTTAAGTTTGTATTTCACTTTTTTCTTATGCATTCATTATTGATTCATGCCACGGCTTTGTGGGTTTTATTTTCCAGATGCAACTTTCAAGAGATCTCAACACATAACACCTGTATAGTTCCATTTGCTAAATTGATCTTGTTCATTGTTTCACGTGGTCCTTTAACTTTTCTTATGAGTTTGACTCCCAACCTGTATGTACTCAAAATCGTGGTTAAACGTCAAAGATTTTGTACTCGTAGGGATCATGGAGTGAATGGGTTCTTCTAATTGATGCTTGTTTCTAAAGCCACTGTAAGAAAAAAATTAAACCTTTGAACAAGTTTTTAAAATAGATTTCTATGCGTTTGCAGTAGCTGTACATTTCCAACATCATTTGAACAATTGGGAGACTTCTATATTTACTTTTTTCTTTTTTGAAATGTAACTTCCTGGATACTGTGTACTTGCTTTTGAAATTGTTCAAGCTTCACAGAAAAATGGATTGTATCACCTTCCTTCTTTTATTGGTTCACACGTTAAATTGGCCTTTTTTCTAATGGCTCACTACACTAGTATTGTGTATTGTGTTGCAGGAAGTCAGCCGTTTGCTTACTGGGTTTAATTGTGGAAAAGCGCTTGAAACAATTACTCTCCCTGAATCTGTTACAGCTCTCTCTGTGGAACACGGTTTTGACCTCCAGGTATGAATACAATCCACTTTTCCTTATATGAATCAGTTTTCTAGTCACAAGACGAAAGGAATGTTGGGTTGACTTTATGGATTATTATATGGTGGATTTCTTTGAATTTATGGTATATATCAATTCTGAAAAGCATGTTTCTAAGATAATTGTCTGGATACCTCAAAAATGTCTGTCTGATGCCTTATAGATCATAGATTTTGTGCCTCCTTTAAATGAGACTGTTATTTGCTTTGGAGGATCTTTGACACATGGTTCTATGCCATATGTAGAGGGACTGGGGGTATGTAAATGTATATCTGTGAAATGAGACTGTTATTTGCTTTTGGGGAATTTTTCTCATGCTTCTATGCCATATGTAGATTGGGGGGGCTGGAGTGATGGTTTCTCAGTTTCTTTTTAATTATTATTATGAATGCTAAACATGTTACAAAGTGAATTGTGTCTTTCTTAGATGTGCTTCCGGCGTTGTTCATAAGTAAGTGAGATCACATACTTTAAGCTGCGTGAGTTGTTTTTTTTTTTTTTTTTTTATATACTCATGCAAGTCCACATCGTTGGGGTTAAGAAAGGGTGCGCATCACAGGAGCAAAATATGCATTAAGGCATACCTTATAGCAAAAGGCTGGGTCAGTTGATTTCTCCTACTTGCACTCCTGCCAAGCACACTTCATGGATTATGAATATGGGAACAGCTAATCTTTGTTTTCTTGCCTGGCAGTTCTCTGTTAAATCATTGTCAGAATTTATTAGCTCTTATTATTAGTTAAATGATATGGTTTTAGTTTTATCCATTAATTAACCCCGGCATCTCTCTTCAGTATAGAAGAAATTCTAACTAGTGTCTGCTATATTTCTGGTTGATCTACTGAATTTTAATTTGATTTATTATAGGCTTTTTGCTTTCATGCTGACAAAGAACTATTAAGAGAACCTCAAGTAGTGAGGGTTGGTTTGATTCAGAACTCTATTGCCCTTCCAACAACTGCTCACTTTGTGGACCAAAAGAAGGCTATCTTTGAGAAACTAAAGCCGATGATTGAAGCTGCCGGCTCTTCTGGAGTCAACATATTATGCTTGCAAGTAGGTTGCATTTGGCATGTGATTGCGTACAGTTTCTGAAAATCTTAAATGTTTTTACATAATTCCATTGCAGGAAGCATGGATGATGCCATTTGCTTTCTGCACACGAGAGAAGAGATGGTGTGAATTTGCAGAACCTGTTGATGGGGAATCAACAAAATTTTTGCAAACCTTTGCACTAAAATATAACATGGTGATTATAAGTCCAATTCTTGAGAGGGATATTAAACATGGAGATGTTATCTGGAACACTGCCGTTGTAATTGGTAATCACGGCAATATAATTGGAAAACACAGGAAGGTAGTTGCCTAAGCTTTCTGCTTCTAATTTTAATGCCAAAAGCTTCTCTTTCATCTATCTCACGAACACAACATTTTGCAGAACCATATACCAAGAATTGGGGACTTCAATGAGAGTACATATTATATGGAAGGAAATACTGGCCACCCTGTATTTGAAACAGCATTTGGAAAGATTGCCATTAATATATGTTATGGTAGGCACCATCCCTTAAATTGGTTAGCCTTTGGCTTGAATGGTGCGGAGATTGTTTTCAACCCTTCTGCCACTGTTGGTGAACTCAGCGAACCAATGTGGCCAATAGAGGTTAGTTGCTTTATATTTATGGAAGACCTGCTAAATTCTTTTTAACTAATTCCTGTTTCTAGTGCTTGCAGTGAATATGGGGCTCTTTTATGATGATTTTCATTTGATGTAATGCCTATAGGTTGATATTTAGTATGAAATTAGTTCTTAAGTCACTTTAAGAGAATTGGAGTGAATATAGAGAATGTTTGTACATGTACATTTATTTGATCAAATTTCAATCGTTGATATTTTAATCATTTACCATCACTCTTCACTTCATCCTCTAAAACATATCTCATGCAAGTAGGTAAAGCTGAGAGAATTGGTAAGCGATATTCTTCCTTCTTAATCTGTATGTTGAAACTGTTATCATTTTTCAGGCACGTAATGCTGCCATAGCAAATAGTTACTTCGTTGCTTCAATCAATCGCGTTGGAAGTGAGATATTCCCCAATCCATTTACTTCTGGTGATGGAAAGCCAGCACATGCAGATTTTGGGCACTTTTACGGCTCCAGTTATATTTCAGCACCAGATGCATCATGCACGCCGTGGCTATCACGCCACAGGGATGGCTTATTGATATCTGACATGGATCTCAACTTATGTCGACAGCTGAAAGACAAGTGGGCTTTCAGAATGACCTCACGGTATGATATTTATGCAGGTTTACTTGCACGCTATTTGAGACCAGACTTTGAGCCCCAAGTCATCAGTGATCCCTTATTGTATAAGAAACCCTCCTAAACGATGCTTGAAAGTGTGTTTAACATGTGTTCACTGCATGATATGTATGCAGTGATACTTGCACGCTATGTGAGACCAGACTTTGAGCCCCAAGTCATCAGTGATCCCTTATTGTATAAGAAATCCTCTTAAACATGCTTGAAAGTGTGTTTAACATGTGTTCACTGCATTTAGTTCAGATTGTGGTATGTGGTGGGATGGTCATAACAAACAACCTCCAAATAAAGTTTCCGGATTACTGATTGATATATTAAATTCAGTTATTAGTAGATTGGAAAACTAATTCTGTTCAATGTGCATCGTTGATTTAGTTTTATTATAGTAAGTAGTTTCTTTCTTGTGTAATATATGGGTATTATTAAATTAAAGTATGTTTTTAATATAAAATTAAAGATGTATTGCTTTAATATTTTTAATTTTAACAAATTGAAGAAATCATCATTAATCATTAATATTTTATTATATTAAATAAGAATAAACTAAAGAAATAAGATTCTCATTGTCACATCACTTGTATTATCTCAATCGTCTCTTTTATCTTCTTTTATGGTAAAAAAAATTGTTGTACTGAATAGGGGGTATTTGTCATTTCAACAATTAGATTGATAATATTTAATAATTTTAAAAAAGTTACTAAAATTAAATATTTAAGACGGTCTCTTGGAGTCCATGTATGTATGTATGTACATGCATGTATTTATTTTGGATATTTAAATTTTAACAACTAGAGTGTGTTCAATATATTTTTGGATATATGGTTCAGAAACATTAATATACATATTATGTTATGTGATATTCCTAGAATTGTTGTATTATGTTCTTTGAATGGTGGCATATACAATTTTGTACGTGTTCGTTATTTTGAACATCGAAAATACAAAAGAAACCGTAAAAGTTCAAGTAAAATTATAAAAGCAATAATTACTTAAAAAGTCTATTTTTCAAACATTTATGATGATTATTAGACTTGTTAAGTGTTGTATCTATTAGCAATCCACATCAGAGCATTTTGAGTCGTGACAACAATTAAAAGCAAGCTGACATGTATACTGTTATTTAATAGGATTCTTACAATACTTCATTTCCAAAGGAGCAGGTCCATCAAAATTATTTAGAAACACAAAATACATATAAATTCTTTTAAATCGATGGTGACTCTTGCATAGAAATGTTGTCACAACTGAGAGAATAATTTTGTATATCTAAAAACAAAAACATAAAACCCATTTGAATGTCTATTTTCTATGACATTATTTTGAGAACATAATCTCCATAACTTGTTTTACTTTTTATTTAATGATAAAAACTGAAATCACAATTTGATTGTCTTCGATTTCTTTTAACATGCTTTTGTAAATTCTCTACTCTCATTTCAAACCACCATTGTTACTGCCTTTCAAATACTTATTCTTGAAAAAAAATCATCGTTTAATTATCACATATCAAGTGTCAAAAAAAGAAAATTAAACTTTATAAATTGACATATTTATTACCTTATATTTAATTATACATAAGGACAAAAAAACTAATAATGTAAGTATATATATTAGCATATAAATAAATTATGTTAATTTAATGATATTTTTAATATTTAAAGTAATATATGACTTATATATCTTTCATTATTTATAATATCAAAAAAATAATTTATTTTTAAATATTAAAATAACTTATAAAGTCACATATATAATCAAGTAAACTAACAAATTATTATATCTATTAAGAATTTTCATAATCACTTGTAGGCATATTTATACTATTACAACTACTAATATAGAAATGATAAAAAAATTTAGTAAATTATTTATATAAATACTTAAAGTAACAATTATAAATATTACATTTGTCGAAACAAAATAATTTTAAAACTAAAATAATATGTATACATAGTAAGCATGGATATACAAAGATTATTATATTTTATTGCTATTTATGATTTCCAAAAAATACAACACTTTTATAAATGATTTCAAATAATTATTTTTAAGAACTATTTTAACTTTTCTCTTTCCCTTTTCTCCTCCCTCCCTCCATTTTACATGGCTTCAATAGACGTTTAATTATTATTTTTTCCATTAATTCTTGTTTCCGCCTAATGTCATTTTTTATTTTAACTTCAAATTCAATTTAGTTTACATTTTAAATCTTATTATGCTTTATTAAATTAATGGCATATTTATTTTTTAAAATAAATTTAAAGTTATTATAATTAGTCAATATCAATATCAATTTATTTTTAAAATTTTATAATTTAGCATACCATATTCATAAAAATATAAAAATATCATTACAATATTCACAATTACATTTTTTTTTAAAATAATCTCTTTAATTTTATTTAATACAATATTCATTTTATTATTAATAATAAAAATATTTACTTGTTTTTTACTTTATACAAAAATTAAAATTAAAATTAATTACATAATAATTTTTTTAACTTTTTATTTAAGAAAACAATTTAATAATTTCCATTAAAGTCACAAATTTGAATTACAAATTATTACACTCCAAGCCTAACACGGTGGAAAGAAAAAAAAAATGAAAATAATAATAATAAAAAAAGTAATGGATTGGAGAGAAGGTAAGAACAGACATCTGATCCTTATCCCTTGTCGCTAGAAAATCTATGGAGCCATGAACAGCTGCCCCCAAAATTTTCACACTGAACTTTCCAGCCTCATGTTTCATCCCATTAGCGTCACAAATTAACAACAATGAATTAACATTTAACAACATACAACATAGCAATATCATATTCCCAATCCCAATCAATCTTCAAACACTTTCTCTCATCATGGCTTCCATGTCTTCTCCCAACCTCACTTTCCCAAAGCAAAACCTCTCCATTCCCTTTCCTATCAGAACGCCTTCGCTTGTTCCCTTCCCTTCCCAATCCCCTTCTCGCTGCCTCAACTCTCTCTCTGATAACCACAACAACGCCAAACGCGGATGGGACTCGCTGCTTAACCAGTTCGTCAAAATCATCAACCACTTCGATTCCTACAGAAAGTCCTTCGTAAACGCCGTCGAGGATCGTAATCGTGGCCGTGGTGACGGTGTTGCTGATGAATGGGATTGGGATCGGTGGCGCCGCCATTTCGAGGAGGTCGACGAGCAAGAACGTCTCCTCTCTATTCTCAAGGTACATGCCTCTGATTTCAATTCGCGTCTTATTTTGCGTGCTTCTCTCCTATTTGTATGCAAATGATTATGAATTTAGGTTTGTGGCGGTCTGAACTGGTGGTGCCTATCGTAAAAGAAATCAGGAAATATAACAGACAGCTTGCAAGAAACAATAACAGCAACATTTCAAAGCTTAAGTTCTTGAATTTCACATTTATAGCATCTTTTACTCAAGTGTCTATAACACTGTTTCACTTAAAATAGACTTTCGTCTTTTCTCCAAAGCTTTGGTTATTCTTTTAATTGAAGGAAAGTGTTCTTGAAATTATAGGTGCTCCAAAGTTACAAAATTTTCCTTGCTTTCAGTTCATAGCTAACAGTCGTGTGAATGACACAGCCAATTTGGACAAGCTTTTCAAAAAGTTCTTAAAGAAGGAAAAAATAAAATGAATTAAGGAGCTAAAATGAATTGAACTTATTGTTCAAGTTGAAAGCAACTTAAGCATCTCAACTTTTTCTGAAGCTCTCTCATTTAATTTCTTTATAAGCACCTTTAAACTTAATAGAACTTGGTGTTCTTGCTGTATAAAGGCGCTAATAGTTAAACTTTATAATTGAAAAGCTCTCAAAAGCTAGAAGCTAATCCCAACTGTGCCATGGTCTTGGAGGAGTTTTTTGTCATATTTTGATAATGTTACATGAAGAAACCTATTATTGATGTAGTTTTGCAACATGCTATTAAAGTTATTTTATTTTGTCCATGATAACTGTCATGCACACTTACGTAGAAGTTTTTGAACCCTTTTATAAGTCGACTTATTGGCTGACCTTTTGGTTTAGTAAGAGTTAGCTACTGACATGATTTTGTGCTTGACAGTCTCAATTAAGTCGTGCTGTATATTTGGAGGATTATGAAGATGCTGCCAGGCTTAAGGTGGCAATTGCAGCTGCTGCTAACAATGATAGTATTGGAAGAGTCATGTCTCATTTCAATGTAGGAATTTTGACTAAAACAATGTTTTTCTGATAACTAATGCTTTTTTGTACTTGTCTCCAATTTTTCTGCTTTCCTTTTCACAATCCTACATATATTTTAAATCTTATTGTATATTTTCTAATATTTCAGAAAGCCATAAAAGAGGAGCGGTACGGTGATGCAGCTCTTTTAAGAGATAAAGCTGGTGCTGGACTTGTGAGTTCTGAGAGAATTTGTTTAATGCAATTTGCATGAATATCTTTGCGCAGTGGTGGAAATAGAATTTGAGATGTAATATCAAAGGGTAACCCTAGTAGTACTTGTAGCGGCTTAAAATGCTGTTACATATTTGAAAATTTGTTAGACTTTCCTTGGGACTTTATTTGCCATTAGGAGTTGTTTTAGAGTAAATTTATTCTTAGAGCTTGCTGTCAGCTGTGGAATTTATGAAAGTCAATATTAGAATATATCAACTTGAAAAGGGATATTTGTTCTAGCCTAGTATTTACTATGAAATAAATCTATTGTCATAATTAAAAGAATAAAAATGGAAATGTAATTATAGGGAAAGATTTTGTACATACAAAACATGTTTCCATGTTAAAAATATTCTAACACTCTCCTTTAAGATGGTGAATGGGTATCTATCATTCCTAGCTTTCAAGAGAATCACAGAAGTGCTCTATGGACAACCCCTAAGTTAAAATATCTGCAAGTTGATTACTAGAAGAGACATATATTGTTGTCGTAAGACCACTGGCAATTTTGCTTAATAAAGTGTTTTCTATCTCTGTGCTTTGTCTTATCATGCTGGATTCGATTATGATGAACAATACAACAAAAACAACGACCAAGCCTTATCCCACTAGGTGAGGATAAGGCTTGGATTATGATGAACAATACTATTGATAAATTTGTTGTCACAGAGAAGTTTCATAGAGACTTCATACTTTATCTTGAGATCATTGAGAATGACTTTCACTTATAATTCACAAACCCCTTGAGCCATAGCTCAGAATTCTACCTTTGCACTTTTACACTTGCCAATCTATTGCACTGTTTATAACATCTGCTTTTGACCTGTAATTTTGTTATGTATCTTAAACTTATCAGGAAAAAAATCTTTAAACTTAACATGTATTGGTTCTTGCAGGTGGGTTGGTGGGCTGGTATTTCAAAAGATGTTAATGATCCACATGGTCTAATCATTCGCATAACTCCTGAGCATGGAAGATATGTGGCAAGGAGTTATAGTCCTAGGTAATTACTTTATTTTGATGATCATGTTAGTTAAAATCCTGATATGATTTTACGATTTTGGAAACCTTACCGATTTAAATCGTGGGTAAAATTGGCTGAGTAAAATTGTTATAAAATCCTGATTTAAATCTTAAAACCCCTCAAATCATGGGATTTTATGATTTTAAAATTCCTTGAAAAGTCTCATTTGTTGAACCCTAATGTAGTTGATGCCTCTTTCATATCTCTTTTTTATCAAACCCAATATCCCTCTAGCAGCTTTGAACCCTAACGTCGATGTCAATTCGACAGTCCTCCCAGCGTGTGCAGCTTGGTCTGCAGCTAAACTCAGCAGTGTGTGCTACTGCTCTGAGTTTGAGTCAGTGCTGCTGTTCTTGCATCTTTTCTTTTCTGGTCTATTTTTTACTCATGCCAATGCATGACATTCTTATGGAATATGCATTATGATTTGTAAGTGCTACTTTATTTAAGTGCTTTTACTGATTTAAAGTCCCCCCCCCCCCCTCTAATTTATGCTATTTTATATGCATAATATGAATTTATAAGCATATATATGAATTTTGTAAAATCTTAATCCAATTTGTGATTTACGAATTTCACTCCCCTTTATGATTTAAAGTAAAATCCCAATTTTAGCTACCTTGATGATGATAATAAGTGTGGAGGTTCTTTACCTCTTTATTAAAAAGAAAAGTTTATTTTGTTAAGGAGATGCTCACCACTTTTGCATTTTACTTATTGAGAAATGGATTAATGTATCTAAAATATTTGAGTTTAGAGTTCCACATCCTTAGATATGTGACATTGGGAGTTCATTACTTTTTATGATTGTCAATTATTTTGAATTATACACAATTGGAAACTGAAAACTAGGAACCATGGGACCTTTTTTTAGGAATGACCTTAAGAAAGACTGAAGATTCTGAGGACCGACCCATCCTCAACCAGCATACCAAACAGATTATTCTATAGAAGGGACACAGCTGGGCAATCCAAAATTCAAAAGGGGAAACATTTTCAGAGCTCAATCTGCCTACAACTCAGAACTCAGGAGATAAAGCTGTTAGGGGTCTTCTAATTTGGAGCATGTCATTGGAATTAATCTGGTTAAGAACAGCACTCCAAATAAAGGGTTTAACCTTAGAAGGAACAAATGATTTCCAAATTGTCATATCCATTAGAAAAATATTCTCTATTAGGAGATGAAGTGAGAAATTGGAAGATTCACAAGAAAAAGACCCTGAAGAATAAAGAAACCTACTTGATCAGGAGTGAAAATGACAGAGTTGAATAAGACCAGAAGGTTTTGTAGTTCAGATATTTCTCTCTGGTTTGAGTTTTAAAAAGTTTAAGTTCAAAACCACATTAGTTTCAGGTGAAGAATAAAAATCAAATATAGGAGCATTGTGCATGATAGAAAGATCAGAAAGTGTTGGAGATGCATCAGGAGCCTGGGGGTGGGGGGTATTACCCACCCAAGGGTCTCATATTAAACTTTCCTATGGAATTAATTTATTATTTGCTTGTCTTGGAAGCAATTTCCCCCCTTTTGATGTTTTTCAATGAATTTCTGTTCTTGAGATATTTTTGGTGGTCCTGCTACTATCTCATATTGCTTCTAGTGTTAATCCTTTTACCATATTTTTGTAGGCAACTTGCAACATCTGCATCTGGCATTCCTCTATTTGAATTTTTTCTTACAATGGATAAAAAAGGTGAATTCAAGTCACAGGTATTTCTTCTTGACTGACCCATTTTACTGTTGGGATCATTGCTATATAAACAACATGCAGTCATCTCTAAAATTGGAGCTAAATCACACATTTTTATACCCAATAATTTAATGCTATGCATCATGTTCTATGCTGACTGTTAAACAAATTTCCTGCTAATTATTCTGTTTAAAGAATATGTGTGCAAGATTGTGGAGGAACTTGGATTACATGCAAGAATCATGCATATTGCTTGTAGTTCACAATCCAAATTAAGTTTCAAATTTTTGTTTATTTCATACACTAATGTATCTAAAATTCTTAATTATGAATACGAGATTTATAAGTTGCTCATAGATTTACTGTTTGAAAAATTATGAACAATTGGGAATACCCACTGACCAATTTGGATTTTTAGTGGCTTGGTGCTCAGTTGGATTTTATAAATGGGAATGGAAACCTTTTGGGTTGGATTTTTAGTTTTTCTAATTTTTAGTAGGAAAGAACAGAGGTTAGCACTTGGGTGCTGTTACTTCTTAGTGTTCATATGGAGCTTCTCATTGTCACAAGTTTCAACAAAAAAAAAATGCCATCTCAGAAGTTATAAAAGAAGTTAATTGTGGGGAATGTTGTGATACTATAGTGATTTTTTTTTTATTTCAGTTAATTGGTGCTGACCCCAATTTGATTGTTTATTTTGGGTTCATGCTGAGTTCCCTAAATACAAAGGTGGCCTCTTGGCATTTTAACCCTTGTGCTTCTCAAATCATAAGATTTGGTAAAACTAAGTTGAGTAAAAACATTGTTGACTTTGTATATATGGCCCATTAAAATGATTGTTTCATGAAATTTATGATGTGTGCATGCATGTGTACCTTTGTGGGGATTGCAAACCTGCTCACATTCATGTGTAGTAGGTTGGCGCTCTACACACTTTCGTTGGATGACAACAGGTAGGGTTGATTACATGGATCATCAGATACCATTCTCAGTCAAAAACCAATTTTTCACAGATTTACACTCTTTTATTGGACAATAATAATAAAATCACTTTTGACTTTTCCTACTCAACTTAAATGAGTTAAATATGCCTGTCTTTTTTAGTAATTAAAAATGGATAATTAAATAAGTTGTTTATCACTTAATCTTCCTTGCTAATAATTACCAACCTTATAAATCTTTCTCCATATCTACCACCATCAAACTTTCTTTTATAATTATATTATAAAAATTTAAAATACAGTAATTTTCTTTTCTTTTCTTTTTTTCCAAAATAATATAAAAGAAATCTTAATGAGTCATTTTTAAAATACTTACAAAAATACCATATATTTTTTTGTCATTGAAAATTAATAATAATACAGTAATAATAAAGGTCATTGTTGAAGTCTTACATCAATTATATATATGGTTAAATAAAAACTTATCAAAGTTAAAACAATTCTCATTTTATGAGTTAACTTTTGGAGTTGAATTAGGATTAAAGCCCAAATTTAACATGCTATTAGAGCCTATCATAGATGACAGATTTAATATTGGGCCATACTTGATTGAAAAAAAAATAAAATTCTGGCCTTGCAAATTTTCTGAGTGCAATTAACTTGGCCCATGGATTTCCTAGTGAAGCTTACCTGGTCCCCTGACTTTCCCAGTACTACCTACCTGGTCCTGCGGCTTAAAGTTTAGTTGATAGTAACTGAGAGAGAGAGAGAGAGAGAGAGATTTATGCATACAGTGGTTATTAGGGAAGAAACAGTAATTAATTTGATTAATTAGGTTGTTAATTACTAAAATTGACGTTGTCATTTAAGTTGAGAAGGAAGTGATCAAAATGGTTTGTTTTTTCTTATTAAAGTATGTACACTGCTAACCAATGCATGAAGGAGAGTAGTAATACTTTTATTTATTGCATCCAGAATAGAGAAAAATTTAACTCACTTCTTTTGGTTAACCATCTGTGCTAACAAACTATCTTTGTTGGTTTGGTTTGGATTTGAACCAATTTATTGTTGTTGTTGTCTCAAGTTTTGCTTATGCTTTGGCATTGCTTAATTTACTTCCTTCAAAAGGTCTTATCCAGTAGTGATGGTAAAGTAGAATAACAATTGTAATAATTATATTAAAAAATAAAAACAGTTTTAATAATTAATAGCAATAATAAATAATAACAAGGTCATAATCTATTTATGTTGTCCAATACAATACTGCAATAGCATATTCTTTTAATTTCCAGGCTGTGTACTTAAAGCGAAGAGGGGCCTTCCATGGGCCCCCAACAACCTCCTATAAAACATTGGATGCTGCTGGGAGATTGAATTCAGTGGAGTCTAGTGAAGATAAAAGTGAGCTGTTTGTTGTGAGTGCTGAAGATCTGGAAAATGGTGATGATAGGAATGATGGCTCTGATCCAGCTGAGGGAATGCCTGGATTTCAGAATGTCTTGAAAGATATGATTCCTGGTGTAAAGGTGAAGGTTTTCAAGGTGATAACTCCAGAGAAAGTAGACAAGGATCTAATATCTAAGGTGATTGAGCAGATAATTGAGGAAGAAGAGGATGAAGATGATGGTGAAGACGAAGACGAAGATGGAGATGGCGATGAAGATGACGATGACGAAGATGATGGTGACAATGAAGAGAAGGACACTGATACAGAAAGTATAGAACTGGAAGACATTAAGTCTGAGACTGACCTGGAGGGAGATGATGAGATTGAAGTAAATACTGGTCTGGGAACTTCTGAACGTAAAGAACAGAATGAAATTGCTGTCAAAGTTGTCATTGGTGGTCTTGTTCAGAAACTTTCCGGTAATATGTCCACTAGAGATTTGCTTCGAGTTCCAGCTAAGCTGGAGATGAAGGGGTGTGGTTCATTTTCCTTTACTGTTGAAAAAGAAGTCAATCAGCAGGTTGGTCTTGACAGAGGAAAATCTTCATCTGATAAATCAACCAAGTTTCAAGGTCAACGCAGAGTTGATCATGTTATTTTTGACCTTGCTAAATTCATTGGGAGGGGAAAAGTACCCTCAAAGGTATGTCTAAGTAGTTATACTGCAAATTTTTTTTTTTTTGCAAAATCCAATATCCTTGTTGAATCTAGCCATAAGTTGTTACTATAATGGTTTGCTTCAATCTTTTAGGTGCTGAAAGAGGTGGGAGAATTGATAAATCTCACTCTAAGTCAGGCTCAGAACCATCAACAATTATCTGGTTCAACAATTTTCAATCGCATTGAAATACCAACTTTGTTTGATCCTTTAAATGGTGATTTTCTAGAGAACTTATCAATTTGATTATTATGAGGTGGTAAATATTGGCTGCTAACTGCTGGATGTTTTTAATCTGCAGTTTAGTGTAAACCAAGTAACAGATATTTTCTTTTTCATCAGGTCTATATATTGGTGCACATGGACTATACTCATCTGAAGTTATTCAATTAAGACGTAGATTTGGTCAGTGGCATGAGGACAGTGAGGCTAAGGAGCCTTCAGATCTTGAGTTTTACGAGTATGTAGAAGCTTTGAAACTAACTGGGGATCCTTATGTACCAGCTGGCCAGGTAATATTGTAAACTTTATTTGATTGACTATTAAATTGATTTTTTTTTTCTTTTTGGCTTAAATGCATTTAGTTCCTTTAGTTTGAACTGTGTGATTTTGTTCCTTTGACCCAAGTTTTTTTCAAGCCCAGTAAATCCTATTTTTAAAATTAAGCAAATTTGTTCCTTTTTCAATTGTCTTCTACCTAAAATCCTCAAATTCTCATTTTCTGTCCATATACTTGGGGTTTATAATGAATTTGGGATATGAAATGATTTTGAAAGTTTAGAAGTCACAATTTAGTGGAAATTGGATAAAATTTGGAGGATTTTATAACATGTGGGAGTGGTGTTTTGGATGATGAGTTTTAGTAGAAGGTCTTAAACAAATTAATCTATTCATTTTTAGATGATTTTTTTATAAAATGAGAATTTGAGGGTTTTAGGTAGAATAAAATTGGTAGAGGGACCTAATTTGCTTAATTTAAAAAAAGAGATTCAAATGAGCTTAACTTTTTGTGTTTATCATTTATAACTCCTATCATATTTGAGTCCCACTCTAAGCATCCCTCATCATTGTTTTCATATTTTCTAGAATTTTAAAATTCTTCATTCAAATGCAACCTTATATAATTTGCAGGTATTCTTTGACATGGATAATCTATAAAGCCATTTTTGGATTCTTATTATTATAATATAGTTGAAGCATTAATATGTGTTCTGTTGTTTACAATTTTTTTTCTTTCTGAACTTTGTCTTGTGCAATAGTTAAATGGCTCAAACTTTGTTAACTAAGATTATCATTCTAATATTTTGCTATATAAGAAATAAATCTTAAAGCTTGTTACTAGAATGAGGAAAAATATTCATCATGTTCTGTTACAAATGAATAGTGTTCTTTTCTTTGGGAAACTTGTATCAATGTATTGTTCGCTGAGTTAAACAAACGAAGATATTTCTTGTATTTTTTCTGTAAAGAGCTGGCATTCACTTGTTGGTGCTAATTTTCTCATTATGCAGTATGTATGATACATCTCATTGTTTTATGTTCCTTGATCTTAGGTGGCATTTCGTGCAAAAGTTGGAAAGAGGTATCAGCTTCCTCATAAAGGGATAATACCTGAAGAGTTTGGGGTGGTATGAATTTTTTTCCTTGTTGAGGGTCTTAATCAGTCTCATTGCTCTCTTGATCCTCCCCCTCCCCCCCCCCCCAAAAAAAAAAAAAAAAACAAAAAATAAATAAATTAGTAAATCAGCACGGTTTCACAATAAAGAAGTGGAGATTATTATTTTCCATTCAGTTCTCTGATGTTGTTGTAATTTCAGATTGCTCGCTATAAAGGTGAAGGGAGGCTGGCTGAGAGAGGGTTTCAGAATCCCCGATGGGTTGATGGTGAACTTGTGATTCTTGATGGAAAGGTTTGTATTCTTCAGTCTTGTGTAATTATTTAACTTTACTGTTGTAATTCCAACTTGAAATCATCCTTTATTACATTTCTGCTAATGTTTTTTAGTGCAACTTAACTTTTGTTAATTTTTGCAGCACCTAAAAGCAGGTCCTGTTGTTGGATTCGTGTATTGGGCCCCCGAGTATCATTTTTTGGTCTTCTTCAATCGGCTTAGGCTTCAACAGTAGGGTTTCGTTGTTCATAATATCAAAGACTTGTAAATTCTTTCTTCAGATTTTTAGCGTAAGTTCTCATTTAAGATCAATTTGTCATGAAAGTAGTAACTGATGAAATTTATCTTCAGCTTTTCTTGGCAAGCTAGAAAAAATCACATTGTTAGTTTGGTTAGTGAGTAAATATGTGAAATATGTCAAATTTGTGGTTATCTACAAATCTGCAAATGATATAGATGCAGAACAAAGTTTGACCCTAAATTCAGTCTACCACTCTACCTTATTTATTATCGACCTCAGGGTTAGGGTTTTAAGGACTATTAGCCTAACAAGCCAACCTATTTATCTTTTTATAATTTATTTAATGTATAACAAGACAATAATTTTGTTAAAGGCTTGGGTTTGTTTGAAACCTATAAAACCCAATCCTATTACTCTAAACTATTTAAAGATTATGTAATGTTAATGTAGGCTATTAGACAGGCTTGCGAGCCATGTCAAGCTAAGCCTAGCATTTAAGCTAGGGCCAATGATCTGATAAAGTGACCTGGCAATAAGCTAAGCCTCGCCTAGCCCTTTTCCAGCTCTAGTTTTGGAATGTTTTCATGGCTTTACCAGTGTCTTGCACATGGTTTCCTAAAGGGCATTGTTATAAAACTTGGCTTGGACTGGCTAGTTGGAACAATGATCCAGATAATTAACGTTCAAGTAATGTATTAGTCAACTATTAATTAGGCATGGAACTGAACTGGCTAGAAATCATTTAACTTGGATAGAGAGTAGAGATTCCAAGAAAGAGAAAGAAAAAAGTGATAGCTGGAGAAAATAGAGAGAAAAAGAGAAATCTAAGATACAACCTGAATTCTGAGCTGGCTTGCTATATTGTAAAGTTATCTCTGAACTTGGAGCGATCTCAATATATTGTTAGAGCTCTCTCTTGGACTAATAACAGAATCCACAACTGACAACTGTCAACAGCATTCAGATTCAGTTAGGCATCAGTTTAAACCAAACAGAAACGCAGCACAAGCTGAAGACTAACCACTGTAATAAATTCGATCAGCTTCAAAGCAAGCTGAAGGATTTGACCTTGTTTTATGAGAACCAGTTAATTGTTTCTTTTCTCTCCCCTATCTATTCCATTCTTTCTTAGAATTTGATGAAAATATTCAAACTTTTTGGTTGCCCAAATTGTTCTTTGTATGTCTGTTGTGCTCCTTTATTGCATTTTAATGAGGGGTAACTATAGCTGTATGTACTGGAAAATCAGTGAATCAGCCTATTAAAAGGTCAATAATTGGTATTTGATTGTTTATCACCAGTGGAGAAATTGTGAAATGGGAAACATGAAACTCAAACTCTCAAAAGCTAGCTCTTAAAGCTCTAGTGCTTTGCTTTTTTTGTATTACTAAATAAACTAGCTAGATCTTAAGAGGAGGACTGCCCTACCCTTATAAGGAGTATTATGGCTCTATTCTTAACCAATGTGGGACATCTTAACATAAATAATGAAACTTCTGTAACATGTTAACAACTGAACTGTTGTATATGGAAACATAGGGCCCATTTATTTTAAAATTGAGTGGAATGAATTTTGATAAAATTAGTTTTAAACTGTTGAACATGATTTGGTCAAAAGAAGACAAGGACCTATCTATAAAAATGGAAATTATTGTTTAAATTGTTGGGTTGTTAATTACTAAGGTTTTCTTTTCTTTTTACGGTTTTGTTAACCTGAATTTTATAAGTCAAAGTAAGTTTTTATTGAAAAAGAAAACATTTATTACATTGGAGATGCAAAAGTATAACAAATGCTTTATTTTTCAATAAAAGCTTACTATTATTTTATTATTTTTTGCTTAAACGTAATCTTAAAGACTGAAGTTACCAAAATTATTCTTTTTATTTTGTATCTTTTTGGTTTTGGTTTTTAGTGGAAATGTCATGAAGTGTATGGGTTATTCTAAATATTTAATTTGGTAAAGGTTTCATGTCGCAATCTTCTTTAATATATGATTATTGTTGCTATTTTCCGTAGGTTCCAGGTTTTGTTGAATGCTAAATTCTTGTACTTCAATGGAAGGTATCACCAATCACTGCAGGGTCTTCCATTTGAGGTATCTAGTGTTTTCCTACCTATAGCTGCTTCATGGTTCTTTCGGTGAACATAAATTTTCTCTGATGTTGACTTTTTTTTTTTTTTTTCTTTCTCTCTTGTACAGATTTAAAAGATTTTTGCCACTAACTTTCTGCCAAGCAGCGCAAGGATTTGAGCATTGGGCTCTTCTTGTCTAGAACGGGATTGACTGGGGTAGCTTAAGCTTGGTAGCTGTAGCTTGACTAACTATAGATTGAAGAGGGATTCATAGTATCAGCACTAGAGCACAATGTATTAGTCTCTTCATTCCATGCTTTATGGAGGTGTAGTGTTCACAGGGTATCTTCATCAACTTTGTGCATTGTTTCTTAATCTTCTTGCAAGTTGTATTCCCATGTATCATAAATTCATATTTATGCTCAGTTTAATGCCTTCAGGGTTAATAACATTGTTCTTTCTGTAGCATGAATGTAGTCTTCGTTAATGGCACTATTTTATCTTCTCACTTTGGGTGGTATTGAGGTCTCTGGTATTAGCTTCATCTATCCAGTCAGCAGCGAAATGAAGGTCCCGAAAGGGTCTAGCCAAAATTTGGACACGACAAAACTGTAGTGTCTCTTTTCTATCCCTTCTGATCTTCCTCGGATCAGTTTGGGTGAGTATGCCTGGTTAGCTTATGCCTTGTATTGAATTTATTGAAAGATAATTGAACTTCGTTTGGAAATGCTGTGTGGGAATGAAAATTGGGTGAAAGTTATTGTCTGGGAAATTGAGGATATGGAGGAAAAGAGAATAAGGATGATGTTTAACCTTTTAACTGGAACAAATAAACCTTCACTCGAAGTACCGTAAGACTATTGTTAACCGACTTAAGTTGAATCGTTGATAAAGATTTGGAATGAGATTCTCCTGGTAAAGTTTCAATTATAGACGCTTGAAACTCTAGGAAAGAACATGTTCGGCTGCAGTATCCTTTGAAATTAAATATTACATAATTGCAATGTATTCCATTATCACCCTCATCACCCATGTTACACCCAGAAGCATTTCTAAAAATTCAAAAATTCTTAATCCGTGACAATCGAGCCCAAAACCCCCAAACTACGAACTCTTTGGGTGTACAATATGTAGAAACAAGAACGTCAAAAATGAACCTTTTGGAAAAGGAACAAGTTTTTTCACTTCAAAATCATTTATATGTTAAAGCAAAAAAGGGAATTGGCTTCAGATTTGTAGTTGAAGACAAGACGTATTAAAAACTGTTCTGCAAAACTTGATCGTCAAACAATATTTTTTGAAAATAAATAACTGAAAACACAATTAAATAGACCCTAAATATTTCGTAATGATATGCAAGAGAAGCCTTTCCTCAACAATTTAAGCCCTCATCCGGGGGAAGGAACAAGTGGTTATAAAACATTATCTAGACACGTAATAGATTATCCTTAAAATAACTATTAATTTCTATTTCCATAAAACAAGTTTGTAGTTTATCTTTGTTACGTTTCCTTACTAATAAAAAACAGTTTGATAATTTTGAGTTTAGTTCAATAATTACTATCATTGCTGCTTATATAAAAGTCACTCTTAATTAGAATTCAAATTTCGTTCCTTCCTCAAATCAGATTTCAACTCGGTGTCAGAATTAAAGCGTTGGGGGAGGGAGGGATTAAATCTATAGCATATAGTTTACATACGATGAGATGGGGGTCACCACCACACGAACATTTGCACCTTATTAAATCATCTCCCCATCATCCTTATATAACATCATGGAGATGTTATTCAGATGTCCCACGCAACATAGCTATACCTTCTCTGCTGCACCAAAAAACACATCATTTGCTATCTTGGCTCCCCGTTCTTTGGCCATGTACAGGCCCACGTGATGCATAAACTCCTGCAAATCACACAGTACATCGCTAGAATAGATACATATAATAAGGCGAATATTCACTCATGAAAATGCACTTTTGATGCTTAGTTGGTAGTTACGTAGTGTGTTATGTATATACCTAAGGATGAGCTAAAGCTCCTTTGGTATTTCTGGCTATCTCCAGAGGGATATCAAATGTAGCACAGCCACGTGAATAAACCACCACATTTTCTAGAGGCTCCAGAAAACCACGATTCTTAGCTGACATTGTAGAGCATACAAAGTCTAGTACACAGATATCTGTGCACACACCTACAACCACCAGCTTCACCAACGCAAGCAAAAACAATAAATAATAAAATGGTTTTAATAATATGAGTTTAGGATTTCAGACCCACTAATCAGAAATAGTTTTAATTCAAACAATACTCAAATTAGAATAAATACTCACAGTTTTTATCTTATTCTTCTTAATCCAATCTACAAAAACGTTAGAACCATCTTCTTCCATTGAGCCCAAATATCCATCGAAACAATCCTTACGCCTGATTGTTACATTGGTTTCGTTCTCTAGCCATCTTAGCGCTTCAATTCAAGAAAAACAAGAGCATTTTGAAAATAGTTGAACCAATACTAGAGGAAATTCATATCACAATATCGAAATAGGAAAAATCTGTAACATTCAAAAAGCTGCTTGGTGAGTAGCCATTATCAGATGTTTCAATTGATGTCAGAGGAATAGAACATTTACACATGTTGATTCGATTTCAATTAAAATTTATTAAAAAAGTTTTTTTCAATATGCAAAACTGGGTTGTTTGTTATTATTATTTTGAAACTCCAAAGCAATCCATCTGAGACTTTATTTTGAAGAGACTTTAAAAGGACCAATTTATTGCAGGGATAATTAATTACCCAGTAAGTAGATAGTGTCGTTGAACATGATAAGAAGATCTTAGCAATCAGTTTTATATGTTGCAAATTCCAATATTAGCAGTCTGGTAAATATTACAAATGAGAATTATCTGTGGGATTCTAGGGAGAGCAAAAAAGAGACAGGAAAAAAAAAGCTAACAATAATTGGCACACCTGGAACCAAATTTGATTCATCAGACCCAATAATACAGTGAGGAGGATAAGGATCCTCTGGCTTGTTAGGATGGTGAGAATCCAAGAACGCCATAATTGGCAATTTCTTCTCACAGAAAAGTCTAGCTAGCCTTGCTGATTCATTTATCATCCCTGAAATCTGTCTATTGGATTCTCTTGGGGCCTGAAAATATCATTCATCTATCTCTTAAGGCATGACCCACTTCACAAGTAAAAAGAGAAAATCTACCTAGACTCAACTCTAGTTAAAAAAATGAAAATCCAAAGATGCAATCACAATGCTCTGAACTCATCACAAAAGAATATTCTCGTTTACCAAAATTGAAAAGCATTTAAATTTAAAAACACACACAAATATATCAATACTTGTGAATGGAAAAAGATAGGAATGTTATCTAAACAAGTACAACAGATACCAGATTTCCAGCACCAACTGTGCAGAAGCCATTTATGATGTCCACAAGAACGAGACCATTCACAGTGTCTTCAGTTAAAACAACAGACTCATGCTCCAGAGGAATCTCCTTCTTCAGGAGTTCAACTGTTTGTGACACCATTTTCGTTTTCACTTAGTAGTGAATAGTAGATGCCAAGCAGTTGTGTAATCATCTTTATTTTTATAATATAATGTAGAGAATATGATATGTGTAATGTTTATCCGTGATCACCAATTTAGAGGAAAATTCAAAGACGCTTCTTCCACCCATGGATAATAACGTAGATTTTTCCAAACAAGTCACACTCACCACTACAAATGCCTAACTTACAACATGTTACTTTAATATTTTCTCAAGAAGAGAAATTTTTTTTTTTTTAATTTTCATCAATAATAATACACTCTTATGATAATATATTCAGGACATGATCATATTAAACGATTTAAGTGATTGACAGCACGACCACGTGAGAAGGACTATTTTAATGAAAATATTAACATTAAAAGTTGAGTTTAGGTAACTAAAAATATAATATTTTATTTAAAATTTATTATATTTTACAATTTTTAATGTAATAAATGTTTTTCAATAATTTTTTAGTCCTTTTCATAAGATTTTTTTAAAAAAATTCAATATAAGATTTTTTAAAGAGTTTTAAAAGCATAAATTATATCTTTACATAGTTAGATTTTATAAAGTTTGACTTTAAACGATAATTTTTAATCAACTAAATTCTTATTTTAAAATTTTAAAAATATTACGTTAGTTTTTAATTTTTATTTTTATTGAGCGTTTTAAACTTTAGACCCAAATATCACTACATATTAATAAAATATTAACATGTTATGATGTAATATTAAATTACAAGTATGAAAATTAAGTTGGCAAAAAATATCATCATTTCACATGTGATTTCTAATTTGGGATGCTTTAAAGAAGGAGTGCAACAACTTCAAACGATTCCAATGCGAAGAATGTAATGATGAGTGTAAGAGAGTGTATTAAGAGATTTTTGAAAAATTGTTTATATATAATATACACAAGTGTTAATGAGAGCTCAAAGATTAAGTAAATTTATTCAAGAAAAAAGAAAATATGTACAGTTAAGTTTAAACTATTATTTTTATAACTCAACTTTCACATTTGTTACTTAATATGCCATATTAATATTTTATTATTGTACATTAATAATGTCTAATTCTAAAAACTAAAATTTTGTACAAAAATAGAAATCAGAACTAAAATGATATTTTAAAAATTTAAGAAATTAAAATACTTAACATTTGTTATTTTATAAACCAAATTAAGAGTTTAATTGATTTTTAATTATGTAGTCTAATTAGAAAGAGTCTTATAAATAAAAATTAAAAAAATATTTTTGAATGTTTAAATTAAGTTTTAAACATTGGGGTTATTTAAATTATATTTTTAATTATACATTACAACTGTATATAAAAAGTGTATTTACTCCAAGAAAGGATTATACATTAAGAGTTTATTACATGAATCACTTAAAATTGATATCATATTTGACATTATATACTGGGTTTTTATTTCATACTTAATTTTTAAATTTTTTATACATATATTTTGAAAATATATCTTAAATACTACTTTGTTTTTATTTATCTGTTCAGACGTAAAAGAAATTGCATAAACCAAGGATTCTAATCATTTTATTAGAATTATTTGATAATTTTTTTAATTAATCTTCTATTAGTTAGTCTCTTTTTTACCTTTAAGTTTTTCAACTAGTATAAATACTTTATTTATTATGCTTTGAAGAAATTATATGAACCGATAAATATTAACGAAAATAATAATTAATATTATTTTAAACTTTTATATAGATAAATAAATAGGAATAAAACATATCCTCTGTAAAAGTTGTACAAAAGCGTTTCTTTCAAATGCCTCTTCATTTCAGCCAAAGAACTATTATATCTGACCTCTAATTTTTTTATAATTCTATTTTGACCCTTAAAGTTTTTAAATTTACACTTTAACTCCTATACCGTCAAAGTTATACTCCGATCCTTGTACTTCGTAAAATTACAAATGCACCTCTACATTTTTTAAAATTACATTAATGTCAAGTTATCTCTTAGAGCTAATGGCCCTTTCAGAATTGCACAAAGATAAATGATAAGGGCTACAAAAATAGAGCTGTCAATAGAGTTTTTGTCACCTTTATTGTTGCAAACCTTTCTATGAAAAATTAAAAATGGCGCAAAGATTCAAAAGGTGAGTTTTCTCCAATCCACCAAAGATATTTTAAACGTACTTTAAAATGATATTAATGTAAATTTTATCCTTAGACTACCTTAAACTTAATGATTGAAAGATTCCATAATGATAGTTTCTGATAAATTCTTCACAAAATGACACATTTCATCCCTTAAAAAAATAGTGTTGTTGTTCGCGTTTTTTTTTTAATTAGGAAAAAAAAAAAGGATAAAGAACTTCCGTGAGATTAATGTTGCTTTAAGTAATATACATTTGTTGATCTAAATAAGAAAAAGTAATATATATTTGAAAATACTGAAATTTTACATGACAACGTCATGTATATATGTTATACTTATATTTTTTTTTATTAAATATTAAATAGTGAAATTCCATAATAACTAACATAATGAGAACTAAATAAAAATTGTAATTTGATTGTTTTAAAGTGGGAAAATATATAAAATGAAATTATAAATATATGGGGAACACTGCACTAGCTACTTTACTCTCTTTCTTTTTTTTTTACATATAAAAAATAAATAAAGTGCAGACGCTAATTTAATACAAAATCATACACAAGAATGATATGTTGCCAATCTTTAACACATACGAGTAATATGATTTACCCAATACACGCGTGTGTAAAATTATTCAAAAAATAAAATTAAAAATGTTATAGTACCATGTTATGATAATGAATTTAATATTTTTAAAATAAGAAATTACAATTTAGATAAAAACATATTTATAATCATTAATTTTTTAATTTGTAAAACATTTTGTATTTAAAATATTTTTTTATTTATGATTATTCTTGTTATCCTTTGAAAAAGACAAAGCTTCTTTGGCCGTTTTAAAGTATTTGTGAAGTATCTACCACTGAAATTGTCTGAAATGAGAACATTTTGATCCCAGATAACTTTTCACATTATGCAGTCAGCTGCAGCATCACCACTTGTCAGTTTCAGGCCAAAGCTTCAAACTTTCTCATCAATAACTCAACTTTTCCCCGTCAGGACCCATTTCTGCAGACCAAGAATGGCTTCAGTTTCTGGGGTTGGGTTGAGGCCACTGAGAGGCTTGGGTAGTTCTTCTTCTTCATATTCTGCAGGTGATGATGGGTTTGTTACATTGATAGAGTATGTGGGTAAGGAAGGACTAAATGTGAAAGATGATTTGGTGGTGTTGCTTGATCACATTCAATATGCTTGCAAGAGAATTGCAGCTCTTGTGGCTTCTCCTTTCAATTACAGCCTTGGGAAACAAACGGCTCTTACCTCTGTTCCCACTGATAGGGATGCTCCAAAGCCTCTTGATATTCTCTCGGTATGTTTCTCTCTCTGAAATTACTTTATTTCAATTGAGTGTAATTTTGTTTCTCCTCCTATCCTTTTATGTGTAATTGTTTCTGTTGTGTAAGTGTGTGCTTAATTGGCTTGGAAATTGTGTACTTGTAAATGAGAGAAGAAAAAAAGGATGGAATGAGAATGGAGTGGCCACCATTTGCATTTCATATCTTACCAATTATACCGTGAGATTTTTCAAGATTGGGGATTTGAGGCTTTTATTTCTTGTCTATTGTCATGTGCATTAGTTGAACTACTCAGGGAAAATTAATATAGTTTAGCCCTTTATATCTAAAGAAGTTGCAGAGGAACATCATGAAAATGGCAACCAAATACCAAGACAAGCAACAGTTACACAAAACAACCTCTCTTTTTACTGATGATAATGATATCTACTTAAATCCTTCAAAACTTGTATGTACTCAAGTCTTACCTATGATGGCATTGTGACAAGTAGTTCTATGAAGTTATCAAATGAATTATTACACAAATTTTGACCTCAAATCAGAATTGGTTTTATTTTTAAACTTTACCGTAGTAGTACTTGAATATTGACTGCCCTACATCTGAGTTTTTTCTTTCCACCGGATCTGGTAAAAGGCTAAACAATTTTATTAACAGGAGCCCATAAATATTAAAGAAAAATAGCATCCAGTTAACCAATACTTTCTCCCGTGCATCATTGCAGAATGAAATTATCTTGTCATCACTAAAAAAATCTGGAAAAGTTGCTGTGATGGCTTCAGAAGAAAATGATGCACCTACTTGGATAAGTGATGATGGTCCATATGTGGTTGTAACAGATCCCCTAGATGGTTCTCGAAACATCGATGCATCCATTCCAACAGGTACAATTTTTGGTATTTATAAGCGCCTCGATGAACTTGATAATCTGCCCACAGAGGAGAAGGCTATGCTGAATTCACTCCAGAGTGGAAGTAGGCTGATTGCTGCTGCCTATGTTCTCTATTCATCAGCAACTATACTTTGTACCACCTTTGGTTCTGGCACACAGGCATTCACTCTCGATCATTCAACAGGAGACTTCGTTCTCACAAATCCAAGCATTAAAATTCCTCTCCGCGGTAATAATCCTTGCAGTTTACATATACCATACATAAATAAATGTTTGAAAATCTAATATTGACCTTACCAACTTGTTAGATACTTTATAAATCTTATCTTTCTGTTATGTAATTGGAAAAGGATCCTATGCAATTACATTAACGCTGCATCAAATCTCAACCATCAAATATATATTGTTATAATGTAAAATTTTATTAAATAATATATTTTAATAAAATTAAACGGTGAGATTGCACACTTCAAACCTCTCATCTTACACTTGCAGCATGTTAATTTCCTCACTTGGCTTTGTTCATTGTTAGCTTACTTCCTTGGAAGTTAACGTATATAGCTTGAAAGTGTGTTTGGATACACAACTTATTTGAGTACTTATTGATAAATCTTTTTTAAATGATGACTTATGCCATAAATTTAATAATGAAACTTGTTAGGTTAAGTTGAAAATAACTCATTTTGATAAGTTGTACTAAGAAGTTTATTGAAATAAGTTGAAAATAACTTGTAAAACTCATAGGTTGTTTTTCATAACCTATTCATAAGCTCTTCCAAATAGGCTTTTAGTTTATGCTGTTGACAGCTTTCTTATCTGGTCAGGGCAAATTTATTCTGTAAATGATGCGCGATATTTCGACTGGCCTGAAGGTTTAAGGCAATACATAGACACTGTAAGGCAAGGAAGAGGTAGATACCCCAAGAAGTACTCAGCCAGGTATATATGTTCTCTGGTGGCTGATCTCCACAGAACATTGTTGTATGGGGGTGTGGCAATGAATCCAAGGGACCATCTTCGACTTGTATATGAAGCAAACCCTCTTAGTTTCATTGTGGAGCAAGCTGGTGGAAGAGGGTCTGATGGCAAAAATAGGATTCTTTCCCTTCAACCAGTTAAACTGCACCAAAGACTTCCTCTCTTTATGGGAAGTCTGGAAGACATGGAAGAGTTAGAAAGTTATGGAGATATCCAACAAAAAGTAAATCCTGGTTATGAGGTTTGATGCTATGTATAGCATCATGATTCATGTATACAAATTTTGAGTACTCAACCATCATGGTGTCTAAGTAGCTGTATTGCACTTGCAAGTATTGAATTATCCATCATTTGTGTATATTTTCTCTCAAGTCTTTATTTTTGGTTTTGTTTCTCTCTCCGTCTTTATTGGAAGATGATTTTTTACAATGCTAAAAACAATATTGTAATCCATTTGACATGTATTGGTAATTTTTCTCTTGTACTCTAATTTTATCTTTAATAAAAGGTTAATGCTTAATAAAAAAATTGTTATTGACATTTATTTGTATTTTAAAAAAATGTATTATATATTAAAACAAAACTAATTAATAAGTTAATAACAGTGAACTCTTAAATCATCTAAAAAATTGTATGTTTGATTTACTTAATATCAAATTTTATAAATCTACACTCTTTAATAATTTTTGTAAACTAATAAATTTTATTGATTTAACTGTTAAATCTATTTTTAATAAAATAATTATCATATAAATTTTATTTAATTAAAAATTATTTAATGTTTTATCACATTGTTTTTTAGATGTATAATATTATTTAAATATAAAAGAGATCAAATTATATTTGTGTAAGGTGCATCAATTATTACATTCTTAATAACTTTATATGAAATAATATTTTTGTCAATCCAATTGTTCAATAATAACTATATATTATCAAAATTATTGGTGTTAATTTTGTCAAAATTTAATAATTATTACAAAATAATTAAAATATATATGTATATATATTTATAAATAAAAATTATTTTTATAATTTTAAAAGTATATATTATACTAATTTTGATGTATATAAATGAGATAATAACTAATTTATAATTAATATAAAATTTTATAGACATAATTAAAATAAATAATTAGAAATTTAATTTAATAGTTTGATTTTGAAATAAAATTATCTAATAAAATGATATTAAATAGTATAAGAGTTACTTTGATTTTTCTCAATTAAAATATACCAGTAATTATATGCCGAATGATTTTTTTTTATTTTAAATTTAATGTATATGATTATTAAAATAATATTATTTAAATTTATATGATCTAATTGATAATATTTATTTTTTATAAAAAAATATTAATGGTGTTGTTTTATAAGGTGCATGTTGGTTGCATTTCTTCTTAAAGATTTGTGAATTCAATAATCTATATAATTTATAAATGTTCCTTCACCCACGTAATTTTCCAGCAAAAAGAAAAAAAATTGTCACATAATATTTTTAATATATAGTTATAAATATTACTGAAAGATTTATGAACTAAATAACAAAATAATCTTAATTAATTATAATTTAAAAATATCTTTTCACAATTAATGTGGATTGAAAATTTTGAATATTAATTAAATAAATAATCTGATTTAATAGAAACTTATAAGACATGTGACACATAATAAAAATAACATGAATTCATAATAAAATAAGGGAAAGAAATACTGAACTTATTTCACTTTCCAAATGAAATTGTTGGATTTTAATATAAGTATACATCTCAAAGTGTGAATAAACAAATATGGCATTTAATAAATTACAAACTAGAGTTTTGATTTACCTCCTTAACATGAGATAATAAATATTAAAAAATATATAAAAGACGAGGTGCACTGCGCACCCTTACAAACTCTGCAACTGTGGTGTGGTTGGAGCATGACACAACAAAACACGACGCATTTAAATAATTAAATAAATATAATAAAATAGATAGATAAATAGAAAGATAAGATAGACAGTGTTTAATATTTATACATAATATATTTTTATTAATTATAATTTTATAACCGCACAGTAGAAATAGAGACAGACCTTCTTCACGCTTCCATGGCTGACCCGTACAACAAGCCTTTCAATTCTAAGCACTCAAGCCATGTGGCATTCCGTCTTCTTTGCCACGCGTCCCGCGTCGGCGCCGTCATCGGAAAATCCGGCGTCCTCATCAGGACCCTTCAGGAAACCACCGGCGCCAGGATTCGAATCGAGGACGCCCCGCACGACTCCCCCGACCGAGTCATCCTCGTCATTGCTCCCGCCGCCGCCGACGGCGACGTTCCTGAAGTCTCCAAGGCGCAGGAGGCGCTGCTCAAGGTCTTCGAAAGGATTCTCGACGTCGCCGCCGAGACCGGCGGCACTGACGTCGGCGACAGGGTGGTATCTTGTAGGCTTCTTGCGAACTCTGCGCAGGTTGGCGCCGTCATCGGCAAGGCGGGGAAGGTCGTTGAAAAGATTAGGATTGACACCGGATGTAAAATTAGGGTTTTGAACGACAATTTGCCCGCGTGCACTGCTCCGTCCGATGAAATCATTGAGGTCAGTGAAATCTTTTACTCTTCAGTGCTAGTGAGTGACGTTATCACTCTGCATTATAGTCTTTTACGTTTTCCAGTAATATTTGAACCGTTTTGCTAAATCATCTATTATTGATGATTCTTGCAGTGGATGAACGTCCAACTTGTATTTTTTTTACTTTTTCATGGATGGAATGGGCATTGAACTCTCGTTCAGATATTAATTAATTATATCAATTTATTTGTAGATGGAATTGAAATGTAAGTTAGAATTTTTGAAGAAATGGCATCGGTCTATATCTTCTTCCCTGCTTTTTCTACTTGAGATTTTTATGACAAAAATTGAAATGGTGGTATGTGAAAGACAATAGTGGAGACGGGGAATTTGATTTTCAATGCAAATGGAGGCAGGGAAAGAGAGTGAGCATTTATTAGTGAGGTCAAATAGGAAAGCGTAGCATGGTTAATGTGGAGGTTTTCCAACAGAATCTGAATCCAAACAAATTGTGCTGTAAAGGCAAGTAATAAAGTAAGTAGATGGTTAGTGGCATAACAGTTTCTTGTTTGTATAGATCTGGCTGTTCACGCTTGTGGTCCTGCAACATGACGTGGTAGTAATGATTGGCTACGTCAAGTATCCACAAAAGTGAATTATGCATGGGACTTTCCCAAAATAGATTAATTCATTGGTTAAAGCAAAATTTTGTACTGTGTTAGGCTGTTAGCCTGGCCCCCCTCAAGCTAAAGCATTGTTCTGGCTGTTTGCATTGTTTTCTTGAACTGGCTGTAGTAGTGGATATCCAATGGATTTTCTACACCATCCAGAAATTAATCATGATATATCAGTCCACTTACATTATCATAATAAATAATAATTTAAAATAGATTGGATGGATAATGAATTCAGGAATTGTTTTTACTGTAAACCCCTAGAGTGGTCTTTTGTCATTTAGAGTTAAGCAGCCATGATAAGTGAACCTTCCTAAATTGAAATAAACCATGAAGATGGGAGCTTGTTTAGGGGTTACTAGTGGTGTCTTAAGGGGGCTAGGACTAGGAGGGTTTAGTGTCTTGAGGGGTCTAAGTCTAAGAGTCTATGTTGTGTTTAGGCCCTAAACTTTAGGGCACCTTTTACTGACTACCTTGGATGCAATGTAAGAAATTACTTAAATTTCATGCGTAAGGTTAGGAACATTTCCTGGCTCACTGATTAAGGAACATGTGAAAATGGCAAATGGACTTCAATTTATTTGTGCTGTCTAATATTCTTTATTTATTTTTTAAATGCTAAGACAAGATCTTTGGAGTTTTGTCAGATAGAAGGCCAGATGACATCTGTAAAGAAGGCCCTTGTTGCTGTCTCTCGTCGGCTTCAAGATTGTCCTCCAGTTGATAGAACAAAGATGATGGGAAGCAGGCATTATGAAGTGGTTCAGCGTGAAACATTTGCAGTTCCTCTTGAGCCTTTAACTAATCTGCATATAGATCACCGTCTGCAGAGGAGCTCTGCATCGTCCACTTTATCCAGTAGGTCTAATGGCAATGCCTCTAGAGCTCATACATTGTCAGCTGAAGTTAATAAAGTTTCAGCCCTGGATCCAAAAGCACTTCCACGGGAGGTTACCTTTAGAATTCTTTGTTCCAATGATAGGGTTGGTGGTATAATTGGAAAGGGGGGCAGTATTGTAAGAGCTCTTCAGAATGAGACAGGGGCTACAATAAGTGTTGGTCCTTCTGTAGTTGAGTGTGAGGATCGACTAGTTACTATTACTGCTTCAGAGGTCTGTCAAATGTAATCTTTTTGCTCTTACTTCTGTTCTATGTCTTGTATTCTTGTATATGTATCATTAACAGTACTATTCCTATTAATTTTTCTTTTCTCAGTGGCTTCATTTGTCACAGAATCCTGAATCAAGATATTCCGCTGCACAAAAGGCTGTTGTGCTCGTTTTCTCCAGGTCTGTTGAGGCTGGTGTTGAGTTGGGCTCAAAAAAGGAGTCATACGTTACTGCACGACTTGTAGTCCCATCAAACCAAGTGGGTTGTTTGTTAGGAAAAGGAGGGGCAATTGTCTCAGAAATGCGGAAAGCCACAGGAGCTAGCGTAAGAATAATCAGGAACGACCAGGTTCTAAAATGCATATCAGATAATGATCAAGTGGTACAGGTGTGGGGATGATTCTTTAGTTGGCTTTACAACCAAATGATGCTGAAAAATGCTTTTTCTTTTTCAAGATGTGCTATGTTGTGAATGCTGCAAGTCAAAGGAACATTTTCCCCTCATACTATAAAAGTTTTCTCATCATTCACGTGCTAATTTAATGGTGCCACCTATCCTCTTTTCTTTTCTGCAAATATCCCCCAACATTTTTTTGAAGTGTCATTTGATATTATTTTGAGATATATTGCTCCACTCTTGCCCAGTATATTCTGCAAAAATATTTGTTATCCGTATGTGTACAAATGCAGTCCCATTCTTCATACCTGTTGATTTCTTTATTTTTGTTCTGTCAACTCAGTTTGGGGTAAAGGGAAATAGAATAGAGGAGTGTTCCTAGAGAATAAAATTAAAAGATTCTCACCAGGCTACTACCTATAGAATGAAATTGTTTTTCCCATCTTGGATCCATTTCGTAATATATGTGAGTCAGTGTTTATTTTCTGACTAGTAATACTTTTGATATTGGACAAGCTGCGAGCCACTTCTGGCTAATTCTGATGAATATAGGTAATTATCCTTGTTGTAGGAGGAGTTTCTAGAGCAAGTTTAGCTTGATCTAAATTCCTGCTGCAACTATTGAATGTTTGGGGTAGGTATATTTCATAAGGCTTCTGTTTCATATCTTCTTCAGAGGAGAAAGTATGTTTGCATAACTGCTACAATATCTTTATGTATCCTGTTCAACATTAAGAATGAGGTTTCTAGCCATGACAATGACATATTGTCACTATGATAGTTTATGCTTAACCCAAATAGAAACATGACCAAGTTTGATCTTCTGCTGGCAAATCTTTACGTTTCCAGAGCCTCCTGTTGTGAATTTTTGTTAATTTTTTTTCAAAGCTTTATAAATTGTATTTTATTTCCTTTTAAATGCTTGTTTGGTTTGAAAATAATAAACAGTCTGTGCTGTGTGTATCAAGGTGTACTGTTATGGAAAGCTGGGTTATGTCTTATACTCTTGATTTTAGATAGTTTATTTACTTTCCACTGTATTTGATACTTGTATGCCTAAACACTTTATGTGTTTATCTGTCAATCAATACATTTTCTTATAGGACTATATTTGAAATATTAGTTGTATATGTATTTCTCTTTTTTATGGAGCATGAGAGTTTTATTTTAAAGTTGAAGCTGTTTATCCTTTGTATCTCATAGACTTTTAGCCTCAATATCATCTTTAGACTAGTCATGAATTCATGATCATTCTGATGCACATATTAGTAACTGCAACTGGTGTGTTGCAGTTGCTCAATTTTCTTTAATGGGTCTGTATGATCTCAAAATCTGATCCTCAGACTAGCCAAAGATGGTTTGCATGATCTCTCCTTGATGATGTGTAGTGGTTATAATTATATACCAAATGCTATGATATTCAACCTATATTTCTTATTGTATCATATTGTATCCATGCCCTTACCTTTATCCTTATGCAATGATTTAGAGTTGGCAAGAGATAAATCCTATTTCCAAGAGCATTTCTAACTAGGTCACAAACTCCTCACATTTATAGTTCAGTATATTTAAGTCAGCAGGATAAATCTTGCAATGAAGTTTAAGCATTTAGTAACTACTATTGTTATTCACTTTTTCCACAGATATCAGGAGTGTTTTCAAATGTTCAAGATGCATTATATAATGCAACTGGTAGACTGCGAGATAACCTTTTTGTCAGCACACAAAACAGTGGTGGAACAAGGAGCCTTTCCTCTGTGCTAGCTGATATTGGTCCCTATAGGAGACTGAGGGATCCCATTCCTGTTGGAGACCAACCAAATGTTGCTGTTTCTCATAGTCTCAGTAGACATCCTTTGCCAGGGTTACAGGCACAACAGGCATATCTCTTTTCTCTGCTGGCTGTTTTTTCCCTGTCCAAGTTTTTCCTTTATGACATGATTAAATTTGGTTGCAGACAGTGACTGGGATAAATTTCAGAGGCATCAATGATGTTGGCATGGGAATGACTTTTCAAGAAGGCAGCTTAGAACTTGTCAGGTTGGTGATATGCAAAATAAATTACACTTGCTTTGATGCAAATCAATGATTTTATGAGGAACAAAGTCAACAATGTTGACTTATATACCAATGATTTGGATAACTAGGAACTGCTACTTGTGGTTTATACCAATGTTGATTTTTATCGAATACAATAATACATCCTTTAACTTGGTCAGATCACATGCTTGCATGAGATTACTTGTTGAGGCCAAACTTATATTGTCCTATTTTCTTACGTCCGTGTTTATTTGGTACTATTTGGAGCCCTGGCATTGAGTGAAGTCTTAAGACTACTGATAGGCCAAGTTCAGAATTAGGACATCATAATTCTGTATTATGAAGTTATAAGTTAAGCAGTTATTTTTATATTAATTTCGTATTAAGCAATTATAGGACAAAATGTGATGGTTTTAGTGATATATAAGTTGAGTTACAGACTTGTAAATGGGAATTAAGGTGTCATATTATTGTTCCTTGCGTTTTGATGGAGGAAACTCCTTCTGGGGGGGAAGCCTTGTGTGTTAAGGGTAGTTTTCTGACTGTATGTTTGAGAGAGGAAAACTCTCTGTTAGGGAGCCTTTGAATTCTGTTCTAGAACTCTAATTCTGGTTTCATCTAGAATTTCTGTCAATATAACTGTCCTATTTGTATGTCTAAACTCTTGGGTCTAACAATATAACATGACATGGTTTCTAATACCAACAAGGGTTGACTCATCTAGTTAACTTTCCACCTCATGACAAAGTGCTTCCCTCATCCCGAAAGCCTAAAGAAAACAAATTGCTTTCCAGATGAGCGGTGGAAATAGTCACTGTAGCATATATAATATGTCCCCAACTGTTGAGTTCTTATTATAACTCTTTTTGGCCTGCAGTGGGAGTAAAACTGCCATGGTTACCAATACCACTGTGGAAATTTTGGTTCCTGATGATGTTATTGGCTGTGTATATGGGGAAAATGGTAGCAATCTGGCTCGCTTGAGACAGGTACACAGTCTTGAATAAGAATATGTACATATACTTTGTTTAGTTGCTTACCAGCCATGTTAATCCTTGTCAATTTCCTTATGATCAGTAATATGATTAATTGGTTATTTGTTCGTAAGTCTGTTACTAGAAAATAACTATGCAGTGATGTTGAATTTTGGAAGCATTATATTATCTTGTGCTACTGTATTTTATTTTGATCTGTGGCATTGTTATGATGAACATTGAATAGTAAGAGTTGTTAGATATTGTGGAAGGTACTTATTATCCCTCGTCTAAACTTAATTCTGTTCCCATTATCAGATATCAAGAGCTAAGGTTGTCGTCCATGAACCCCGTCCTGGAACAAGTGACAGGATTATTGTCATATCCGGTACACCTGATGAAACTCAAGCTGCGCAGAGCCTTCTTCATGCATTTATTCTTAGTGGGTCGTCATGACAATATCCCCTCGCGGACAACAGATTAATTTTCAAGTAGTTTTACTTATGTTTATTCCCTATCTTAGGTCTTTTTTTATTTGATTTTTTCATTTAATCCTACCCTAAAAGCATGTTCACTATATTCGGAAAATATCCAGCCCTTTTACTATTTCCTGCCAGTAATCTTGAGTGTCTATTGCCACTCTAATGTGTCATTGCCAATCTTATTTAGTTAAATTTCATAAAATTTCTTTACATTATGACTTTGATGAACAAGGAATAGTATTTTAGATGAAAATAATTTGAATAGAAGAGATAATACACTTTTTTTTATTGAGCAACTAGTGACAATAGACATTCCAGGAATGGGCTGCCAAATCAATTTACAGCTTATGTTGTTCACTGAACGGGAGTGTACTGATTTTGCCGTAGTCACTTGATTCGTTTTGGTATACTTAAGTAAAAGCATGTTAAATTCAATAGGTTTTGCATTATTTTAACGGTTCCTTTTTGCAATATTACCGTCGCATTTGCCATGTCTTAATTAAACTACTGTATGGTTCTATATGATTTTAGATGCACTCTACTTTAAGAAATAATTTGATAATCACTTGTATTTGGCAATCATGTCCAATCTGTTGCAGTAAAAGTATATCAACATCAGATAAAAAGTATATTTGATGCATAAATTTCAATGGCTCAAGATCTCCGTCATAATGAGGATAACATGAAGCCAATTGTTTCTAAACGAAGGGGGAAATGTGCGAAAATAGGTGGAATACCATTTCATAAAAACTATGATCCGCATATCCTGGTTTTAACATTCGATACACATTTAAACATTTACCTCAAACCAAGTAGTGATAAGAGAAGATAAATATCTTAGTCCCCACACGCACATCACACAGTCATGCATAATAGTGTTATTACACCGATCATAAAAACAAGTTGGTGGTTCAAGCAGCAGAGGATACTCTCTGGCCCTTCATACTTCATAGTTGTATCAGTTGATAGCTGCAGCAGTAGGGGTAGGATTAAGAGTGATTTCCACATTATCATGGACTCCTTGGAGCAGTAGCTCACCATCATATGCCACTACTTTACGCTTTTTCGCTGCTCTTAGTGTCCCAACAAGTGCTTCAAATATATTTGCGCATTGATCATCGTTAAATAGTGTTCCAAATGTAACCTTCACAATACAAGACATTTTGTTAATGACAAGAAAACGCAACGCATAAGGATATAATAGATCAGCAAAACAATTCCCCCTGAAGATTAGATATGGAAACTACATAAAGCACATAGATGCTCAACGGCAAGCAAACAAATTCACTGTTACTTGCCATGACTGAAGTGGAGAGCCCAACTCAAAAACACTATGCACTAGTTGATTGAGAGATTTTCCTACTATAGTACTTGTTAAGCATATCAATATGCGTATAAACAGAACAAACTGTCTCAGGCCACACACATTTGATTACAGTGATGCAGTCTTCTACTTGCTGCCTCTTTGAATAATATCAACATCATGGACAAATTTTAATTGTTATGATGCTCGTAGATGAATATCCATGGACCAAACGTTGGATCATTATTTTCTGTTCTTGTTAAAATATGAAACAAAACAAAAATAATATGGCAAATGGCAATTAGTAATTAATATTTTGTTTGGATATTAGAAAATTAGGGGGAGGGTTCTGTTTTGCTGACGCGATCAATCTCCTATAGAATGGCTTCCACATGCTATACCTCCTCCTAATTTGTGAGTTCAATGCAAATGTATCAACAAATATGGGGAAGTAAATGATACTTCACCAGTATAACAGATGCTGGTTCTTAATCTATACACACATGCAAGGATGTTAGAAATTAGAATCACAGTTTTCACAAGAAAAGGAATGATCTTCCTTCTGGGGTTACCGAAACTCAATTGACATAACAAGGCAAAACCAAGACTCAATTATCTCACCCTCACTTTTCACTTTTCTTTCCAAGGCTTTGGGAGGTAAGCCTAGATCTGAGTTGGATACAAAGGTTAAATATTAGTAAATCCCTGTGAACAAAGTAAGATCCAATTTTGTGAATGACCCAAGATCCCATAAAATGAGCTAATGATCTAGATCCATAAGATATATTATTATGCATGTATATATTCATAGGAACATAATGAATAAGATTGAAAGATGGAGAGATAGAAAGGGAAGTCCTTTTGTTTTACCTTGTAAGAACCATCTGTTTGGACATTGCCAAGCCTCTTGATTTCTTCCCGGAGACGCTGAACCTCTTCTTCTACATTCATGATTGCAATATCCTTAGACTATGACCACCAAAAAAGAAGACAATATCCTTCACCTGGTGAATTTTCTATTCTAGCCTGACACCACTTTATATTTAGATTTGTAGTTTCTTACCTTATAAAATCAAATGTGTGATGCACTTTCATGTAGTAAAGTCTAAGTAGTAACTAATTGTAAGTATTAACGAAAAAGTAGTACGAAGTATACAATACAAATATTTAAAATTATTTCACAGTATAATAAGATATATATAGTAATTTTTTATTAAAAATTATATAATATTTAATAATATAAATACATTTAATTATATTAAATTTTACAACTTTTATTAAAAATTACTATATATAATTTATTACCGTGTACAATTTTGTACAAATTAATTAGAAAATTTGATATTTAAATTATTCAAAAAATATATAATCAGTTTAAATAAATGATATTTTAGGATAAAAGTGAATATTTTTAAGAAAATAATTAAGTATAAATAAATGAGATTTGAAGTAATTTTTTAATATGAATATTTAAAATAAATAATTTAAGAAATTAAACTTTAAAGATAAAAATAAAAAGTATCATAACCATTAATGTTTTTAATTTTGAAAGTACAAAACTAAGTGTTAAGTAATGATGAAGTTACCTGTCATAAAATAATAATAATAATAATAATAGATTGTTACATTTAAAGGTAGAAACTTAAATTTGTAATACAAGAATAACTTGTATCAATAAATTCTAATTCCACAATCTATTACCATTTGATTGTACTTAAATTGATTGTTATAAAAAATTACTTAATCTAATTTGGTTCTTACAAGAAATTAATTAAATAGCTCCAAAAATTATAGACATAACACACTTCATTCTTTTAGTTATTTTTTAATACATACTTGATCCTGAAAAAAAAGTTGGATACTAATTTATGCCTTGATAAAATTATTAGTAACCTAAATTAATCTTTACAAATGCTAATTTAAATGAATGAAAAGACTGATATAAAAAATAAATACACTAAAGTATCTCACATTTGTTACTTTGAGATATTATTTAATGATTTTTTGTTTATTCTTTCAACTAAATAAAGTCAAATGTTTTTCTAATTGAATTGAATATTTACTAAAAAGGTTTATATTATAGTTTTTTTTTGTGTGGCAAGCATCAATATCCCTGATTCCCCTTCAAATGTGATGGATGATGAATGTTGAAGGACAAATATAAAGTGCAAATGTATGGCTAAAGATTTTAGTAGCTTCACATCACTTAAAAATTGAAATTGAAAAATTCACACTTTAAACTTTTTTTCTTAACTTTATATGTTAATAAATATTAATTATAATTTTAATATATAATAGTGCAGATGCATGCATATAAATGAAATTTACTTGGATTTTATTTTTATTTTTGTGTGTGAGATATATGATAGAGTGGGAAAAACTGTGAGATTATACATGCCATAAATAGAGAGAATGAATGCAGGAATTTGATTTTGCATTCTTATTTTACCTAAAAATATTTACATGTTTAAATAATAAAAACATTAATTGTATACAATTAATAGATAATTAATTAAAAATAATATTTCATACATTATAAAATATATTTGCTTTTAAATTACCTTTTAAGGACAATTTAAAAAGATCCTTATTTTGGTTCTTTAAGACTATATAATTATATTAGTTCTTTAAAGTTTTTAGTCACTAGAATAATATCTCAGTCTTAAATAATGTGTAACTAAATTATTTTTTCAACCATCTAAATTATCACCATACTTCCTTCACGGAAGATTAAAATAGTGAAAAAATATTTAAAGATTAATTTAATGACAATTTTTAGAAAACTAAATTAAAGACTCTCTCAAAAAAATTATTAAGCATCTCTTACAAAAATTAATTTTACAACATTACTGATATGTACTCTTAGAAAAATTAATAGATAATTGTTTTAACTTAAAAACAAAAAAACTATTACTTCATCATTCCATCCCAAATATTATTTTAATCTAAATTTTAAAACTTTGACCTGAGTTAAAATGACAATCACAGGTATATAACAAAGATATTTTTTGAAGTGATTTAAAACATGAAATGCACAGCACGGCGAACAAAAAGAATATTTTAAATATTTGAGAATTTGAAATTGTTTTGTGGGTTGTTTTGATTCTGTGGCAGACTCTGCTTGACTCTTGCTGTGTCTTGGAAACAGCACTCAATATTTTCCATTTCTGTTTCTATTTCTATTCTTTTCTAATTTCTTTCCACACTCACTCACACACTCTCCAATCCTCTATTCTATAATTCTAGGGTTCCAACGCTCACAAAAACGCGCTTTTGCGATTGTGTGAGTTATGCTTGAGAAATGGATGCTGGGGTGAACAATCCGAGTGAGGGACGAGTGGTGGTGGTTCCCATGCATGTCGATTATGCCAATGGAACTGATGAAGGTGAAGAAGCTTCTTCTGCTATGAACTCCAGAACCAGTGAACTCACCATTTCCTTTGAAGGAGAGGTCTATGTTTTCCCCGCTGTTACGCCAGAAAAGGTTCTTTTTTTTTTTTTGTGTTTTCAGTTTTTCTTTTTGCATCCTCAAGTATTTTATGAGAACATGCTTTTTATTATTATTATTGTTGTTGTTGTTGTTAGGAAAACCATCTTATTTCAATTACTGTGTAGACTTGGCAAGTTGTTTATTTCGGTAGCAATTGGCGATTTTCTTGTTAGAAATTGAAATGTTTGAATTTGATTTACTGAACCCCTTCTTTTCTATTTTTGGGGGAAAAAAGGGGAAAAATGGGTTAGATATGGATTTGTCTGTCCATGCATCCGTAACCCGTTGACGATATTCTTGACAAACTAAAATAATAAGGCAAATGTTAACCAGTGTCCTAAGGAATTAAAAGTGGAAATCTTTTGTCAGAAAATATAATAAATACACCTCCACCATATTTCTAATGCAGTTCAGCATGATTTCCAGTAAATTTTCTCCATTTTCAATTCCTTAACCAATGCCTCAAGGATACCGGTTAGCAAGATCTAAATAACAATAATAATATTGGCAAGCTGGTGGAGAAAGAGGAGGTATTCCTAAGCAATGGTTTTGCTAGAGTTGAGTTTATCACCATTATGTAAAACTTCTGCTTAGGGTAAGTGAAGTGAATTCTCAATTTTTCCTTCCTCTTTTGTGAATGTCCCTTTGATTGAATTTGGTTGCTTGATTATGAAATGAAGATTCTGTGATATCTGAATGGCAGCTGTGCTCCAACCTCACTGAAACATTCAAAATTTTGAGATTATAGTACAATTTTGACGGCAATAAGTGTAAGGTTGGATCCTCCTTTTATTGGGGAAAGGGGGGAAAATATTTGACTGTAAGCTTGAATAGTGGGTTTTCTACAATGTGGTAATGAGTCAGTAACATGTTTTCAACATTAAAATTGGGTGGGGGAGAAAGAAGGTAATTGCTACCATTTTCATTCATGCTCTTTTTTCTCTTGGGCACATTTCTACTTTGAAGTCTATTTAAATATTCAGCTGGTGTACATGTGAATTTTGAAAAAAAATGGCTGATAGCTGTATATTTTCACTTGTGCTGCAGTGAGAATTTTATCAGTATCTCGTTACAATTAATGTTTCAGGTTTCTATTAAGCTACCATGCTGTTTTTGTGGTTATTACAGAGAGATACCAACAAGTGGTAATTTGTATCCTGCCAAATTATTCCCATGGATTGGATATACTGCCTATTTGTTTATTTACAATAAAATGCTCCATGCATGCATTTTTGCAGAACTTCTATGAAATGATTGGACATTTTTTGAGTTTGGTGACTCCTTTTTTTATATTACAGGTGCAGGCTGTATTATTACTCTTGGGAGGGCAGGAGATGCCAAATAGTATCCCCACCTCTGACTATTTGCTGCAGCAAAACTGTCAGGACATTAGGGTATTTCTCGTTTGTCTGTAGCTGTTTCTTAAAATATTATTTTCTAAAACTTATTATGTATGACAGACAATAAATGATTCTTCCCGAAGTTCAAAGCTTTCTCGAAGAATTGCATCACTTGTTAGGTTTCGTGAAAAACGAAAAGAGAGATGTTTTGAGAAGAAAATTCGGTACTCTTGCCGTAAAGAGGTTGCTCAGAGGTAGTGTGTGGATAGTTGACAACTTTGATGTATTGCATAAATTTTTCCCCAAAAATATTGAGCCCTAACAGACTTGCTTCACATTTTCTCATTTTATTTTATGATTTGCTGTAACAACATATATAAATTGTTAGATTGGGGTGGAAAAAAAATGCATAATTGTTAAGAGTAAATTACACTCCCCTCTTTGAAGAGATGCTTAAACTACACTGCTATCCCCCCTTATTTCATCTGTAAAGTTCTAAAATTTATAATTTGTCTAAATTAGCTTCTTGTGACCTTAGAAGTTGAAGAAAAAGGAATATCGTTGGGAAGTTCTTTTATAGTCTCACCACTGCTAACAGACTTGTTCAGTGCACTAAAGTGTAGTACCAGCACATAATCTCTTAGTAAGCAACTAAGCATTTCTCTGTGAAGGGGAGTATACTTTACTCTGTTATTTTTTAAAACAAAACTCATGGGCTGACATGGGATTAGTAATTTAGTATTGTGTCTCTGTAGATGTTTGTCATGCATGCCTTGCACAGCATTAGATTATCCTGGCTTTTAGACTAAGAAATATTGGTTATATACAGACTGGTGTTTGTAAGATTGACAATATTTGGCTATCTTATAGGATGCATCGTAAGAATGGACAGTTTGCATCATTGAAGGAAGACTACAAATCTCCTACTGAAAACTGGGATTCAAGCAATGGTACTCCTTGCCCAGAATCTACGTGAGTTTCAAAGTTATCTTTTCTTTGAATTTTAAGGTTGCAATAGTTTTATACTCTTAATCTTTTAGACTTTTACATGTTAGTGCTGATGTGGTTATTGTTGTGTTGGACACTTGGACCTTTGCTGTTGTTAAGTGAACGTAGATGCCAACACTGTGGAATTAGTGAGAAATCTACTCCAGCTATGCGTCGAGGACCAGCTGGTCCAAGATCTCTTTGCAATGCCTGTGGGCTTATGTGGGCAAATAAGGTAATTAATATCTGTTTATTAGCTTAGCATGGAATTATGGTTATTGTTATTGATGGTTACAAGCATTTCTGTCCAGAATCAGGTGTGGTATATCTGTCTCAATTTTGTAGATTTCTTTTGTACCTTTATTTTAGACTAACTAGAGCCTTTGCCACAAATACAGTCATTGTTGTCCCCTATAATGTCATCAAATTTTAGTAAAAAAAAATTCTACAAAGATTTTTTGTTCAACCTATTTGTCATTGAATGTCTGCTCATATTGTCACGACTCAAGACATTTATTTTTAATGATTGATTATTCATTTCTTTCCATTCCAAATGTTAGAATAGTTGATGGATCTTAAAGGTCATAACTCAAATACTTGACACAAGTGATATGTATCTTTAGTTGTGTATGATTGGAAGGTAGGGTTTTTTTGTCAACCTGATGAATATTATTTATATCATGCACTGTCATTCTGCGTCAACCACAAGAATAACTATGTTTCTTCTATTCAACATCTTATCTATTGTGGTAATCAACTCATTGTTACAGTCCTGGAATTGTGGGAGGGGTGATTATTTTGCATTCCACTTGCCTAAAGTGACTAGGGCAATCTTATTTTATTTATTATGCCTAATTAATGATCTTCATTTTCATGCCTTGTTGATTTGAAGGGAACTCTGAGAGATCTCAGCAAAGCAGGAAGGATTGCTTTTGAACAAAATGAACTGGTATTTTTATTTTTTTTTCATATTGTCATTGGACAATTTGTTGTCTTCCAGTGTCATACTTTTTCCAATTGTAAACAACCAAGAATAAAATACATCGTCTTGCTGCATTATGTTTAAAAAATAAAAGATAGGCAAATTCTGCCAAGGCATGTCTACCTAACATATGTGAATCACCCAGATCATGTTTGTGTGTAACCAGGATGGATTTGGATCCTCTGAGGCTCTCACTTGACCATATTATATGATAAGAAAGGTAGACAAAATGTCCTATTTCGTGAAAAGATTATTGGACCCTCAACCGAGCATTGTGTCTATCTCTATCATCAAATAGCTTGGTAGATGATCCAAATCAAACTGGAACATTCATTGATGCTGTATAGCTTAGGGTGTGAAGGGGCTGGGTTTTGTTAGGGATTGATTCACAAACATGCACTGTTGCCCACAGCTAGAACAAAAGTTCCGAGGAAGCTTGATTTATACATACAAATAAAAAGTGGATATTTTGTTATTAATGGCTGTGCTGTATAATGTACAAGAGCTAAGAAACATAGAGACATTCTTATTATCGTTACAACTGTTTTGAGAAATAATTATAGATGAAATATGAATAGAGGTGGTAGGAGATGACTACATGAAAATTTTGGCATAGCATTAGATATTATTAAACAATGAATCTTATGCAGAAATAGCTTGTGTTTGCTCCCTAGCTTTTTTGTTAGTGCTACCTGCCCTCAAAATCTGAAGAAAATTACATACTTTATTCTGTAATTTTCTCCTGTTGGTGGCTTATTTGAAATTTCTTTGACATATGTGCTCAGTGGAAGATGTTTGGAATTTCAAGTCTAATAATATTCTCTTTATTTCAAGGATACTTCAGCTGATATAAAGCCTTCAACAACAGAACCAGAAAATTCTGGTGCTGACCAGGAAAAGGAGGTATATTCAGCAGATTAATAAAGACTTTATTGTGTTGCTATCGGAACTGTTTCTTTGACTTTTTCTTTTCTTGTGATATTGGTGGTCACCATTTTTCTCAAACTTGGTCAAACGGTAATAAAAGAGCATGAAAATCTACCAAATTATTTTTTGATTCGTATATTGTTTTTTAGGGTCCATGAGGGAAATGGTTGGTTTTTCAAATTTGTGCATGCTCATATTGATTATTATTCTAATAGTTTTGACTTTTGATACTCCTGTATACTTGACTCACTTGACTGAACACTGATTCTAAAGATGATACTATTTTGTTGGCTGTGGGTTCATAATTTTTATTTTTCTTAAGCAGGGAAGCCCTGAGGAAACTAAGCCTGTGCCAATGGATTCCAGACAGTCGCCTGAAAAGACAAATGAGCAGGTTTTACCTTTTTATTTGTTTGTATTAGTGGATTATTTACCTTTTTCTGTATAATTTAATGGTACTAAATTTCGATCAAGCTATGATGAGGAAAGCTTTATTATTTGCTGATAGGGGATTATGCAATTTAATTTCACTGAAAAGATAATTTAAATATGCACAAGTTTACAATTTGATCAACTTTTTACTGAACTTAAACATGGTATCTGGAAAACACTAAAAACTTGTCATTCAGAATTTGATTAATTTTTAAAAATAATTAAATGAAGTTGATGTGGTTGAACACGTGTGTCTCTTATTAATAAATTAATAATGAAGTTCAAAACTTAAGTTTTTTCTTCTATCCAATTTCCACCAGAAGACACTGGTCAATCAAATTTCCTGAAGAAGTTTCTGAAATCTGGATATTAGAATTTAAAATTAAAGTTCAGCCACTGAAAATTAGAATACTTGAACAGCAAGAAACAAGTGCATAGTGAGAAAACAAATAACAATAGTAAAGCATACATAGTTCTAATAATCTATCGCGATCAGCATACATAGTTCTAATAATCTATCGCTATCATGCCACTGATTAGGTTACTAGCTCATAGATGCATGACACCCAAATCACAAACAAGTGCATTGTGAGAAAACAAATAACAATAGTAAAGCATACAAATAGAAGAGACCAAGTCATGTTGCTAAAAACACTGAAAATTTGAGTTAGTTTATTCACTACAGAAATAGTGTTTTTAGCCCAGTGTGGATAATGATAATCATTTTTTATCTTTAGCCCTTTGATTTGTTTCTTGTTTTGGGATCCTGGGGTGATACCTGAAAAGCTTTCTAATTTTGTCATTAATTTTCTGATTTTTACAGTTTATTCTCGATACTGCTGAAGCAGTTACCGACAACTTGTCCATGCAAGTGGAGAATCATGCTCTTAGTCTGCATGAGCAGGTAGGTATAATTGGAGATGGAAATTTCATGAAAAGGGTTGAGGTGATATGAGAATTGGTATATTATACGTTTGAGATTTACAGGATACACTTGAGGATCTTGCTGATGCTTCTGGGACTGAATTTGATATTCCTGCAGGTTTTGATGAGCAGGTAGGTATATGATTTAATTGACTTGTCACGATTCCTGAAAATTATCCGTCAGTTACTTGTTAAAGTTCATGAGTACTACTAACATACAGGTTGATATTGATGATTCCAACATGAGGACTTACTGGCTGTGATATAGAGATATTAGCATATTGCTGTGCGCAACCAGATAATGGCCTCCTGTTGACGCATGGTTTGTTCACAATGGAAACTAATGTTCACTGCTGGTTCAACTAACCATGGACTTCCAGAAATAGTTTATGTTTTATAGACAAATTATTTCTGGAAGCACTGTGAATTATATGATTGTAGACTTACAATTTTCTTACATGAAAGTTCCTGTACATCCCTTTGGGACCAGATTTGATTTATATAATGTGAATAGTTCGGTTTTTTCCCTTCACTTTCTTGTATTCAACGTTGATTTTGCATTCTTTGACAATATGCATTTTTGGGGGTAATGACTAATGATAGGAGAAAGGGGACTCAGAGAGAAGGAAGATATTTTTCGTTACACAAAATTAACATATCACGTTTGCTCAAACATAGAATGACCACATTGAAGAATGGAACCTTTGGTAATTCCATCGAGGCAACTCTCATGAACAAGTTGACCTTATGAGTTGTTAAAGTTTATTTTATATTTTATGTCACATTACTTTCATTATCTTAATCAACTAAATTTTTAACTCCAACAGAACAACTTTAAAATGTTTATATCCACTATAATTTACCTCACTTTTTATTTTTTATCATGCATCATTTGTATTTCAATCTCTCGGTAGAATAGGTTTACATTTATCGTGTGTTTAGCAAATGTGGGACCCAAAAGGAGGTGAAATTATCGTGAAACATTTGAGAATTGAATATTCTCCTACGAGTGACCGCCGGTGTTCCTTGTTCGTCGCTGTTTTATAAAAGTCAACAATGATATTCATATACAGCTATTTCTACTTTATAAATTTTTTGCATCTTTCTTTTTTTTTTCCTCGTCACGTATTTGGCACATTTATAATTTTTTGTAATGCTTTGGTGGCACCATGAAGCTTTGACCCTTGGAAACCAGATGAATTGTGTGACATGAAAGACTTTGGAGTAAAAAAAGCGTAAAAAGTGTTTACATCTTGAAAATGATAGACAATGAGTAATGGCACATTTGATATCTACATTGCTTTGAAATTTAGTTTACTCACAATTTGCTCTTACAAAAACAGTTAACTGTCCTCCCCTGCATTTATAGACATAGTTATACCAATAGTCTATATGACTAAAATTCTTATTTTCTTACCCCATGAACCACACATAATAGAGTGGCAAGAAAAAAGAATAATAAGTTTGTTTCATAGTTTAATCCTATAACAAAGTTCTTTTGCTCTTCAACAAATTATCATTTTCTTCCATTCAAAATTACACGTTCTACGCTTTCAAGAAATAAAGAAAGATGAAAATTTTCTGTCACACGAGGAAAAACACCCTAATTGATCCTCTTGAAGACTTAATCACAAGTGCTTCATTAATTTTCTCTAAACTATAAGATTTGGAATTCTCTTTCTCAATCTTCAAAATCACAAACGTCTCACTAAATTTACACACTTGAGAATTTTTTTTATTGTAAAGTATTGCTATGTTTATTTTGTAAAATATGTTCTCAAATAAAATAATTTTTAAGTAGGAGGAATGAGAGAGTTAAAATAAAACTTGTTACATGACATTGAAAAGCAATCTTCAATAAAATATGTAGAAATATATGAGAAGTTTTTTTTTTTTAACCAGTTTGGGAAGATACCTTCAGGTGTTCCATTTATAGTTGAAATGTCATATTTTTGAGGTGTTGTGATTTTATGTTTGTAACATATGAACATGCTGATGTAAAAATAGTTTTCAACAATTTTCTAAATATTTTACTTGGTACCGTAGATGGCCAGTAATACTTTTAAAAAATATATACATACTGATGTAAAAATAGGTTTTAGTAAGTCTCCAAATACTTTTGTTAAATTATTTTTTATTTTTGAGAAAAAGTTATATCTCAATTTGAAAAATAATAATACTTCAAAGTAGTCTTATGATGCATGTTTGGGTTTGTACAACTATTTGACACAAAAAATCACTTTTGTCAATTACTTATGTTGTTTGGTTTCTAAGGTTAAATTTATTTTTTTACAGTAGTTGGAATAGAAGCAAATATAGTGAGTTGAACTAACAATTCTTATTTAGTGCGTCAAAATCACCTTTCAAATGCAAAACATTTAATCATAATTCATTTTACTTCAAATTCACTTTTAAGGCTGAGTAGGATTAGAAACATTTTTTCTAATAAATTTTAAAAATAGTTGAAATTAAAAAGTAAAACTGAAATAATTTTAAATAAATTTAATCTGCTAAAAAATATGTTATTCTACATTTAATCAAACTCAATTTTACAAAATTAAGATGATTTTAAATTAAATTCAAATTCAAATGCTCTTCCAAACATATAGAAACACACACAATTCTTCTTCATCGTTCCAAAATTTAATCCACTTTCATTATGACACATAACTCCCTTTGTTATATTAACCCTTGGTCTTTCTTCATTCATCGTTTCAATTTAATTTATGATTGTTTTATATATTTGTTTTTATTATTAATTCACTTAGGGTATTAATATTGATTTATATTAATGTAGATGCATGTTATATTTATATAACCATTTAATTTTATTTTATGGATTTGATATATTTAAATATTCATTCATATGATTTATTTAGCTATGTTATTAATTTTTTGTTTCTTTGTTTGACATGGGTGGTATGTTTAATTTGTTTTCTATTTCTTCGCCTATTTTAACTTGTTTATTTATTTAAGAAAAATGGGTAAAGCAAGAAACAGCTGATACCTTGTTTTTTTCCTATCATGATTAAGGGACATTGATGGATGCATGCCTACTCCTATCTGTTTGGACTTCATTTTAGGATTTGGAGCAATATTATTGGACGTTGTCAGAATCAAACCTCAAATTACATGGAATGACTAACAAATACAATTAATTAATATTATAGAAAAATTATTGTTAATGAGTGTTTTATTGAGAAATTAGGAAGTAAGAAAAATAATGAAAGAATAAAGTTAAAACTTAAAACGCAAAAATTTACCCAAAAAAGAAAGAAAGTCTCACAACTCAAGAAGCGGCTTTTTTATTTAAATAATACATTTTTAAAAACAAATTTTTAAAATAAGGTTTATGCTAAACTATTTCCGTGTCTGGGGCTTTTTTTTGTCAAGTTGGCAGTAGTATCGCACATGCATAGACCATAGTAAATTTTTATTATTATTTTAATAGAGTATCGTTCCAAAATTACCGATACTATACTAGACACAGACAGTTGTCAACACCGCACGAGTATCGGACAAAGTGAAACGATAACATATTTTTATAATTATTTTAATATATTATCGTCGTCCAGCATTCGAAACTCATATTTTTTTAATCAATTTTAATACTATCGTTGCAGATTAACCGATACTCAATATTTCAAAAGCAACGAAAAATGACTTATAACTCAATTTTAGAGAGCGGTTCAATTTGAACCGCTCTCGTAACTCACCTCCCCTTTAGAGAGCGGTTCAGTTTAAACCGCTCTCATAAGTCATTTTTTTTATTTAAATAATACTTTTATAAGGAACCGCTCTCTTGGCAGTGGTATCGGACTTTACTGGACGATAGTTTTGTCGCTGGTTATCGGTTTGACTGGAGCGATACTATCCCCCTATTTCTACCTCACGCTCCCTTCAATTTCACTTTGTACATTTGTATTGGAGGAGCGGAAACAGAGAAGCAGGAAGCAGGAAAAGCATATTCAAGGTTAGTAAATTTTGGTATTAGTTATATAAGATTTTTGTATTAATAATGTTAAAATTTTAGTATGAAATTATTAATTAAAATTAGTAAAATAATAGAAGGATTTAAATATATTTAATATCATGTTATTATATAAAATTATAGTATGAAACTTAAATTAATTTATTAATTAAAATTAGTAAAATAATGGAAAGATTTAAATATATTTAATATCATGTTTATGTAGATTTGTTGGAGAGTATGTATTTATATAATTTATTCTAATAAATTTATGGACAAAAATTAGGAAAAAATTGTGGTACACATGTAAAGTGTAAATTTTGTATTGAAAAATTTACTATATTGTAAATGTAGTTATTGTTGTAATTTTTAATTAAATTAAGAAATATTAATTTGATATTTAATACAATTTAAGAAGAATAAGTGTTAAAATTATGTAAATTAGGATGCACAAATAGGTAATAAGTCAATAAATATTATGTAGATTATATAAATATGAAAGTTTTAAAAATTTAAAAAGATGATTAATACAATAAAATGAAGTATAAGTGAATTATTAAAATATAGGAAAAAGTGTGAAATTTTGTAATTATAATTAGAATATGAATGAGGTTATTTATAATTAACATTTAAATTAATATATATGTTCTAATTGAGTATTATAATTTGTTGATGCAGGATGACTAATTTTGTGATAATTGTATATTGGAACGGTCGAATATTCTCAAGTAACGAAGGTGTTACGTTTGAAGGAAATAATAAAATGATTAAGATTGAACGTGGAATAAGTTTGGAGACATTGAAAACAAAAATTCATGCAAAACTGAAATTGTCTACTAGTCAGGTTATATCTAGGTTGATTTCACGATTTTTAGCAGACCCAATTGTTAGACAATACACAATGTTAGATATATGTGATAATGAAGATATTGATTGCATGTTAAGTGCTTTTCTTCAACAAAATCAGCGAAGTGCAATCGAAGTATATGCAGATATTGCACCTGGTGAAAGTTCTTGTATTCAATCACAAGGTGTGGACTTAAATTTATCATGTTCACGTGAGAACATGTCTGAGGCAGATGCACTCCCTTTTGTATCAGGTGTTAGTAATTATATATTTTCTTATGACAATATATATATATATATATATATATATATATATTTAATTTTATTGTATTTATGTTTACTTAACAATAATACTGTCATGGTTGTGTAGATTGTGAATATGAGAATGAGGATGATGATTACAATAACAGTGAATGGGGGGATCTTGAAGAAACTTCATCTGAATCTGATTTAGAGGGTGGATCTCATAGTAACTTGAATATAAGTGATAATGCAGGAGTCCAAGGTATTAAGTACATTTAAATGTTATAAAATACGTTTTCATATACATGTAAAATAAATTGGTGAATGATAATGCAATATGCAGGCTTGATTGAAACTCCTTTTTGGAATTCAAGTCCACATTATACCTATATTAACTGGGGTCATGCTGATGATGAAATGGAAAATATAGATGTTGATCCTGATCAAGCATGGAGGGAGGGTGATGCATTAGTTGTTGGTCAAAAATTTGAGTCTAAAAAAGATGTTAAAATGGCTATTAAAAGCTTTGCATTGAAAACACATCAAAGTTATATTGTGGTGGAATCAAAACCGACCAAATTTCATGTGAAATGCCCAAATCATAGTATAGGATGTCCTTGGAGGGTTAGAGCAACATTGGGCAAGAATTTTGATAAGTGGAAAATCACAAGGTGTGGTGGACCACATACGTGTGTTCATGCAATGATGTCTCTTGACCACAAAAAATTGGATTCAAACTTTATTTGCAGTTGCGTTCTTGGTAAGTTGCACTAATTTATCGTAATAAGTTTTATGGTTCTGTATATTATTGAAGAACATTATACATAATTATATTGTTTATTGTAGGTATGGTAAAAGAACAACCATCTGTGCCAATCACATTAATCCAAGAAAGAATTAGTGGTCAATTTGGCTATCAAGTTTCTTACAAGAAAGCATGGAAGGCAAAATAGTCAAGGTCTTTGGTGATTGGGATGAATCGTATGCCACATTGCCAAGATGGTTGGAGTACATGCAATTACATTCATCTGGGTCAGTATACAAAATTGAAACTAATGACTATGTGAGGGGCCACCAAGTGGATAACAGATATAGAGTGTTTCATCGATTATTTTGGTCATTCCAACAGTGCATCACTGCTTTCAACTTTTGCAAACCTTTAATACAAGTAGATGGTACATTCTTGTATGGAAAGTACCGACAAACTTTACTGATTGCTACTGCACAAGATGGAAATAATTGTGTCCTTCCAATTGCCTTTGCCATTGTCGAAGGGGAGACTTTGTCAGCATGGGAATGGTTTTTGGCTCTGGTTCGTCTTCATGTCACTGAAAAGACAGGTATTTGTTTGATCTCTGATAGATATCAAAGTATTAAAAGTGTCATTTCTAATCCACATATTGGGTGGCAACCACCGAATGCATATCATGTGTATTGCATTCGTCACATAGCAAGTAATTTTAATCAGTGATTCAAGAATGCAGGGTTGAAGAAAGAGCTAATCAAGTTAGGTACGAATGTGAATAAATTAAGTCCATTTAATATGAACACATTACGTATATATTATTTGCATACATAATGATTTTGTCTAACTTATTATAGGATATGCAACATGCAAGCAAAGATTTGAAGAAAAACTTGAACGGTTTTGTAATGAATCAGAAGACATTCGAAACTGGATTAACTGCATATCCAAAGAAAAATGGACTTTGGCTTATGATGACGAAGGAAGACGTTATGGGCATATGACTACCAATTTATCTGAAGTTGTGAATAAAATTTTAAAAGGTGCATGAAATTTGCCAATTACAGCATTGGTGAAATGTACATATGCACGTTTAGTCGAGTATTTTGTTAAGCGTGGTGAAGAAGCAACAACAGAGCTTAATAATGGTGGTAGATATTGTCGTAAGTTAATGCAACAAATGGAGAAAAATCAGCAGGAAGCTTCTTCACATCAAGTTCGACGATATGACATACAAAGAACAAGGTTTGAAGTAGAAGAGGCTTTTAATCCTATCACCCAACGTGGTGGTAACAAATGGACTGTGATTTTATCAAATAGATTTTGTGAATGCAGAAAGTTTCAGACATATCGATACCCATGCTCACATGTAATAGCTGCTTGTGCATCTGTGAGTATAAATTATTGGCAATGGGTTTATCCTGTTTATTCTGTGCAATCTGTTGTTAATGCATACTCATCTGAGTGGTGGCCACTTGGAAATAACAATAATATCTTAAGATCGAATGAGTGGAAGTTAGTACCAGACGACGAAAGATCAAGGGGAATAGGTCGACCTAAATCTACCCGTATTAGGAATGAAATGGATTGGGTGGACTCTCAACCATGTCAACGATGTAGTAGGTGTAAACAGTCTGGTCACAACCAACGTCATTGTCCTAGGCATAATGAACGTACATGACACTTTTTGTAATTTGTTGCCTTTATTATAATGATGTATTATGTTTAGTATTTTGTTATTGTAATTGCACGTTTAGTAGATATTGTTTAGTATTAAAGCAACATGAGTGGATAGTAATGTAGTAATAAAATTGGAGGTTTAGTCATAATACATAAAAAGTCAAACATAGTGAGACAACACTAATATCACTGTTGTCTGCCCTGCCGAACATGGTCATCATGTGGACTGAGGATGCAATGACGAGGTCGATCTCTAGCCTCCCTATGAGGGTTACGTCTCATATCATGCTGTAAAGTATCTGCAACTGCCCCAAATTAGGCATTTAGATCAATGCCACAATCCCCCCTAGAAGTTGTAGAAGGCTGCCCTAGTGACTGAATAACTGGACCTGGAGCGGAAGGTGTGAATAGTGATGGATCATACGGAGGCGGGGTCATAAAATGATGAAAGTCGGGAACATAGTCTTCTGCAGTACTGAATGGAGATGCAGAATGTGTGGTAGGTTGTGATGAGTGAAAGTATGTACTCTGTGTAGACTGAGATGGAATGCAAGGCATTTGTGAGGGGACAAAATACACGCCATCGGACCTAACTGGCAAAGGCAGTATAGATCATGTGGCAGCCTGCATCGGTCTGTGTGGCTCAGGCTGCATCGGTATAGACCTCTACCCTCTTTGCGTCCCTCAGGCTGCCCAATATCAACATGTGGCTCCTTGTGTGGCCACTTTGGAGTGGTGGGTCAACTCCGGATGACGGTTCTAAGATCCGAGCCTGTTCACTTTGTAAAGACAACATGGTCTCAGCTAATGACCGTAACTCATCAAAAGTGAATGACTGTTGGTCATCAGTAGCCAAGTAGTATGCCCTCTCGTGTGCATTTCCCTACACAAACATAACATTATACTTGGTATAGAAAATATAGGCAAAAAAATTAATAAGAAGTTATGTGGATATACATACCATTAATGAAAAAACAGCTGCATCTCTCGTCATCCAATGTCTATTATGACGACCATACCATCGCATGTACTGTGAATTAGAACTCAATAACCCAATCTGTGGCTCGTTGCTGAAAACCCAATCCAGGCGCCTGTCCCATAACGCTAACACATGTCTGAACTTTTCATTCCAATTCTCTCCAGTCTTACCTCTGAGTGTGATGTCATGTAATGCATCAGGTTGATAAGGATCTCGAGGAATGTGTTGGACCATCCCAAACTGACGCATGACACGATCCGGTTGGTGCCACTCACAAATCTGTATACAAATAAGGGGCACCACTGACCTCCAAATGATCATCCCTTCTAAGCAAATTGGAGGCAATGTAGAAATTAACTCTTGACTATACGGCTGCCATACGATCTGCAAATTGGATTGAGTTAGTACAAAATTATTAAATATTGTTACAATAACTTAGTCAACATCGAATGCATAAATTAAAATTAAAAGCCATACCTCATCACGCATAAGACGATCAAGTTTATATCTATAGTATGCAACATCTTTCTTCCCTCTTCTAGGAACCCCATTTACTAACCACCTAAACAACAACAAAATTTATAAAGTATAAATATACTACCCGTATTAGTATTTAAAAACATTTTATGCGAAAATTATGATATACTATGCATACCTGGCACCATAAGGAAGATCATGTCGTAAATGTGGAGGATTTGGAGGAGCCAAACATGGGAACCTATCCCACGCCCACATTACTAGCAATTGGGTCAAACCTCCAATGGCAAGTCTATCAATGTTAGTTGCCATGCATAACTCTCTGTACAAAAAACTGAGAGCTGCTCCTCCCCAGCTATACTGCCCTGTGATAGAAAAATCCTGAAGCAACGGTAAGTAACGAACTGTGACCCTGCTGCTGGAGTGATCTGCTAGCATAAACCCTCCAATGAGCCTAAGAATATACGCTCTAGCAAATCTTGTAAGCTTAAGCTCGTCATGGTTATGCATGGCAACCTGAGTAAAATGCTGATCTAACCAACTAATCTTCAAGCTACTCCCCACAAAAGCTTCTGGTGGTGGTCTAATACCTAGACTATCCTCAACCATCTGTGGCCAATTACCTCCGGTAGCTGTAAAAACTGGAAACCCATTAACCCGAAGACCTGTCTGGATGGCTATATCCTCAAGCGTTATTGTGCACTCTCCGGGTGGCATGTAAAATGTATGAGTCTCAGGCCTCCATCTTTCTACTAATGCAGTGATCAAATGTCTATCCAATGGAAAGTTAGCAAGCTGAGCAACTCCAGCAAAGCCAGCCATCTCTAAATGAGGTAAAATCTCTCCTGGAACACAGTCTATGCCAGCTGGTATGAACTGACACTTCCTAACCTTCAACATCGGATGCTCTCGCCCATCCCAAACGTGTTCAGAGACATGTATACTTTGAAAACGCAACAAAGATGGATCCTCTGGCCCAAGATTAATTATCATACCTTCAGATGAAGATGAAGCCATCTACAAATTTAAAAATATACATTACCATTATTATGTCATTATAAATACATTATAAATAATTATACATTTATACAATTCGTTAATATCAATATAACAGTTGCAACACACCTATTTTTTTAAATTTGATGTCTCAAATAAAATATCAATACCAAATTCTATATGTATGCATCAAAGTTTTAAAAATAACTTTTCATGGTATACTTATTATATACCATAAGAATAAATACTATTATTAATTTTAGTAATATTAAATTCTCTTTTTATATTCTATTTTATTAAATAACAATATAAAAAATTATGCAATACCTATGTTATTACTTTATTTAAACTTGTATATTTATTTTACTTCACCTATTTTATTTATATTAAATAAAAAACATAGATTTTATTTGACTTGATTACAACCTACTATATGTAATTTAATTTACACCCATTTATATTTCATTATTTTTTATATATCTATATATTAAATTTTAACGAAAATTTTCTAAATAATTATTATGCATCAAAGTTTGAACAATAACTTTTCATGGTATACTTATTATATACATTGTAATTATAGTGTTATTAATTTTATTTTTATTAAAATTTCATTTTATATTCTATTTTACTCTACAACAATTTAAAAAATTATGCAATACCTACATTATTACTTTATTTAAACTTTTATTTTTATTTTACTTCTCCTTTTTTATTTACATTAAATCAAAAACAATTTTTTAATTTCACTTTATTACAACCAAATATATTTAATTTAATTTATTTCCATTATTTAATCATTTTTAAAATATATCATTTTTTAATTATTTCTTTTTACTTATCAACACTAATAATCTAATTTCTCATACTTTTTACGTAATACATATTTATTTTTAAATATAATTATCTTATTATCTTCAAAATATTACTAATTATGTATTTCTATTTTAATATTTAATGATTTAACTAAAATGTTATATTTTAATGTATTTTATCTATCATAACATTTGTAATTTTTTTCCCTAAACATAATATTACATATATCAACCAATAACAAAATAGCACTACTTATATATCTATTTTTTTTATATCAATCAAATTTTATATATAATTTATTTATCACAAATTAATAAATATATCAATTACACTCAACAAATTAATATATATCTATAAATTACACTTTAAAAACAAAATTTGGAAAATTAAATTACAATCTTAAAAATTATTTTTTTCCGGTTCTAAGTCAAATGCACAGTTTTTACATATACAAACTTTCACATTTTTTATTTCATACATATAATTACTAAAATCTGATACAAAATTTAAAAAAAAAAGTTAAACTGCATTTGATATAGAATTCTAACCTTTAATGCCGGCAGCAACAACGACTATTCCAGTTCACCAATATCGGGTCCTAAATTACAGATTGAAATCGGTTATTATTTTTCAAATGAAACTCAATAAAATATCACAAATTCAACAAAATAATTTTTACCTTCCAATATTTCAGAGAATAATGCAAACGAAATGAAATTTTTACACAAGACTTTTGCAAACTCGCATAAAAAACCTTCAACGCCGGCGTTAATGGAGATTATGATGGAGGGGAAGATAAGTAGAAGCTTGGGCGGCGTCGGTTCCAATATTCCAGGTGTGGTGGCCCCAACTAGTATCGCTCCAAAAGAAACGATAAGCTAGTCGACGTGTCAGAGTCGATACACGTACGATCTCGACACGTGGCACAATTTATCCCCGACCGTTTATCGCGAATGGTTATCGTCTCTATTTCGTTGATACTCCTTATTTAAGAGAGAGTTTCAATTTGAACCGCTCTCTAAAGATGAGTTATGAGAGCGGTTCAAACTGAACCGCTCTCTAAAGGTGACTTATGAAAGCGGTTCCAATTGAACCGCTCTCTAAAGGTGAGTTACGAGAGCGGTTCAAATTGAACCGCTCTCTAAAATTGAGTTATAAGTCATTTTTCGTTACTTTTGAAATATTGAGTATCGGTTAATCTGCAACGATAGTATTAAAATTGATTAAAAAAATATGAGTTTCGAATGCTGGACGACGATAATATATTAAAATAATTATAAAAATATGTTATCTTTTCACTTTATCCGATACTCGTGCGGTGTTGACATGTGTTTGTGTCTAGTATAGTATCGGTAATTTTGGAACGATACTCTATTAAAATAATAATAAAAATACTACTGCCAATCTGGCAAAAGAAAGCCCTAGACACAAAAATAGTTTAGCATAAACCTTATTTTAAGAATTTATTTTAAAAAATGTATTATTTAAATAAAATAGCTCATAAGAAGGCAATTTCTTGGTGAAAGTACGCCTCAAAAAACCACTCCAAACCGCCACACACGCCGTTGGTTATAGTTGGAGAACTCTGCACTCCGTTCAATAGCAAAAACCCTAACCGTAACTACCGATGGCGGACGAGGCGGTTGCCGGCGCCGCCGCCGCTCCTCTTGGTTCGTCGGTGATCTCGCTAGTGAACAGACTCCAAGACATCTTCAGCCGCGTCGGAAGCCACTCCGCCATCGACCTCCCTCAGGTGGCGGTGGTCGGAAGCCAGAGCAGCGGCAAGTCCAGCGTCCTCGAAGCTCTCGTCGGTCGCGACTTCCTCCCTCGCGGCAACGAAATCTGCACGCGAAGACCACTCGTTCTCCAACTCGTCCAAACCAAATCCTCTACTGAAGAGTTTGGTGAGTTCCTCCACTTGCCTGGTCGCAAGTTCCACGACTTCTCCCAAATCCGTTCCGAAATTCAGGTTCCTAATAGTTTATTATTCGATTCTCCATTTCTAAATCTATAATATCACGTGTTGTTGCTCAACTCTTTATTATGTTATGGTTTTCTTATTTTGTAGGCTGAGACTGATAGAGAAACGGGAGGGAACAAAGGTGTATCGGATAAACAGATTCGTTTAAAGATTTTTTCGCCGAATGTTCTTGATATCACGCTTGTGGATCTCCCTGGAATAACTAAGGTTCCTGTTGGTGACCAGCCTTCGGATATCGAAGCTCGAATTAGAACTATGATCATGTCTTATATCAAGACTCCGACTTGTGTTATTCTGGCTGTCACCCCTGCGAATTCGGATTTGGCCAATTCGGATGCTCTTCAGATGGCAGGGATTGCTGATCCTGATGGTAGCCCTGTTGATTCCTTATGCCTAAAGCAATGATCATTTTTTAAATCTATTGGATTGGGGATTAAATGTTTTTTCTTTTTACTTCTTTTGTGTCGCAGGTAATAGAACGATAGGTGTCATCACGAAGGTTTAGTATACTCTGTGAAATACAAATGTGCTTGTGAAAGTTGTTGTTCTGTTTTTGTTTACTGACTAGCTTAGGTGGATGTTGTTTGGACTGTAGTTGGATATCATGGACAGAGGAACTGATGCTCGAAATCTGTTACTGGGAAAAGTTATTCCCCTTCGACTTGGTTATGTGGGTGTTGTGAATCGTAGTCAGGAGGTAATAATTATGTCATCCCACTTGGTCATCAGAGATAAATATGCGCTTGTCAATTGCTTGATTAGTGTGCTGGTCAACATGTAATGCTGAAATTTAGTTGTCTCGTTTTGCATCAAATTAGGATATTTTGATGAACCGGAGTATAAAGGATGCTCTTGCCGCCGAAGAGAAATTTTTCCACAGTCGTCCTGTAAGGAACTCCCATTGTTTAGTAATTCAATACATGTCACTTATATATACTGATTTGATTTATTATGCTATTCAAGATATACAGTGGTCTAGCAGATTGTTGCGGTGTTCCTCAACTGGCAAAGAAGTTAAACAAGGTAAAGTCTTTGCAATGTTGAATAGTCAAATTAGCTTTTATTATTAATTTTACTGTCTCATTGCTTACCTTAAATACACTTATGCTTGCTTATACAATTCAAAGAGCTAAATTCTTAGAAATCCCCTGACAGATCTAACCATTACGAATTATTATAGGATTCCAGTTACTGAACTTAAGCATGTCATGTGTATATTTACTTGTATGTCTCTTGCAGATTCTTGCGCAACATATCAAGGTTGTGCTACCAGGGCTTAGAGCACGCATAAGTGCTTCACTAGTTGCTCTTGCAAAAGAACATGCGAGCTATGGAGAAATCACTGAGTCCAAGGCATGTGTTAATATTTGGAGTGTCCCTCTGAGTTTATTAAATAAGACCTCTCCTTGTTGTAATCAAAAGAAACATGTTTTCCACTTTGGATGGCCATTTACTGTATTTCATCTTCTATAGGCTGGACAGGGTGCTCTTCTTCTGAATATTCTTTCAAAATACTGTGATGGTACTAAACTATCCCTATTATCTGATTTCTTATCTCTTCTTCAACTTTTACACATGCTAATTCATTCCAATCCTTTCATACTAGTTAATTGGTATTTCACATATAACAACCTTCCAAATTCGGTATTACCAACTTTTTTTCGTATCTTTTTGAGAACAGCATTCTCCTCCATGGTAGAGGGAAGGAATGAGGAGATGTCTACATCTGAGCTATCTGGTGGAGCAAGAATTCATTATATTTTTCAGTCCATATTTGTGAGAAGTTTAGAGGTATACATAGATGTATTTGTTTATGACAGTGTTCAAAAAATATATATGTACTCCCATTAAATGTTCAAATTAGGGATGGCAAACTGGTATGTTACAGTGAGGCCATTAACCTATGTGTAATTGATTAAAAAAATAATGACTCAACTAGTTTATTATCTGTTTGTTGTAGTTGGTGTCCATTCCATCCATTTATCTTATTTATGAATGGATCCACATTATATCTGCCTGTTATTCATACATTGTTTGTATTTCATTTAAATATTATTGAAATAATATCAAGTAATATTAATCATATGACTTTATAATCAGTACAATCTTATGTTCCAAATCACATGATCATCTTGATTTTATAAGTATTGAACTGAATGCTTTCATTTTGACTTGTCTCTAGAGTCAATGGCTCTATGCAAACTACACAGTCTATACATGGAAATTCAATTGAATGATTTCAAGGGAAAAGGGATAATATAATTAATTTTATATGAGTACATTTATATGATGTAGAATTTTAGGCAACTAGCAAAATATACACTCAATGGAAGCCAATGATCGTGTTACTTTTCTCATTTATTAAAGCTAGTTCCTGAGTCCCATTGCTTAATGTTATCTTGTAGGAGGTGGATCCATGTGAAGACTTAACTGATGATGATATTCGTACAGCCATACAGAATGCAACTGGACCTAAATCAGCACTGTTTGTTCCAGAAGTAGGTCTTGTTACCCTCTTGATATAATTCTAAAATTTTCTTAGTTTAATATGCGTACTGATGCTACCAATCATCTATATTTTATTCCAACTGAAAAACATACTTGCCTTTCACTCCGTGTAAGTAGGTCCCATTTGAAGTTCTTGTACGCCGGCACATATCTGGACTATTGGATCCAAGTCTTCAATGTGCTATGTTTATATATGATGAGTTAATGAAGGTAAGGGTTTATGGCTTTCCATTTCTGCTGCCTCACTTCACCATCATAAAAATGTGTGATGTTAAAATATCTTTTATTCAGATCAGCCATTGCTGTATGGTGACTGAACTACAGCGGTTCCCTTTCTTGAGAAAGCGTATGGATGAAGTTATAGGGAACTTTTTACGGGGAGGCCTTCAACCCTCAAAGATTATGATAACACACATCATAGAAATGGAGGTATGCTGAAATTAGCTTCTTTGCAATATAAATGTATTCTTGCTCTACCTTCTGCAATCATCATGTTAATAATAGGTGGTAAAAAATTAGTTGGGTACTTAGGTTAAAGAGCCTAAACTTGGTTCCATGATGCACATCCTACCAATATGGTGATTTATGGATTGGCCAACCACAAAAATGTTATAGTGGGATAACAGATAGTGAGATGGTTGCTATGTTGGAGATTATTGATACCCGATCCATAATTTATGCTATGCACATATAAATACTCAAAAATAAAAACCAGCCAAAATTGAAGACATTGATATTCATAATTAATAATTAAATGTCATAAATCTAAACAAACAGTCACCATTGTTCCAAGGGATAATTAACAAGTCAATAATAATAACAGCAGCATTGTGGTTGAGTGTATGATGCCAATGCTGCCAAGAGCAATGAGAAGAGGACATAGGAATGAAGTAAAAGGAAAAAACACAACATATCTGATATGCAAACAGAGACTAAAGTAATTGGGTGCGAAAATTCATAACACTTAAAAAGTTAAAACAAGAAAAAAGAGAGACCTGTGAGCTAAGATGCTTAATGTGAACAGATTCACAAGGAAGAAAGGGAAGAATAAAGATACCTGGATGCCAGAGAGCAATGAGTTTGTTGACCAATGTAAATAGGGGTCACACTCCATGTTTTTTCATCTAAACAGAGATCTAACTCAAAAACAGAGGGAAGCAGAGAGAAAAAAAGACAGGGGGGGGGGGGGCGCAAATAGGGGGTTTTAGTGGTTTACCACTATGAAGGATAGCTTTTCCAGGATAGCAGTCAATGCTCTTGGCCGCAGCTGCCACGAACAAAAAAGAATGCATCACAGATCACAGTGTAAGCCTTGTATTGGCCCCAGGCAGGTTGCACCATGCCACTCCACTGCTGTTGTGCACTATTGACTACCCTGATTAATGATGCAACTGAAATTGAAAGCTATTGCCTGGAATGAAGCTAACAGAAGTTTCACTCTTCATATTATTTCCATCTTCGGTCTTTGAAGTTTGATCTATCTCTTGTACTTATTTTTATCCCATTTCCTCTATTCCATAATTCTTAAGATTTTCTCATGCAACACTGTAGCAGAATAGGTCAATTACTTTCAATGGAGTTGTTTGGTAAGTGAAGTCCTCATTTCTTAAAATGAACTAAAATTCATTTTTTGTAATGCTTGCTTACTTAGTCAACAATGGCTTTGTGTTTTATTTAAAAATTGATGACTGTTGTACTTTCCCTTGAAAATAAGGGGGATCCATAAATATTTAGAAATATTGATATTTTGTGGAATCTAGAAGAAACCATTGACATGCCTAGACTCAGCTTGTTAATGTGAAAAATGGTCAGTCAGTCTAAGTGAAACTTCAATTTCTCATTCACAATTTCTTATTCAAACTACACCAATGTGCAGATGGACTACATAAACACTTCTCACCCAAATTTTATTGGTGGAAGTAAGGCAATAGAAGCCGCCATGCAACAGACCAAGTCTTCTAGAGTTCCTTTACCAGTTTCTAGGGTGAAGGTACACATATGATGGCCTCGCATCCACTTATACCATGTTTTCAAAGCTAGTTGTGAACACTAATTTATGCCTTCCTGTCTTTTGTATTAATATCATATTAATTTCCAATAGGATGCCTCAGAATCTGATAAGGGACCGGCCTCTGATAAAAGTGGAAAGCCTCGAGCTATTCTTGCAAGACATGCCAATGGAGTAGTGGCTGAGCAGGTTTTAATTTTATCTTGTTAGGTTGACCAAAATTTTTTCTCATACATATGTATATACTAATACTACCTTAGTTTAGGCTTAGAGAAATCAAAATAAGGGATACTAAATTATTATCTTGTTTTGGTCTCTTCACTTCTGATGATATATAAATATAATATCAACAGGGTGTTCGTGCTGCATCAGATGTTGAAAAAGTAGTAATCTCAGGTAATTTTTCTCTATTTAATGTTCGATTCTTGAATACACAAGTTTTATTGTAAATCTAATTTCATGCTCTTCTTTTTGTTATCTTCAATCAAGTGTTCTGGATATATCAACTAACATCATTCTTATTAAATTTTTCAATGCTCAATAATTGTTTCTGCAGGAAACACTGGTGGATCAAGTTGGGGGATCTCATCCATTTTTGGTGGAGGTGATAACCGTGTGTCTGTGAAGGAAAATACAGCTGGAAAACCACCTGCTGAACCAGTTCACAGTGTGCAATCATTCTCTACAATTCATTTAAGAGAGGTATACATATTAGTGACACATTCTTAAGCTGGATCGGTATGTTCTATGGGTATATATTTTTTTATGTGCTTTGATTTATGTAGCCCCCTCCTGTCTTGAGGCCATCTGAGAGCAGATCAGAGACAGAAGCTGTTGAAATCACAGTAACAAAGTTGCTTTTGAGATCATACTATGACATTGTCAGAAAAAATGTTGAGGATCTTGTCCCTAAAGCAATTATGCACTTCTTGGTACTTTGTACCCTCCTTTTATGCTTTGAATATTTTGTTATTTTTTTAATAAGATGTTGCTATGAAAACTATTAAATCTTCAAATGAAATGGTATGGTTTGCAGTTACAGAAATATATTCCCATTTTCCTGATCTTTGTTATAATCCAAGTTAAATGACACCCATACACAGATCCTTTCAGCTACAGAAAAAAGAGGGATCGTGACCAATAGGTTTAGAATTAGAATCCACAAGGTGTATTTGCCTATTGCTCATATATTATAGGGATTTCTTTGGCATGGTTAGTTTCGTTAGAAGTGATATCTATTGTCAAAAATTTAAGTATGAATAATGAGGTCTCACATTAGTTAGGATTAGGAATGAGTTAATATGGGCAACATAAGTGAAAAGAGCCATATACTATATCTTAATGCTTTGGGTCATGATGTAGGGTCAAACCTAATATTACAGTTTGTTGCTTGGCTCATTAATAGAGATCTCCTTGTATGTGGGTTTTCACTCACCGCCAATCAAGTGATATCAAAGCCAATGGTTTGGCTGGGTTGACAAGCATTGTGTAAGAAGCTGGAAAGGAAACAAATTAAGAAATATATGAAATATGAAAACCACTCCTAAGAGATCATTTAAGATACTCTATAATATTCTATACAACAATGATATTGTGAGATGTTTCTAGGTATTCTAACAGTTAAATTCATTTTATCTTACCATATTCTCCATGCTACTTGATTGTTTTAACATACCTGAATTTCCATGCATTGCATAACTAGGTAAATAACACAAAGAGAGATCTGCACAATGTCTTCATTGAAAAACTATACAGGTAATATATTGTGGGTATAGCCTACTAATTATTTTTATTTCCCCAAAAATTCATGTAAATTGACCATTTTTGCTTGCTTATTGGTCTTTATATGTTACGTTCAAATCAGAGAGGATCTATTTGAAGAGATGTTGCAAGAACCTGATGAGGTAGCCAGGAAAAGAAAGCGTTGCCGAGAACTGCTTCGAGCTTATGAACAGGCTCTTCGGGTGAGTGATTTGATTACTGCAATTGTAGTGTCTAAGTTCTGGGTTACTCTGTATGACAAAGTTTGGTTCTTCTTCAAAGTTAGTGTATTGACTTTATGTGGAGATGTTCATGATCTTAGTGCCCATTAGTTGCATGAAGAAGGGGTCAGCCTGGTGTGGTAAAACTCCTTCTAATGTGCCCGGTTCAGGGAAGGGTCAGTCTTTAGTAGGTAGCCTTACCGCTGCTGTCAATAACATTGTACCTAGGCTCCTGTTCAGCCTGCTCACAGTTCATCTATATTTAATAAAATTTATATTTCATAGAACTAGATTGGTTCTTCTTGATCCTAGTTATTGACTATTCAAAATTGGTTGCACATAGTAAAGTCGCCCAGAATAGTGATAATGGTTCTGTATAAAATTCTCCCTTTGAAACCTTGATTTTATGTGAATAATTAGGCTGTCATTCACAAGAGTTGCAAAATCATGCTTTCTGCATGTATACATATGACCCATCACTCTCACTGAATCAGCTTCTTCACCACTTCCAGATGTATATGTTCAGAATTTGTTTATTTTATCTTGAAATTCGTGAGCTTTTCTACATGTAATCACATTGTTTGCAAAATATTGTTGAGCTTTGGTGACCCCATTTCCTCTTTGGCAGGATTTGGACGAACTACCTCTTGAAGCGGAAACAGTTGAAAGGGGATACAGTTTGCCTGAAACAACTGGTTTGCCTAGAATTCATGGACTGCCAACTTCGTCTATGTATTCTACTAGTAGTTCGGGAGACTATTATGAAGCTTCTCCAAAGAACCCGAAGTCTAAAAGATCTTCACATTCTGGGGAACTCCCGTCACCATTGCAAACTAATGCAGATTCAAATGGAAGTGGGGGAGCATACATGTCAGGATTTAATCACATGGCTGATGAATAACTAGCTGATTTTGTCAGGAATTTGGCTTGAAGCATTTTATTCATTTTTTTTGCTTAATGCAATTTTTGGGGTTCGGAACTTTGCCTCGGTAGCTGGAACTGGACTGCATTCAGTTACTGTTTCCAACTAAAATCGTCTTGAGCTTTGGCCAGTGCTTTCTTTGTCCAAATTGCCTTTTAATCCCATAAATAGCATTGGCAGTATTTATCAAGGCTCCAGAAGGAATAACAGGAGCTGATGATCTTTCACAGTTGAGTCTTTTTTCACTGCATTCATGTATATTATTACTACCATTTTCGTTTTGGGGGTTGGTTAGATATTGCTTTTAGCAATTTTCCAGGTTATATCATATTAGTATGCTGTTTTTCATTTGTTTCCGAGGCAGTTGGAGCCGTGTTCTTGGCTAAGTGACATGGCTGGAAATATTGTGTTTAATTGCCCCTTCTTTTTTAGTATTATAATCCATTGTTTTGAAGAATTCATTCATCGCACGGTGGACACGCGTGACACTGTTCTTCTTACTGGTTTACATCTCGGGAGGAATGAAAACCAAACTGGTAAATTGCGGAAATGAAAAAAATAAAAAAATAAAAATTTATAGCCTTATCCTTGCTGGAGAATCGGTTAGAGTGACTGCTACGCCAAAGCATTAATTGGCAAAATATTTTAATTATATCTTTTTCTTCGGTTTAGTGTTTTAATTTTTTAACTTAATATATTTTTCAGTCTTTTTTTATTTGTTTTATTTTAATCTTTTAACTTTCACACGATTATGGTATTAATTTGTCTTTTTATTGACTTAATGCTGTTTTATTTTAGTCTTTTAATTCCTGAATTTAACTAGTTGGTCCTTTTATTCTCCTTCAGTTTTTTTATTGAAAAGAATTTTAATCGTGTTATGAGTTGAAAGTAGGAGACTTCTAGTAAAAAAAGGATTTGGGACTTCTAATTTAGAAGAACAACAATAAAGAAAAAAAATTATATGATTTTTAAAACAATTTAATCAGCTAAAAAAATCAAAGAAACTAAATTAATATATTACAAATACAATTAAATTTTATTTATTTAATAATTTAAAAAGTTATCCTTAATACACTATTATGTGCTTCTTTAAACTAAATTGATTTTATAAAATAATTATTTTTTAATTTTTTAACGTAAATCGAATTATTAAAAATAATTGGGATCATAAAGCGGAAGAAATGTGTGTAAGCCTGAGTTAATTAAGCTAAACAGGGCGTTAATAGGGGACACGTCACACGCTCATTCTAGACTGTTCGAATGAGATGACTAATCAACGAACCAAAATGAGACACGTGTCAGTTAGACTGTTTCCAAGGTTTTAAGGGTTTATAAATAGTCCCTTCACAATTAGCATATGCTTTGGATCTTTGTTTTCTATCCTTCTCTCCGAATCGTTTAGCCTCCTTTGCTTACTTTACCCTAATTTTAACAATGCCTCGCCGTAGCTCCGGTGGTAAGATCCCCTATCTCTATTCCTTTTTTCAATATCTACGCTCTTTATTCTCATCATTCATACAATAACATCTTGCTGTTCTATTTTTCGCCTTCGATGATTTCTAGGGTTATTCTCTTTCTTTCTTTTGATAAATCTTTTACTGTTTTGTTTTAACACTTGAATATTTTGATCCGTGTATCATGCCCCCTCCCCGATTTTCGTGGTTGCTTTTGGAAGTTGTAGTTTTTTCTCTAGGGTTCTCAGTACGGATATCCACTATAAACCATACGAGATCTTCGAATATTGATTTAAAATTTATTATATTGATGTGAGAGCTTGATTCTATTCCATGGCCTTCAACTTGTCATTTCTTTGATTATGCTGAGAACTGAAGAAGGAACTTCTTTAGGTAGGAACTGGGTCCGTGTTTCATGTTAAATACTAACTTCCATCTGATTAGTAATTGGCTGACTTCTCTACCAATTAGCTCTTGGTTTTATTTTTGTTATCACAAACAAGATAAAAACATATAAGATGACTTACGAATTTATTTTATGTTTTATCTGTTTCTCTCCCAGTTGTTGGGAAACTGTTCATGGTATGGTGGGGATTTTTTTCTGCTACGCAGATTTTTCATTTGTAAAGATCTCTGGTTTTACAATTTTCATGATGTTTTAGTTTTGATGTATGCCAATAGTTACGCTATTGTAATCAATGTTTTAGCCTTGTAATTGATATTTTGTTCTTCTTATACATAGTGGTGTTCCATGGTTCTGGTCGACCCATGGACCGTCCTAATATCATCCTTGTGAAGCATGGGTGGTGCACTCAACCTTCCCTACTCATGTACCCATGTATTTATTTATTTTTAATTTTTTAATTAGTGAAATGAAATCTAACCACTATGCATATCTTAAAAACGATACATTTCATTCAGGAATATTTAAGTGAGAACAATGATGGATCTCAAATTGAAAGTATTCCAGCTCTGACATTACCCCACTAAAATAGCTCTGATGACTAACGTGTATAGAAAAGGATATGAGGAAATAATTTTATTTCTTTACTTATTTTTACACTTTTTTCATCTTAGAAACACATTTCATGTTATTTTTAGTATATTAGCATGAGACATGATTTGCAATATGTTTCAAGCCATGCTTCAAAAAATAGGCCTTCTGAAATTTGATAACCATATTAGCAGTTGTGTTTTTGCTAGGCAATCTAGTAAGTGTATAAAACAAACCAATCCAAAGATTTTTGTGTTGGGATGGGTCAGTTTGAAAAAAATTCACGAACATAACTGCCTCCTTTTTTGACAGACACCTAAACCACTGCTTTCATGATTGAGAAAAAAAAAACTATGGTACCCACCCAACCCATGAAAAGCCCTGAACCCTAGTCTTTAAGTGGAAGAATAGATGGGAGATTTTTGGCAAAAGAATTATTAACATTTTGAAATAACTTTTTTATAGTGTACCTTTTGTTGCTGTGGTTTAGGATCGTTGTATGGTAATTTGCTTATTGGGTTAATTAATAGTTAGATCATCCTTATTCTGCATGGTAGTATTGTTTTCTTGTTATATGACCTTGTCTAGTTATTGCTTACTGTAGGAAGATCTGCACGTCCTGCTCCTCGTGCAGCACCAGCTCGTCCTGCTCCACAGCCAGGTATGCATGAATGTAATACAAGAAATGGGTTAACTTTTGGTTGAGCTGAAAGCTTTAAGGAGGTGCACTTCTGTTTTCCAACAAATATTGTGGGACATTTTATTCTTCTGATGAACATTGCTCTGATGTCTTGATACAGTCAACCATGCTCCTCCTCCAGCCCCTATTCAGAGTGGTGGTGGATCTATGCTCAGTGGCATTGGTTCAACCATAGCTCAAGGTATGCCAAGGAAGATGAATGTTGCATTTTCCATTTAGAATCCTATCAAGATAAAATTCCATATTCTTATCTGGTATGGAATTTCTATTTATTAATTTTCAGGTATGGCTTTCGGCACTGGAAGTGCAGTGGCACACAGGGCTGTGGATGCAGTAATGGGTCCTCGTACCATTCAACATGAAACAGTTGTATCTGAGGCTGCTGCTGCTGCTGCTGCCCCTACTGCAAATACCTTTGGTGGTGATGCATGTGGTGTTCATTCAAAGGCTTTCCAGGATGTATGTTGTTTCCCTAGTTTTTCTTTCTTGAGAATATCACTTCAATCAATTAATAGTGTGTTTTTGGTATATAATTAATATGCTATTTTATGCTTAATGTTGAATATAGTATCATCAATTGCATAGTGCATAATTATTTTATGAGCAACATTTATATCATATATATGGTACAAATACCAATTTCAAAGCTTGAAGGATATACTTTCTGCTTAGAAACATATTGAAGGTATAATTTGTCTTCTGTTGTTTGGCAACTAGTAAAGACTAACAAGCTGCTGAGAAGTATTGTTATAGTTTTTCCTTTTCCTTTAGGAGGGTGGGTGCTGAGAAAGTTTAGTTTATGTAATTATGTATATATTTATATAAAATTCCGCTTAGTGTTCATTGAAAATCAGGGTGGGGTGCATTGTTGATAACACTGGTTCACAAGATCTTTTCAATTTTGATATTTTGACAAGTGCCCTTTGCATTCTGCTTGTTTAATTTTGTTTGAGAGTAAATTGTGTTGAGTCTATGAATTTGCTAGTTTTAAGAGATTATTGCATTACTGATGTAAGTTCATGCGCATTTGGTTGCAGTGTTTGAACAGCTACGGGAATGACATTAGCAAGTGCCAATTTTACATGGATATGCTAGCAGAGTGCAGAAAGAATTCCGGAGCCTCGTTGAGTGCTTAACTGTCCTTTGCCTGTTTTGGAGTTTGCAATAGTGCTGTCTCTTATGGCAAGACCTTTTTATGTGGCTAAGAATTGCATTTTAATAAAATACCATTTGTCCTAAGATGCAGACAAACTGATACAAAATCAGTATCAACTATTGATTCATTACTAGATACTTATAATTGGTTATTTGGTTCCCGTCATATTTCATCAATTTTTTTGTCATTCTACGCTGGCAACCCTTGCTGAATATTAGGAGTGTCACCATTTTGTTTAAGACGTAAATAGGAATTAATTATTTGTTAGGAGTTAGTTACATTTGCTTGAAAAAAGAAAAATAGATATTAGGAAAATTTGATAAACTGTGGTGTTAATCAAATGAACTAGAGTAATTACAAGAGTTTTAACAATGATTCATAACCAAATAGCTCGATAATTATATCTGTTTAGCACTTTCGCAGGATGATTGCGAATTCATTGTGACGTATTAAGTTCTTTGCAAACATCTTACAACCTAGTAAGGTTTGATAGGTGCTTCATAGGGTCAGAAAAATTAGCGTTTTCTCTATGTAAACCCAAGGTGAAATTTTACTTTTTTAGGTTGACTCCGATTAAAGTTTATTTTAAAATATTCGAATATCACCATTGACCAGGTAATGCATTTCATTATTTGATATATTTATTTATTCGGTTAATTAGTTCTCATTTGATTGAAATGGAGGAACTGCTGCTCATTGTGAGACAGCGATAAATGCTAGGCTGCGTCTGCAATGACGTGTTCTCATCACATTTCTATCTTCAACTACAAGCAAATCATCTTGATTCAATATCACTGGTTAACGAGTCGCCATAGTAATAAAGTGCTTGCAACCCTCCCAAAATTATGTCTTCTTTTAAATAAATTTTTTAATTTTACTATTTGTTAATTTAAAATTATTAACGATGATTGTAATCATTGTATCGAGCACGGAAGGACATAATATTTTCTTGATTTTGAAGACACCTTAAATAAACTCTAATAATAAATACTGTTATTCAGGTGAGTTGCCAAATATTATTTAACCATTAGTTTTATGATAAATGTTTCAAAATGCATTAACTAATGTTTATTAACTCGCCTTAACTATTAGCATTCAAGGGAAAGATGTGTGCCGTTGTAATGAACACGAAAAGTGACTTTCTTTTTCATTAAAGCAAAATTAGCTAGGGAAGTTGTTTGTTCGAAGCTCAACAGGCCGTCAACCTCAGCAAAAACTTAATACATACTTGTTTATAACCAATCAGTGAATCTGTTAGTACAGATTGTGGCTAGCCAATCGCTACTTCAGTGCCAATAGTAATTATTACCTGGTGTTTCTGAACTTGACAACGATTTTTAATTTCGTTTTCATAAATATAAAAAAATTGTAGAACAATCTCTAACGTAAACTTATATTTGTTTTGATTGTTGATATCAATGGGAGTTTATAATACTGTAAACAAAACTTTTACATGACAAACAGAATATTGATGTGACTCATAAGTCCTCTCTTCCCCTTTTGTTGCTTGGGATCTTTCGGTATATCTATTGACATCAAAGACAAGGTTGACGGACACGGAACAATTTAAAGTGATAGGAGTGGTTGGGATTAAGCATTTGCATTCGGCACCTCATCGTTTTATGTCTTTGACACAAAATCAAAACGGATTCTAATGGCATCAACAAATGTACTTGCTTGGAACTTCCATCAACTATCTAACTCAACCCTTATGTTATTTTGTCACTAACTTCTCTAATATTCCATTCGAACTACAAGCTTTCAGAAGAGAATTATAACGCTATCGCCACCATCTACAACGCTATCTATTTTCTATTTAACCTACTTGCTTCAAGTGCTTGGATCTTGATCTTATTCAATGTTCGGATGTTAATCATACATGGCTGTTCTTGTTTACACTTAATGGAGATTGCTTAAGCCAACATATTCAAAGAAGATGCAATCAAATATTTTCCCACGGAAACTCCCAAGTCCTTGGGCTACCTCTACAAAACAAGGCCATATTCATCGAGATGTCAAGGTTAGGAACATCTTAATACCAACGATGTCATCAAGCTTGAGCTATTTTCACATAGCGACTTGCTTTCAAACCATAAACACTTGTAGAGTTTCTAATAACTAGTTGGCATTAGGAAATGTCAAGTAGCATCAAGTTAAATTAACACATGACAAGTATACATTTCATTTGCCATAAAACTATTTCATTGGTAGTGTTACTTACTAACGATGATGACTAAAACGAAAATGATTTTTCGTATAAGAATTATTTTGGAATTTTTTTATGTAAAGATCAAATTAAAATTTAGGGTCAAATACAAAACTTACTAAAAATTATTTAAACCATATTACTTGGATTTCTATTTATCTGTTAAGAGAGAGAAGATGAAAATTGGTCTTGTGTATTCTCCATGTAGAAATATAAAACAATATTAATTGCTAATGTTTTACTAATACTCTTTTGCTAGCAATTCTAAGTTTAATAAATAAAGCAATTATAGTAATTAAGTAATCTAAATATCAAAGAGAGACTTAATAAAGGGTATATTAAGAATGTTAATTTATCAAACAATTATAACAAAAGGGTTGAATTTATAGTGTGTAATTACTTCAATTCCTTGGATAGATAAATGGGAATAGTAGTAGTATATTTTTGTCACAACAATTGTTTTGCTCAGATGTTTATTACAGAATTAATAAATAAAAAGTTACTATAAATTATGTTAAATAAACATTTAAAATTATGTTAGAGGCGTATTAAAAAATGTGATAAAAGTGTATTGTTTACACTGTAATAAAATTATTTTAAAATTTTTGCTTTGGTTTAACATAGTTTCTTAAATTGCTAATCTTTTACTACCAAAGAAATATATCTTTTCAAAAGCAATTACAAACAATCTAAATCACATCATATTCTTATGCATTACGGTTTGTTTAGTTCTTTTTATTTAAATTTAGTCCATCATATATAGAGGTTTGCTTAAAGCATGTTTGCTTTCATTTACTCCTTTTGTTTTGTCCTTCTCCTTGCTGCATATAAAGACTAGGGTCATGGTGTCATAGTAGCTGTAAGTGATTAACTTCTAATAAAAAAGTACATATAATGATCTCACGTAGATCATTTGGTTGGCAATGCATAATAAGTTGTGTTTTGATGAAAGATTAGTTCATTGTCGAATAGCAAACTATGGTGTATCGACACAGGCTGCAACATCCTTTGGTGCTGATTGAACTCCACGTGTTAGCTTCCTTTTTTAATGTTTTACTTGTCTAGCCAACCTACGCCTATTTTTAGTACCCCACTACATTTTTCTTCATTTGATTTTTTATTCAAATTAACCCAACATTCACTCAGTGCCGAATTACACTTTCAGATGAGTATCATATAATTTCACTTATTTTTTCCGTATAGATCACTCATCAATACGCTTCTACTGTGCTGTATGCTGATTAAAATTTTGTTATGTATATGCCCAGTTTACGCTTTTCAAAACTACCTTGTTAAACTCCTAAACATCGATATACATATGCTGTCTATGAGAAAACTCCAAAAAAGATTTGTCTTGATTATTACTATAACAAATTATTTTAATTTGAATTTTAGAGTAGTGTTTACCTATTCATCATAATATTATTGCACAACTGTACTTGACAGCTAGCAAGTTGATCAAAATGCTTTATTTTGATTTGTTTAACAAATTGTTCAGTTTTGATTTTGCAATTGGCATGAAATGTAAATGAAGAACTCATATGCGTCCCACGTATATGAAGCCTTGTGCCATAGAGTTGGTGCAATAGATTAATCCATTTTACAAATTTGACTACATTACAATAATGCATACTAACTGATACAAACACTTGAAGCGTAGTTGATGCCAAATGACCTAAGTTAATAACCATTTTTACTATGCCATTGCTTTCCTTATAAGTTATATCCAATGAGTTGATATATTATCTATGTATAATTTCAAATTATCGCAAATTCTGCATAACGTTTTACCTTTTTACTAGTTAATTATTAATTTACACTTAAGGCTTTTGATTCTAATAAATAAGACCAGTGATTTTATTTTTTTGGCAATCTCCAATGTCAGAAGCAATCCCAAGTCTTAGTCTAGTGATTGCAACCACAAATATAAGCGTTTCAAATGATCGAAAAATTAAGCTGCATATTATCTGTTGATCTCATACATTTTGAGATCTTTTACTATGATCTAATCTTGAGAGTAATAATGTTGTTGGAACAAGTACAAGAACATGAGAGATTTACAAACCCTATGTGTATTTTTATATATATAGTTTAACACTTATTGCTGATTGATCTTATTTCATTTTGAAATGAAAAGTTAATCTCTCCCTATTTGTATATATGTTTGTGTATTATCAATATGCATTGATCTTATTGTCATATAAGTAAAGCTATTTTACAGCTTTTTAATTTTTTACAATTATCTTAAAGAACAAATATTATAAAACAGATTCAGAACTTATTTTATTTAAAGGTCTTATTAGGTACTGATTGAAACATTAATAAATTGATTTTTTTTTATTAAGCTATATTAAAAATTATAGAGAAATATTTCTTTGATATTTTTCTTAATTGAATTATCTTTAATTAAATATGAATAAGTAAAGATTTGATTTTCATAAGAAATTGTTTAATTTAGGAAGATTTAATAAAATTTTAAAACAATTACTAAAAACAGAATATGAAATCACATTCCAACAATCTTATACATCGAATATTAAAATTTGTGAACGTCAATTTTGAATATCCACATCTAAGATATGCTACTCACATGCCCTTTACAAGACAAAATAGCATACTTAAAAATGGTAAGTTGTTACGAGATCTATAGGGGGCCCAATCTATAACCATAAAAAAGTGGATTTAAATTAAAATAACCAGATACTCTATCTATTTTTTTTTATTATTATCCATGTATGTATTGGATTTTATTTAACAAAACTAGATTTAATTTACTAAAATCTGATTTTATTCTGCGAGAATTTTCCATAAGGACGACTGAGTCTACACACAATAACAGTCACACATTTCAAGATTATTTTCTTTATGTTAATAAAAATATTATTTAAATAAATATATTAAAAAGTACTCATTTAAATAAATGAAAATAAATAAATTATACTAAAAATACTAATACTAATAATTAATTAATACTTGTTAAAAATCCGTATCCAAGTAAAACTTTTGCAACAAAGGAAACAATATGACCAGTACTTAATTATGCAAGGACATATAAAACACTACAAATTCAAGAATAAGTGTTCAACTTTCAAACTCACAACAAATCACTCTTCATATCAATTTAAAGTTCGAGAAAAATCCATTTTTCATATCAGCAAATAATAATAATTACATTGAAGAGAGAGATGAGAGACGAAGTTAGAGTTTGGTAAGAATCCATTAGAGTCACTATTAATTCAAACTTCCTTTATTTGTATGATTTAGTGCTTATTCTTTGTTATGATTTAATGTTTTTTCAGAGTAGTAAAAACTAACCCATGAATATCCTTATCCTAACCCATTGGATTAAACACTTTAAAGGCCTAACTAATCTCTTTAACCATAATAATGCTTAATTACCAATTGTTACCATGACCTTGGATTAGTTCAAGTGACTTACCATGTTATCTTAGCAATATGGGCGATGGGTGCTTTTGTTCTAAATGATTGACAGCACTTCACATTTGCATTATCTAAACACGAAACTATGGGAAAGCCTTTTGGATTTCATTTGATTTTTGCTTTTTCTTCTGCTTTTCTTTATTTCTTATTGGGCCATAAACACTGAGCTCGCAAAGCCTCACAAACTAGGAGCAACTCACTCAGTGCTGGTTTAGTGGAAAGCACCCATCAAATTGAACCCTCACGAAATTCCAGTCGATATACATATCAATCATGGATTTCAATTAGGCAAAGGACCCAAAAAGTGGTCATCTTCATCGTTCTTTTGACTCTAATGCGTAGTGATTTGGAAGTGGTGGTTTTGTTTTCCCTTCAATTATTTTTTCTTTTGTCTATATGTGGACTCTGCTTTCAAATTGTTGAGTATAGTGCCGTCTTCGTGTTTCTTTGAGCATTTTAATAGAAAGACTCAACCTCTTCTCTCCTATTCCCATTCATATATATATATATATATATACACATCCTATTCCAACACTTAACCCTTTTTTTCTTCCTTCTATTCAACAACGTAACTACCTTCTTTATTTTGCTTCTTCTTCTACTTTATTCTCGTTAATAGTCCTTTTCCAAATATTACTACCACCATTATAAAAAAAACAAACATTTTTTCTTAAGGATTTGGTATTATATTAATTACTCTCTGTTAACATTCTTTTACAAAAATTAAATTATTAATATAAATATATAATATAATATTGATATCATTGTATTTGAATTAAATTTTATAACATTTAAGAAATATTTTTGTTAATAAATAGTGTTTTTTTTTTAATATAGTATACGGATATATTCAATATGCGTACTACAATCACTATCTCTAGAAAAAGATAATCCAATACTTTAATGACTAATAATTAAATACATGATTCCCCAAAGAGAAGGAATTTAATGATTGGCCCTATGATTTCTAAATCTAACCGGCAATCCTTATGAAATGTATGTGTTAGGATAAGTTGAGTAGAAATAATAAATCAATTTAAATTATGATTTATTTTTTATAGCTAAAATAGGCTATATTCTCATCGTTAAGAGAATAAGTTATATATTTTTATTATTTGTTTCCACTAATCTTCTTAATGCTAAATAAAAAGGGTAGTGAATTATAATAAAATGAGTATATGCTAACTATAGACACTTGCATGTGGAGATCAACAATAGTATTTTCCAAAGCATCTCATGAACATTCTGATAAGGCAATGCATTTAACTTCTCATTTATCAAGATTTTTTTTCTTAATTATAAAATTAACATGGCGAAGTTTCCAGAAATTTGTTAAATTCTAAGAATGAAACAAAAGGTTTACTCCTATTTCATAATTTGCTATGGTTGATGATTACATTGCATACCATAATTGCATGTGATAGGGCGCACTTCCCCGCCCATATATATCTCCCACCTATTGGAGGCTAACCTACGTAAGAAGATAACCCACTACAAAACTTTATTATTATTATTATTGATTAAAATTTATTAAAAATTTAAAAATATGAAAATTATTAATTTAAAAATAAAAATTAATGTATATCATAAATCAATTATCCCGAAAGCTTAAACTGTTAAATAAAATAAAGAAATAATTAATATTGTAAGTTGTAACTAATATGATAGATAAATTTATACGAGCAGACACGGAGTAAGAGCTTCTAGTCTTTTTATATTAAGTTTTTGATGCAACATTCACTTTCTTAAAATTTAAAATATGATGTTTTTAAAAAAATGAGAATTTTTTAAAAATTTTCAATGACTTCTTTTATATCTGAATTATTTATTTATTTTTTACAAAATTGGTGATGGTTTTTATAAATAAATAAATAAATCATTTTTAACTAGTTTTGAGATCTTTTAACTTTCTGTTATTCGATCTCTGAATCTTTGCACTTGCAACCCTATATTTTCATAATTTTTTCAAAAACATCAAATTTTAGTATATATTATTTTTATTTTTAAACACCGTGTATAAAAAATTAATCCATTGGTCTACATATATGTTTTATCGTACGTACATGATCTTAGTTTTTTTCTATTGTTTTGAATTTAGAGTTTATTTTCAAAAGTTTTATCTCTTAAATTTATTATTATTAATATATATTAATTATTAACATATAATAAAAATATTTTTTAATTATACAATAAAAATTTTATTTTAAAATTACCTAAGTTCATTAATTTTTTTACTTTAATATATAATATTCATAGTTATAGATTTAAATGATATTTTAAAAAATATTGCTAAAAATAATTTTATTATGCATGTGTATGTATAATTATTTTTAAAATAATAAAATTTAATTAATAAAAAATCTATATATTTATTTTAAAATAACAAAAGAATGCTCCACGAAATGTGCGGTTAGTTGTTTGCACGGTGGAAAACAGTACAATGTTTGAAAGCTATTTCTTCTTTGTGTGTACTCAAACGCTAATATGCAACTTTTCTCTTTAGAAAGAAAGAAACAAATCGCAGTGTTACAAATTTGATTTTGTTTTATTTTTAAGAAAAAAAGTGTTTGTAAATCTAATTTTATCGTGGAATATTCTTATATTCAGCATCATTTCTGTAAAATCCGATTAATTTTTAGACAGAATAAGGTTTGGAGGGACTTGTTTGGTGTTTGGAGTTTGGAATATTGATAGGTTTTTACTGCTGTAAATGGACCATTAAGATTTGAGGCATGTTGAAAGCACCCATGAAAATTAATGGCCTCCAACCCCACACAGCTAATAACTGGCCTACTTAACAGTGCAAAGCTGTGACTTGGCCCACATTAAGTGGAACTAGCTTCACTCTGCTCTAAATTTATCGTTTCCATACAAAACTTTTCGTCTCCATTCTATTTATGTCAAATCGACCCTTCAGAAAGGTCACACAGAGTCTCTTCCAAGCCTCCTTATCTGGCTCCCACAATGCAGCTCTCTCCCTTGCTTCCATTGCAATACCATCCTGACATTAATTCAAATCATCCACTCTCAGTAAAATTAAGATCAATCTGTTGATCCACATAGATTCAGGAAGATGGGGCCTACCATTATGTCATCTCTTTGAATAAGACGGTCAATAAGGTGCAAAAGAATGTCTTTGGTGTACTCAGGGTGGCCTTGGATTCCCATAATGTGATCTCCATACCTGAACATTTCAATTCCAGTCTTATCCGACCAAGCAATCACCTCTGCCTTCGCTGGTAGCTCTCTTATCTAATTTTATCAAATCATCATTTAACTATTCATGTTTATGTAACCATCTATATAAAACCTTAGCCTATGATAATTATATATACACACCTCATCCCTGTGGCATTCGATAATGGAAAGCCTTGATGGAAGATCGAGAGAAGACAAAGACAATGCCAAAGATGATGACAACGTTATGCTTCTGACACCAATGTCCCAACCAGTAGGAGAGCGACTCACCTCCCCTCCCAATGCACGCCCAAGTATCTGATCAAACACATTATCCTTAATTACTTATGTGATCATGCCATATCATATCATAACCTCAAGTGATGCTTGTGAAAACCACATCACAGTGGTCCACTGTCAAGTGAGTCAGTTTTCAGAGATTTTGATGTCCCGAAAGGTGGTAATCATTCTTCAAGAGGAAAAATAATAAAAATATGACACTTTTTTTTTTTTTTGAGTTTTGGGCATTATTAATTAGAATGGAGATCAATAGAAACCGACATCCACAGTAACGCCAAGTCATTTTTATAATTCATGTCTGCCCCTTTCTTATTCAGGTCAAGTAAGAATCAACTTTTTATAAAAAAAAAGTTCGTCAGTTTTAAGCATCCAAATATCTTGCAGATATACTGCCAGGTCAGCGTGCGAAATGAAAGACAAAAGTATGGTAGAGTAGAGATAAGATCTTTTCATACTTGAGGATGTGTACCTTTGAAAAGAAAGAGAAATGGAAAGAGAAGAAATAATAATAATAATGCATTCAAGAAAATTTGAGAAAAAAGTGCATAAAAATCAAATGATAAAAAGTAAAGTCTATTGCAAGTTAATCTCTTGAGGTAATTTTTTTAAGCATAGAAAACATGGGCACGTAGAAATTTAATTAATCGAATCTTTAAATGTGTGAACACAAATGCTTAACATGAATAAGACCCAGCACTATGTTATCCATAAGATCAAATTCGTATGTTTTAAGTTGTCCTCTTTTTTCTTAAAGTGGACCACTTGTACCGTAGTTTTAGCGCAATGTACAGAGCAAAAATCCTCTATTCCGTGTCATCCCGAAACCACCCTCGAGGATAAAAACAATGGACAAATCTGGGTATTTTTTAATACTATTTATTATACCATTAAATGCTACTTTGATGAAGATAAAATAAATAATAACATTAAAAATACTTTAAAATGTACACCTAAATTTTGTCCAAAAATAATACCATCCATCACATCGGATCAAGGATGATCAAACACGAGCCTTACGCATTGATCAGCTATTCATCTAATCAACTTTTCTCACACATTAACATACTAAATAAAAAGCAATCTTTTGAAATTGATACCAATCTTTTCTCACACATTAACATAAAAACCTCCCACACATGATCAACAAGGACAGAGATTATTTAAGAAACGAAAGTATCAACGTATTGTTGTGCTTTTTTTATGTACCTGGTGGCCGAAGCAAATGCCAAGGATTTTCTTCTTCATAGAGTCTAATTTCTTAATCAAGTTGAGGAGGTCACGAACCCATGTGTCGCTTCCATATGCGTCACTGCAACTGCCAGTGATCACAAAGCCATCATAGAGACCCAAGTCATCATCATCAGGGAACTGGCCACACGTCACCTTGTACATGTCCCAAGTTTCTCCTTCCTCAGCCAGCATTCTCACGAACACCCCAAAATACCCTCCGTACAATTTCTTCACATGCTCTGAATCATCCGCACACAGCAGCACTGCGAACCTCTTCTTCCCACCCATGTTCTCCATTCTCTTGCCTACGTCTTTTGCCGTATTGGGTTTCGCAGGGAGATTCTTCTCGGGGCTTTCTCTCTCTAAAATGTTAGAGAGAGAAAGTGCGTGGCTGTGGAGAGAGAATTCCTTTTGCTTAAAGCTCGCACGAAACAGGTGTAGTGAGTGGGAATGCCAACGATGGTGCTTTTAAAGGGTGAGGTTATGACTGTGGTCACGTTTTCATCTGTTTATTACAACGTTGTCCTCTGTTTGATCACATTAAAAATAACCCTTGAAAAAGTGTTTTTACAAATTTTGCTTTCCGAAATTAAGTTGGTAATGCCTAAAATAAGGGGAAAAAGATTTTTCCGTTTGTTAAGTGGTAAAATGAATGTGACCGGAATATTGGCTTCGGGGTAAAATCTGTGTTGAATCTGTTCCAGAAAGCGATATAAATTAATCAGATGGTATCATATTCCATGGTATAGCATCGAATGTTGTTAATCAACTGATAACTAATTATTTCAAGTTTCAAGAGTTTCAAAACGTTCTGTTTTTCATTTTATTGTTTATTATGATTTAGAATCTCTTTCACCGTTTAATGGGCGGAATTTAAGGTAACGTTGTTTAAAGTTATTACAGAGATCAATAACGCTTAATCAGAGCATGTTTGCAAACCATTAAAGCAAATGCCTTTTTCGTTTTGCCTTCATGAGGGTATTGATTAAAGTAATAATAAAATAAAATAAATTATTAAATTTATGTTAAAATATATTAAAAATCATGGTTACAATATTTTAATAATATTTTTAATAAAAAATAAATTTATTTTTAAAAAGGATATATTAAAGCACTCGTCAATGTTTAGTTTTAAAAAAACTTCTTAATAATCATTAAATGATACAGTCATTAATATGATGCTAGAAAAAAAAAGATTTAGCAAAAAAAAAAAAGATTAATTTTTTTATATTATTAATATATTAAAATATATCATACACAGTCAAAATAATGATATTCATATGAGAAAAACTAATTAAATTCGGAACTAGAGTTATGTTTAATAAATATTTATAACTATTGAATTTTATCAATTTAACCAATATATTAAAAGTTCTTTTTAATAAATTAATTATATAAAATTTTATATAAATAAGTAATTATTTAATAATTTTTAATTTTTAATTTTATTTTAAACAAGATAACTCTCAAACTCAACTTTTTTCTAAAGATGTTATGAGATATATCATCTTAAGTATTACAAAATTAATATAGATAATAATTGTACCATATAAATTGTAGTATTTTATACTACACTATAATGTTAAATAGCTAACAAGATTGACTCTGTTTTTTGAATCAAAACCAATATTTTGATGTTTTTACTTGGTTATGTTGAAAAATAATACTACGATGAATTTGGAATCAAATTGGTTAGAAGCATTAAATTTAAAGAAACCAATATTAATTTTTTCTTGAAATGTGTTTTATTCCATAAGATATTTATCATATTACGCAAAACTTCTCTTATATATTTGCATATCATATTATTCACGAGAATAGGTAAATGATAAATTAATTCATTTGATATTTTTATTTAAAAATTTCTTTCACCTTATAAATAATCTTTTAACTGTAATTTCTAAACTTTTAGTCATAGATAGTTTATATATTATGTAGTTTGACTCTCTTTTTTCCTTAAAAAACAACTTTATTTTAACTGTTAATATACATTTTTAAAATTATAGTAAATGTTGGTTATAAAAAAAATTATATATTTAAAAATATTTGATTTTTAAAAAATTTTAATATAAATAATTAACATGATATACTACCATATTATACAGTAGAGAAATTCAATGTTTATAAAGAGTTTTTTTAACTTGTAAAATAACTCTTATCAAAGTAGAGATGTAATTATTCTAATTTATAATTCATTATAAACATTGAATTTTCTTTTTTCTATTATTGAATAATAACGCATGTTAAAGGATAAATAATACATTTGTAGACATGCAATTTAATAATTCATTTATTTATATTTTAAAAAAGCATATATGATATTAAAACAAATTTATTTGATGAAATATTTAATAATTTTTTATAAAATATAAAATTGACTATTTAATCATTTGTTAAATTATTTTATATTATTTTCATGATTATTTAAATTATATTTTATATAATTTAAACGTATGTTATTTAAAATTTTATATTTATTTATATGTTAAAAATATAATATCAATTAAAATAAAATAATGCGATAAAGTATTTATTAATTTAATTTTTATTTAAAATTTTATAAAATTTATTTATTTAACAAAAACATTTAAATTAACAATCAGATTAATCAATCTTATATTTTATAAAAAAATATTAAATAATATAGGTGTCTAATAATACTTAATATCAACGAATTTTCAATCATATGTAAAACAATTCTCCCCTTTATGCTCGTTCTAAAAAAATAAAAATAGAATATGAAACAATTTTTTTTTTCAGAGCTCATGTTTGGATTCCATATATTCTATATGACTCAAGCTAATTTTTTAATGTTTCTTAAATTAATTTTACACAAATAATAATAATAATAATATTATTATTATTATTACTACTACTACTACTATTATTATTATTATTATTATTAGTATAAAATTAATTTAGAAAATAAAAAAAATGTCTTAATTCATAAAGCAAAAATCAAGTTATTTCATAACTAACTCTTATTTAATAATATTTAATAAGCATTGATTGTTATCGATTCAGCTATTAAATAATATTATGTTAATGTCTTGACTATAAAATCAAGTCTTAAATAAATAAAATTTTATTAATATACACTTTTATAGTAATTTTTTATAATAAAAAAAATTTAGACTTTAAAATAAAATTGTTGAATGAATTATCGACTATATATAATAAAAAATAAGATAACGTGGAAGTAACTTCCATAAGAGTTAATATATTTAATAAATATTTATTAATATTTATTTTTTTCAATCTAACCATTAAATAAGCCAATATGTTCATATTGAATATTAATTTTACAAAAAAATACAAATACAAAATTAAATAAAAATTTATCAACTAACTTTATTTGAATGTTTAATATAAATTTTTATAATATGAGTAAATATTATTTTATAAAATCAAATAATTATAAATATTTAATTTGTCTAAAATTTGATATGCATCATCAACATAAACATATAACTTTATTTAACAATTGATTGCCATAATATAATATTATAAAGAGTTATTAAGTGTATAAATTTTTACAAATATTGAATTTCATCATTCTAATAATTAAATTAAAAGTGTTCATTAAATATATCTAATAAATATCAAGCCTTAGTTAATTGTTGCATGAATTTGAGTATTTATTTACTTCAATAAATTAAATTTTAATTTTAATTTAAAAATTTTTAATTTAAGTACTTTATTTGACTTAAAGATTGAGAAGAAAAATTATTTTAATTTTTTTTATTACATTTCTTGATTTACAGGAGTTCAATGAAGATGGACAAAAAAAAACAAATGAAAAATCTATTCTAATCTTTAATGAGAAAACATGAAGTAAACTTGATTTTCTCGCTAGTTCTTGTTTGAGTGATAATATCTTTCTAACTTAAATAAGACTTCTTAACTTGAGTAAAAATTCATTTATTTCGTACTTAATGAAAGAAAAATCAAGAAACCAAGGGATTGAAGAGTGGAAAATAAATCAAAAAAGGGTAGCTTAAGGCAAGAAGCATTGAACATCGGTCTTTATCTCTTTTCTCTTTTTCTTGTGTTATAATGATTATCATGCATAGCTAAAACCTTTTTGGAATTAAATATAATATTTTATTATAAAATATTTTGATAATTTATATATAGTTATTTGTTTCTTTATATGTTGGTAGTTTAATTTGTTCTTAATACTTAATTCTATTTTAAATAAGAGTTTTATTAACCTCGATCCTTAGAGTTAAGAATAAACAACTAATAATAGTAAACTTTTATTAAAAATAAAAAAATTTATTATATTTTTATAACTTCAATACAATAATTGTGTATTGTTTTTATAAAAAAAATTATTTGTGAATGCTTTAATTTAGTTCTAAGGGTTGAGGTTAATAAAACCCTTTAAATAATACTATTTTAATTTAAATAGAACTTATTCGATATATTGCGATATTAGAAATATGTTTTAACATATCAATTAATTATTAACTTTTGTTTTTAATGCTAGAGAGTTCAGTGAATATTTGAGAAATTATTGTTCATTGTAAATTTATCACTAATTAAGTTAAATATTTTTATATTTTTTATTTAACAAAACCTATTTATAATTAAAAAATAATACCCTAAAATCACATAAACAATACAAAATATATTTAAAAAAGTAAAATTATTATAGAATTTATAATCACACATTTTAACTCAAAAAAGAGTAACCCAAGAAAAGAAAGACATCACAATAATCATTCACATAACAAATGTAATAGAAAGTCCTAAATTATGAAAGTGGGTCAATATTACAAGGAAAGGAAACATTGTCATTGCCATTTTTAACTGAACAACCATTAACTTGGATAGTTTTGCATTAAAGTTATTATAATAGGATTTTTTTAATATTTTGACCAAAGTTTTTTTTACAAAAATAAAAATTACTAAAATTAAACAACAATGGATATAAACAAATTTATATATTTTCATAATTATGATAAATTAATATTTTTAAAAAAATTTATGTAGACAATCTTAAAAATATTCTTAAATGATTTTATTTTTTAAAATATATTGCTACATTTAATTGTTATCACTGTATTTCTATTATTATTTTAAAGTTTTATTTTATTTTATTCTTTCCTTTATTTTTTTTCACCGTATAATTTAAATATTGTTTTAAAATTTCAAAATGCCATAAAATATTCTAGATATTAAACTTGTTTAACAAATAAAGGTTATTTAATTATACATTTCATCTCATCACCATTTATCACTTTTTTGAAACGAGTCATTTAAAAATAAAAATACATTTTATTAATAATTAAAGAACTAAATTAGATAAATTTAGAGATAAAAATAAACTAATAAATTATATTTTTAATCAAAACGGACAATATATATATATATATATATATATATATATGTGTGTGGGGGGTACTAATACCTTTTTTTTAGTCATGT